TGTTGATGTGAGCCATGACCAGCCTTTCAAATCACTTCATGGCTACAGACGTCAGTGCTACGGGTCGGTAGTCATTTAGGCAGGTTATCTTAGAGTCCTTGGGCACAGGGACTATGGTGGTCTGCTTGAAACATGTTGGTATTACAGACTCAGTCAGGGACATGTTGAAAATGTCAGTGAAGACACTTGCCAGTTGGTCTGCGCATGCTCGGAGTACACGTCCTGGTAATCCGTCTGGCCCTGCGGCCTTGTGAATGTTGACCTGTTTAAAGGTCTTGCTCACATCAGCTACGGAGAGCGTGATCACACAGTCATCCGGAACAGCTGGTGCTCTCATGCATGCTTCAGTGTTGCTTGCCTCGAAGCGATCATAAAAGGCATTTAGCTCATCTGGTAGGCTCGCGTCACTCGGCAGCTCGCGGCTGGGTTCCCCTTTGTAGTCCGTAATAGTTTGCAAGCCCTGCCACATCCGACGAGCATCAGAGCCGGTGTAATAGAAAATGCTGACCCTAAACCAGGGGAAAAAACGTACTACCCTCCCCTGTGCCCACAAAACAATCCACACTACCCTACCCCAAGTGACAAAGAAAACTTACACTCCCCCCAGCAGTTACACTCCCCCCAGTAACTGTCCCTAATTGTGCTGTCAATTGAAGTTCATATTTTATGTGTACTAGACACAATTTGTATCTGAAACATTTGGGTCTTCAAAGTATGGTGGTGCAGTGCTGCCATACACACACAAAAAAAACATTTTATTTTATCACCTAAATACGAAATAATGATCACATTAATACGTGATACTGAAATGATCTCGTATTAAAACCTCTTAAATGTTAATTCCTCCATATAGGGGACTTTTTGTTTTGTTTTAATGTAACAGTTTTATCAAGGCATATCAAGTTATGTAAAGCCAAATCGCTTATGTAAAGCCAAATCGCTTATGTAAAGCCAAATCGAGATCGTGACGAATCATTAGAGTAATCACAGGGGGATAGAGATGAATGAGAGCAGTGCCCCAGGAAATGAGTCGGATTTTCACTGACCACTCATATAAAAGATGAATACAGTATTAAGGCAGCTGAAGTCTGACCACTCATATAAAAGATGAATACAGTATTAAGGCAGCTGAAGTCTGACCACTCATATAAAAGATGAATACAGTATTAAGGCAGCTGAAGTCTGACCACTCATATAAAAGATGAATACAGTATTAAGGCAGCTGAAGTCTGACCACTCATATAAAAGATGAATACAGTATTAAGGCAGCTGAAGTCTGACCACTCATATAAAAGATGAATACAGTATTAAGGCAGCTGAAGTCTGACCACTCATATAAAAGATGAATACAGTATTAAGGCAGCTGAAGTCTGACCACTCATATAAAAGATGAATACAGTATTAAGGCAGCTGAAGTCTGACCACTCATATAAAAGATGAATACAGTATTAAGGCAGCTGAAGTCTGACCACTCATATAAAAGATGAATACAGTATTAAGGCAGCTGAAGTCTTGTAGCACGTCAGTTCTATAGTTTATTGTGAGTATATGTAGATTATTTAAAAAAACGTTCAAATCCTATTCCCCCATTTTTTTCAGGAATAGGTTGTTCATAGCATATGACATTTGAAAATGAAATCTACAATGTACTATTTGTCATACTATTTCCTATAGCAGTGCATACTAGTATTTAATATACTAGTTCAAAAAGTGCATACAAATCATAGATACTATTTTTTTTAAAGCAACAAATCTGAACTTTCTAACAGTATAAGGCATTTCTAGGTACTGTTTAAGGCCTTCTCATGAAGATATATTTTATATGGAATCCACTTAACATTAACATTCAAACATCTTGTTAATATATGATTTATAATATGCTCTAGATCAGGGTTTCCCAAACTCGGTCCTGAGTGCACGTTTTGGTTTTTGCCCAGGAGTGATTACGGGTATGTTCAAACTCTCCCTATCCCAGTCTGTTGTCCACCATTGTTCCTGTACCCAAGAAAGCTGAACTAAATGATTATCAAAGACCTCAGCCACCTGAGTCAAGGCCTGTTTACCCCACTACCATCTAGAAGGAGGAGACAGTACAGGTGTGTCAAAGCTGGGACAGAGAGACTGAAAAACAGCTTCTATCTCCAGGCCATCAGACTGTTAAATAGTCACCACTAGCCGGCCTCTGCCCAGTACCCTGCCGTAAACTTAATCACTGTTACTAGCCCACAACCACCCAGAACTCTACCCTGCACCTTAGAGACTGCTGTCCTATGTACATGGTCATTGAACACTGGTCACTTTAATAACGTTTACATACTGTTTTACCCACTTCATATACTGTAGTCTAGTCTAGGCTAATCCTATATAACTACTACTGCTCAAATGACACCGCTGGTCCTGCTCACACTGCCCTACCCTATGCTTTGACTTCTTTCTCCCCTCTCTCTCCAGATGAAATCTTGCGACTTGTGACGGCCGGCCGGCCAACAACCTGCCCGCTTGACCCTATCCCCTCCTCTCTTCTCCAGACCATTTCCGGAGACCTTCTCCCTTACCTCACCTCGCTCATCAACTCATCCTTGACCGCTGGCTATGTCCCTTCCGTCTTCAAGAGAGCAAGAGTTGCACAACTTCTCAAAAAACCAACACTCGATCCCTCCGATGTCAACAACTACAGACCAGTATCCCTTCTTTCTTTTCTCTCCAAAACTCTTGAGCGTGCCGTCTTTAGCCAACTCTCTTGCTATCTCTCTCAGAATGACCTTCTTGATCCAAACCAGTCAGGTTTCAGGACTGGTCATTCAACTGAGACTGCTCTTCTCTGTGTCACGGAGGCTCTCCGCACTACTAAAGCTAACTCTCTCTCCTCTGCTCTTGTCCTTCTAGACCTGTCTGCTGCCTTTGATACTGTGAACCATCAGATCCTCCTCTCCACCCTCTCCGAGTTGTGCATCTCCGGCGCGGCTCACTCTTGGATTCAGACCTGTGAGTGTAAATAGAGACCTGTGAGTGTGTAGAGAGACCTGTGAGTGTTTAGAGACCTGTGAGTGTGAATAGAGACCTGTGAGTGTGAATAGAGACCTGTGAGTGTGAATAGAGACCTGTGAGTGTGAATAGAGACCTGTGAGTGTGAATAGAGACCTGTGAGTGTGAATAGAGACCTGTGAGTGTGAATAGAGACCTGTGAGTGTGTAGAGACCTGTGAGTGTAAATAGAGACCTGTGAGTGTAAATAGAGACCTGTGAGTGTAAATAGAGACCTGTGAGTGTGAATAGAGACCTGTGAGTGTAAATAGAGACCTGTGAGTGTGAATAGAGACCTGTGAGTGTGAATAGAGACCTGTGAGTGTGCATAGAGACCTGTGAGTGCGTAGAGACCTGTCCTGTGAGTGTGAATAGAGACCTGTGAGTGTGAATAGAGACCTGTGAGTGTGTAGAGACCTGTGAGTGTAAATAGAGACCTGTGAGTGTAAATAGAGACCTGTGAGTGTAAATAGAGACCTGTGAGTGTGAATAGAGACCTGTGAGTGTAAATAGAGACCTGTGAGTGTGAATAGAGACCTGTGAGTGTGAATAGAGACCTGTGAGTGTAAATAGAGACCTGTGAGTGTAAATAGAGTCAGTGCAAAAAGAAACAATGAAATACAAGGGTATTAGTTAATAATATAACAATAATATGCCATTTAGCTATTTAGCAGTTGAATAATAAGAAGTTAAAGATTTAAAGTGGGGTCTCTCGCTGCGCAAGCCCCATTAATATTAACTATAAGTCAGAAATAATTGGTACAATATCTAATGTGTGGCTGATTTCGCAAGACACATTAACTAACTGAAACAAGACACATTAACTAACTGAAACAAGACACATTAACTAACTGAAACAAGACACATTAACTAACTGAAACAAGACACATTAACTAACTGAAACAAGACACATTAACTAACTGAAACAAGACACATTAACTAACTGAAACAAGACACATTAACTAACTGAAACAAGACACATTAACTAACTGAAACAAGACACATTAACTAACTGAAACGAGACACATTAACTAACTGAAACGAGACACATTAACTAACTGAAACAAGACACATTAACTAACTGAAACAAGACACATTAACTAACTGAAACAAGACACATTAACTAACTGAAACAAGACACATTAACTAACTGAAACAAGACACATTAACTAACTGAAACAAGACACATTAACTAACTGAAACAAGACACATTAACTAACTGAAACGAGACACATTAACTAACTGAAACAAGACACATTAACTAACTGAAACAAGACACATTAACTAACTGAAACAAGACACATTAACTAACTGAAACAAGACACATTAACTAACTGAAACAAGACACATTAACTAACTGAAACAAGACACATTAACTAACTGAAACAAGACACATTAACTAACTGAAACGAGACACATTAACTAACTGAAATGAGACACATTAACTAACTGAAACAAGACACATTAACTAACTGAAACAAGACACATTAACTAACTGAAACAAGACACATTAACTAACTGAAACAAGACACATTAACTAACTGAAACAAGACACATTAACTAACTGAAACAAGACACATTAACTAACTGAAATGAGCCACCTAGGATTATTCCGTTGGTAACCGGTTTATAATAGTGATAAGGCTTATCCACTCCGTGTTGCGTCAGGCGTATGAACAGCCCTTAGCCGTGGTATATTGGTCATATACCACACCCCCTCTGGCCTTGTTGCTTAATCATACCACTCCAAAGCTGGAGTCATTATCATTATGCAGACAGACATGACTCTACGGTGCTGAATGGTGTTGCTGTTTACGAGGCGTGTCCCACCAAGCCCTAAACTGGAATAGCGGTTATTATGTTAAACAACAGGTTGAAGGCTCTACAATTAGGTTGTAATGCTTTCTAAAGTTATCCCTAGAAGCTGCTGTATATAAGGCTGATGCCAGCAGTACTCAACATTTCCTGATTCCCATGATGGACCTGACTGTGACGACCCTGCTGTCCATGGTGGTTTCCAGCTCTACTACCTGTGCCTGGGCCATACCTGCTCAGGTAAACACTACTGCAACTACAACCTGTTGGAACCCAAACTGTTTCATGTAGAGTTTTTACAATGAAAATGATATTTCTCTCTATTTGGTAGAGTTCCTCAACGAGCTCCAAAAGAGTCCCCAGGAGTTATTCAGGTAAACAACACACATATTACTCAACATTTCATAATACGAGAATACCACGATTAACATCTTTAATGTTTTAGGTGATCACATTGTACACAGTGAGATGACGGCAATGGATCAAATCATGGAGGCCAATGAGTTCCAAGGTAAGAAAACCCTTCATCTTTTGCTAAAGGTCTACAGCCTTCCGCCAACACTCCGCATTGTCTCCATACTACTGTCTCCATACTACTGTAGTGTTTGCTACTTGGCTACCTGCCAAACCTTTTAGCTTTTTACTCTTAATAACTATTTAATCAAACTCTGTATTTAACAAGTTTAGCAGAAGTGAGGAGGAAGTCAGAAACTCTGCCGTCTTTCTAGAGCTCCGACTTTGGAGGACCAATGGCGGAAGCGGAAGCTTTGTGCGATTTTGTTGCCGTGACTACAGTTGGTGAGGATGGTGAAGAAGAGTGGAGAAAAAATGGCTAAAGGTGGAAATGGAGTGTTGGGTTGGAGTGTTGGGTTGGAGTGTTGGTTTGGAGTGTTGGTTTGGAGTGTTGGGTTGGAATGGGTGTGGTTTTAGAGTGTTGAGTTGGAGTGGTTGGTTGAAGTGTTGGGAGGTTGGTGGAGTGTGGTGGGAGTGTTGGTTGGGAGGTTGGGTTGGAGTGTTGGGTTGGGTAGTGTTTGGGTGGGAGAGTGTGGTTTGGAGTGTGAGTGTTGGGTTGGAGTGGTTGGGTTTGGAGTTGTATGTGGTGTTGGAGGTGGTGTTGGTTTGGAGTGTGTGGGTGTTGGAGTGTTGGGTTGGCGAGGTTGGTTGGAGTTTGGTTTGGAGTGTTGGTTGGATGGTTGGGTTGGAGTGGTTGGGTGGTGTGTTGGTTGGTTGGAGTGTTGGGTTGGCAGTGGTTGGGTTTGTGGGAGTGTTGGTTGGAGTGTTGGTTTGGGTGGTGGGTGTGGAGTGTTTTGGGTGTGGTTGGGTGTTGGGTTGGGGTTGGTTTGGGTTGTTTTGTTTGGTGGTTTGGGTTGGAGTGTTGGTTGGGTGTTGGGTTGGATTTGTGTGTTGGGTTTGGAGTGTTGGTTGGTGTTGGTTGGGTGTTGGAGTTGGAGTGTTGGGTTGGGTGTTATTTGGGTTGGGTTTTGGGTTTGGTTGAGTTGTTGGGTTGGGTTGGTGTGTGGTTTGGTGAGTGTGGGTGGAGTTGTTGGTTGGAGTTGTGGGTTGGAGTGTTGGGTTGGAGTGTGGTGTGGTTTGGAGTGTTGGGTTTGGAGTGTTGGGTTGGAGTTTGTTGGGTTGGAGTTGGTGTGTGTTGGAGTTTGGTTGGATGTTGGTTGGAGTGTGTGGTTTGGTAGTGTTGGGTTGGAGTGTTTTGGGTTGGAGTGTTGGTTTGGAGTGTTGGTGTTTGTGGAGTTTTTTTGGAGTGTTGGTTTGATGTTTGTTGGTTTGGGGTGTTTTTTGAGTGTTTGGTTTTTTTTTGGGTGTTGGGTGTTGTTGAGTTGTGGTTGTTTGTGTTTGAGTGTGGTTTGGAGTGTGGTTTGGAGTGTGTTTGGATGTTGGTTGGTTGTTTGGAGTGTTGGTTTGAGTGTTGTTTGGTGTTGGTTGAGTGTTGGGTTGTGTTGGTTTTTGGTGTTGGTTTGTTTGGGTTGGTAGTGTTGGTTTTGGGTTGGTTGGGTGTGGTTGAGTGTTTGGGTTTTTGGGTTTGAGTGTCGGTTTGGGTGTTGTGGTTGGAGTGTCGGTTTGGAGTGTCTGGTTGGTTGGTTGAGTGTTCTTGGTTTGGTGGTGTTGTTGGGTTGGAGTGTTTTTTTGGTTTGGAGGTGTGGGTTGGAGTGTTTGGTTTGGAGTGTTGGGTTGGGAGTGTTGGTGTTTGGTGATGTGGTTTGGTTGGGAGTGTTGGGTTGGGGTGTTGGGTTGGAGTGTTGGGTTTGGAGTGTTGGTTGGAGTGTTGGGGTTGGAGTGTTGGGTTGGAGTGTTGGGTTTTTTGGAGTGTTGGGTTGGAGGGTTGTTCGGTTTGGAGTGTTGGGTTGGAGTGTGGTTTGGAGTGTTGTTGAGGTTTGGAGTGTTGGGTTGGAGTGTGTGTTGAGGTTGTGGTTAGTGGTGGTTTGGAGTGTTTGGGTTGGAGTTTGGTTTGGAGTGTTGGGTTGGAGTGTTGGGTTGGAGTGTTGGGTTTGGGTGTGTTGGTTGGAGTGTTGGTTGGAGTTTGGTTGTTGGTGTTGGTAGTGTTGGGGTTGGAGTGTGGGTTGGAGTTTGTGAGTTGGAGTGTTGGTTTGGAGTTTGGTTGGTGTTGGGTGATGTTGTGGTTTGGAGTGTTTGGTTGGATGTCGGTTTGGAGTGTGGTTGGAGTGTTGGTTTGGAGTGTTGGTTGGAGTGTTGGTTTGGAGTGTGGTTTGGAGTGTTGGTTTGGAGTGTTGGTTGGAGTGTTGTTTGGAGTGTTGGTGTTGGAGTGTTGGTTTGGAGTGTTGGTTTGGAGTGTTGGTTTGGAGTGTGGGTTTGGAGTGTCGGTTTGGAATGATCGTTTGGAGTGTCGGTTTGGAATGATGGTTTGGAGTGTGGGTTTGTAATGTCGGGTTGGAGTGTTGGTTTGGAGTGTGGGTTTGGAGTGTCGGTTTGGAGTTGTCACGCCCTGACCTCTAGAACTCTAGTTAGTTTGGTTAGGGTGTGCATGTTTAGTTCTAGGTTGGTGTATATCTATGGTTAGATTGTAGTTGTTATACGTCTATGTTTGGCCGGGTGTGATTCCCAATCAGAGGCAGCTGTCGCTCGTTGTCTCTGATTGGGGATCATACTTTGGCAGCCTGGATGCAGTCCTTGTTTGTGGGATCTTGTTCCTGTTCGGCTGGTTGTTGTATAGCCCATAGGACTTTCACGTCACGTCACCTGGTTTTGTTGTTTTGTGTGTTTATTCTATATAATAAACATGTACGCTTTTCACGCTGCACCTTGGTCTGACCCGTCTCTCAACGTGGGTGACAGGAGTGTTGGTTTGGAGTGTTGGTTTGGAGTGTTGGTTGGAGTGTTGGGTTGGAGTGTTGGTTGGAGTGTTGGGTTGGAGTGTTGGGTTGGAGTGTGGTTTGGAGTGTCGGGTTGGAATGTCGGTTTGGAGTGTCGGGTTGGTGTGTCAGGTTGGAGTGTCGGTTTGGAGTGTCGGTTTGGAGTGTCGGTTTGGAGTGTTGGTTGGAGTGTTGGGTTGGAGTGTTGGGTTGGAGTGTTGGGTTGGAGTGTTGGTTTGGAGTGTTGGTTTGGAGTGTTGGTTGGAGTGTTGGGTTGGAGTGTTGGTTGGAGGGTGTGGGTTGGGAGGGTGTTGGTTTGGAGTGTTGGTTTGGAGTGTTGGTTTGGAGTGTCGGTTTGGAGTGTCGGTTTGGAGTGTCGGTTTGGAGTGTCGGTTTGGAGTGTTGGTTGGAGTGATGGTTTGAAGTGTTGGGTTGGAGTGTTGGTTGGAGTGTTGGGTTGGAGTGTTGGTTGGAGTGTTGGGAGTGGTGAGTGTAGTGGGTGTGAGTGTTGGTTGTGGTGGAGTGTGGGTTGGAGTTGGGGAGGTTGGTTGGAGTGTGGTTGGAGTGTTGGTGTTGGAGTGTTGGGTTTGGGTAATTGCCGTGTTGGGTTGGAGGTTTTGGTTGGAGTGTAGGGGTGGAGTGTGTTGGGTTGGAGTGTTTGGGTTGGAGTGTCGGTTGGAGTGTCGGGTTTGGAGTGCGGTTTGGACATGGTCGGTTTTGGGAGTGTTGGTTTAGAAAGTTTTGGGTTTGGAGTGTTGGTTGGAGTGTTGGTTTGGATAGTGTGGTGGAGGGGGTGGAGGTGGGGTTTGGCAGTGTTGGTTGGAGTAGTGTTGGGTGGAGTGTGGGTTTTGAGCTTGTTTGGTTGGGAGTGTTGGTTTAGGCTGGTTGGAGTGTTGGTGGAAGTGTTGGTTTTGGAGGAGTTTGGTGGGTTTGGAGTGTCCGGTTGGTATGATGGTTTGGAGTGTCGGTTGGAATGGATGGTTTTTGGAATGATGGTTTTGGAATGTCGTGTTGTGGATTGTTGGTTTGGAAGTGTGGGTTGGAGTGTCGGTTGGAGTTGTCACGCCCTGACCTCTAGAACTCTAGTTAGTTTGGTTAGGGTGTGCATGTTTAGTTCTAGGTTGGTGTATGTCTATGTTTGGCCGGGTGTGATTCCCAATCAGAGGCAGCTGTCGCTCGTTGTCTCTGATTGGGGATCATACTTAGGCAGCCTGGATGCAGTCCTTGTTTGTGGGATCTTGTTCCTGTTCGGCTGGTTGTTGTATAGCCCATAGGACTATATAATAAACATGTACGCTTTTCACGCTGCACCTTGGTCTGACCCGTCTCTCAACGTGGGTGACAGGAGTGTTGGTTTGGAGTGTTGGTTTGGAGTGTTGGTTTGGAGTGTTGGTTGGAGTGTCGGTTTGGAGTGTTGGGTTGAAGTGTTGGTTTGGAATGTTGGTTTGGAGTGTTGGTTTGGAGTGTCGGTTTGGAGTGTTGGTTGGAGTGTTGGTTTGGAGTGTTGGTTGGAGTGTGGGTTGGAGTGTCGGTTTGGAGTGTCGGTTTGGCGTGTTGGTTTGGAGTGTTGGTTTGGAGTGTGGTTTGGAGTGTTGGTTTGGAGTTTGATTCACAAGCAAGGATGTTTTTTTGGGGTCTGGAAGATGGTGAAGGACGAACTGGGAAAAGTGGAACCGGTCAGAGACCAGGAGCTGTATGATGTTGATTTTGTGTGTGTCAAAAGCATAAAAGGAGAAAGCTCTGTGGCTCAACAAGATGGCGACGTATGATGTTTTCAGAGTAGGGCACCGGTTAAAGGTGTCATCTCTGGTGTCTCGTTGGACATAGAGGCTGTGTGGTTTAGGGTTAACATTCCAGGAGGGGTAGACGCATGTCGCTTCAATCACATGATAGACGGAAAGAAGGAGCAAAGCCTGTCAGTTTTACTGTCGTTTGATGAAATTGTTCTCCCAACTTAGTTAAAACTTCGGTTTTGTATTTTTATTTCCCATTTATTTAACCAGGTAAGCCAGTTGAGAACAAGTTCTCATTTACAACTGCGACCTGGCCAAGATAAAGCAAAGCAGTGTTATAAAAACAACAACACAGAGTTACATATGGGGTAAACAAAACATAGTCAAAAATACCACAGAAAATATATATACAGTGTGTGCGAATGTAGTAAGTTATGGAGGTAAGGCAATAAATAGGCCATAGTGCAAAATAATTACAATTTAGTATTAACACTGGAATGATAGATGTGTAGAAGATGATGTGTGAATCGAGATACTGGGGTGCAAATGAGCAAAAATAAATAACAATATGGGGATGAGGTAGTTGGGCGGGCTAATTTCAGATGGGCTGTGTACAGGTGCAGTGATCGGTAAGGTGCTCTGACAACTGATGCTTAAAGTTAGTGAGGGAGATAAGTGTCTCCAGCTTCAAAGATTTTTGCAGTTTGTTCCAGTCATTGGCAGCAGAGAACTGGAAGGAATGGTGGCCAAAGGAGGTGTTGGCTTTGGGGATGACCAGTGAGATATACCTGCTGGAGCGCATACTACGGGTGGGTGTTGCTATGGTGACCAATGAGCTAAGATAAGGCGGGGATTTGCCTAGCAGAGATTTATAGACGACCTGGAGCCAGTGGGTTTGGCGACGAATATGTAGTGAGGGCCAGCCAACGAGAGCGTACAGGTCACAATGGTGGGTAGTATATGGGGCTTTGGTGACAAACCGGATGGCACTGTGATAGACTGCATCCAATTTGCTGAGTAGAGTGTTGGAAGCTATTTTGTAAATGACATCGCCGAAGTCAAGGATCGGTAGGATAGTCAGTTTTACGAGGGCATGTTTGGCAGCATGAGTGAAGGAGGCTTTGTTGCGAAATAGGAAGCCGATTCTAGATTTAACTTTGGATTGGAGATGCTTAATGTGAGTCTGGAAGGAGAGTTTACAGTCTAACCAGACACCTAGGTATTTGTAGTTGTCCACATATTCTAAGTCAGACCCGCCGAGAGTAGTGATTCTAGTCGGGCGGGCGGGTGCAAGCAGCGTTCGATTGAAGAGCATGCATTTAGTTTTACTAGCGTTTAAGAGCAGTTGCAGGCTACGGAAGGAGTGTTGTATGGCATTGAAGCTCGTTTGGAGGTTTGTTAACACAGTGTCCAATGAAGGGCCAGATGTATACAAAATAATGTCGTCTGCGTAGAGGTGGATCTGAGAGTCACCAGCAGCAAGAGCGACATCACTGATATACACAGAGGTTAGAGTCGGACCGAGAATTGAACCATGTGGCACCCCCATAGAGACTGCCAGAGGTCCAGACAACAGGCCCTCCGATTTGACACATTGAACTCTATTTGAGAAGTAGTTGGTGAACCAGGCGAGGCAGTCATTTGAGAAACCAAGGCTATTTAGTCTGCTAATAAGAATGCGATGATTGACAGTGTCGAAAGCCTTGGCCAGGTCGATGAAGATGGCTGCACAGTATTGTCTTTTATCGATCACGGTTATTATATCGTTTAGGACCTTGAGCGTGGCTGAGGTGCACCCATGACCAGCTCGGAAACCGGATTGCATATCGGAGAAGGTACAATGGGATTCGAAATGGTCGGTGATCTGTTTGTTAACTTGGCTTTCAAATACTTTCGAAAGGCAGGGCAGGATGGATATAGGTCTGTAACAGTTTGGATCTAGAGTGTCACCCCCTTTGAAGAGGGGGATGACCGCGGCAGCTTTCCAATCTCTGGGGATCTCAGATGATACGAAAGAGAGGTTGAACAGGCTAGTAATAGGGGTTGCGACAATTTTGGCTGCTAATTTTTGAAAGAAAGGGTCCAGATTGTCTAGCCCAGCTGATTTTTAGGGGTCCAGATTTTGCAGCTCTTTCAGAACATCAGCTATCTGAATTTGGGTGAAGGAGAAGCGGGTGGGGCATGGGCAAGTTGCAGCGGAGGGTGCAGAGCTGGTGGCCGGGGTAGGGGTAGCCAGGTGGAAAGCATGGCCAGCCGTAGCAAAATGCTTATTGAAATTCTTGATTATCGTAGATTTATCGGTGGTGACAGTGTTTCCTAGCCTCAGTGCAGTGGGCAGCTGGGAGGAGGTGCTCTTATTCTCCATGGACTTTACAGTGTCCCAAAACCTTTTAGAGTTAGTGCTACAGGATGCAAATTTCTGTTTTAAAAAGCTAGCCTTTGCTTTCCTAATTGATTGTGAATATTGGTTCCTGACTTCCCTGAAAAGTTTCATATCGCGAGGGCTGTTTGATGCTAATGCAGTACACCAAAGGATGTTTTTGTGCTGGTCAAGGGCAGTCAAGTCTGGGGTGAACCAGGGGCTATATCTGTTCTTAGTTCTGAATTTTTTGAATGGGGCATGCTTATTTAAGATGGAGAGGAAAGCACTTTTGAAGAACATCCAGGCATCCTCTACTGACGGAATGAGGTCAATATCCATCCAGGATACCCGGACCAGGTCAATTAGAAAGGCCTGCTCGCTGAAGTGTTTTAGGGAGCGTTTGACAGTGATGAGGGGTGGTCGTTTGACCGCGGAGATATGAGGTGAGACCGTATGTACAGAAGGTCGTAGTCAGATGAAGCATGTTGCTGTAATTGTGATGGGAATCACGTTCCTGAGTTCCCGGAGTGCAAGGATGAAGGAGGTTGCAGTAGCTAGAATCAGGGCTATCCAGCAGGTCTCCTATGTGGAGGCAGTGAAAATAGGTGAATGAGTAGAGAGGAGATGGTAGTGGATGTTCCACAGTCTGCCATGCAGGAGATGGATCCCGACAAACTAACAGTGAAGAAAATAGACTTTGTTGCGTTTATAGTGCAAGTGATAAATTGCGTGTTAAATTAGTCAAACTAATAAAAAAATCTAAGAAGCTAGACATCATCAATCAATCAATCAATTTTATTTTATATAGCCCTTCTTACATCAGCTAATATCTCGAAGTGCTGTACAGAAACCCAGCCTAAAACCCCAAACAGCTAGTAATGCAGGTGTAGAAGCACGGTGGCTAGGAAAAACTCCCTAGAAAGGCAAAACCTAGGAAGAAACCTAGAGAGGAACCAGGCTATGAGGGGTGGCCAGTCCTCTTCTGGCTGTGCCGGGTGGAGATTATAACAGAACCATGCCAAGATGTTCAAAAATGTTCATAAGTGACAAGCATGGTCAAATAATAATCAGGAATAAATCTCAGTTGGCTTTTCATAGCCGATCATTAGAGTTTAAAACAGCAGGTCTGGGACAGGTAGGGGTTCCATAACCGCAGGCAGAACAGTTTAAACTGGAATAGCAGCAAGGCCAGGCGGACTGGGGACAGCAAGGAGTCACCACGGCCGGTAGTCCCGACGTATGGTCCTAGGGCTCAGGTCTCTCAGTTGGCTTTTCATAGCCGATCATTAAGAGTTGAAAACAGCAGGTCTGGGACAGGTAGGGGTTTCGTAGCCGCAGGCAGAACAGTTGAAACTGGAATAGCAGCAAGGCCAGGCGGACTGGGGACAGCAAGGTGTCATCATGCCCGGTAGTCCTGACGTATGGTCCTAGGGCTCAGGTTCTCAGAGAGAAAGAGAGAACGAGAGAATTAGAGAGAGCATACTTAAATTCACACAGGACACTGGATAAGACAGGAGAAGTACTCCAGGTATAACCAACTAACCCCAGCCCCCCGACACATAAACTACTGCAGCATAAATACTGGAGGCTGAGACAGGAGCGGTCCGGAGACACTGTGGCCCCATCCGAAGAAACCCCCGGACAGGGCCAAACAGGAAGGATATAACCCCACCCACTCCGCCAAAGCACAGCCCCCGCACCACTAGAGGGATATCCCCAACCACCAACTTACAATCCTGAGACAAGGCCGAGTATAGCCCACAGAGGTCTCCACCACAGCACAAACCAAGGGGGGGGCGCCAACCCAGACAGGAAGATCACGTCAGTAACTCAACCCACTCAAGTGACGCACCCCTCCCAGGGACGGCATGAAAGAGCACCAGCAAGCCAGTGACTCAGCCCCTGCAACAGGGTTAGAGGCAGAGAACCCCAGTGGAGAGGGGAACCGGCCTGGCAGAGACAGCAAGGGCTGTTCGTTGCTCCAGCCTTTCCGTTCACCTTCACACTCCTGGGCCAGACTACACTCAATCATATGACCTACTGAAGAGATAAGTCTTCAGTAAAGACTTAAAGGTTGAGACCGAGTCTGCGTCTCTCACATGGGTAGGCAGACTGTTCCATAAAAATGGAGATCTATAGGAGAAAGCCCTGCCTCCCGCTGTTTGCTTAGAAATTCTAGGGACAATTAGGAGGCCTGCGTCTTGTGACCGTAGCGTACGTATTGGTATGTACGGCAGGACCAACTCGGAAAGATAGGTAAGAGCAAGCCCATGTAACGCTTTATAGGTTAACAGTAAAACCTTGAAATCAGCCCTTGCCTTAACAGGAAGCCAGTGTAGGGAAGCTAGCACTGAAGTAATATGATCAAATTTCTTGGTTCTAGTCAGGATTCTAGCAGCCGTATTTAGCACTAACTGAAGTTTATTTAGTGCTTTATCCGGGTAGCCGGAAAATAGAGCATTGCAGTAGTCTAACCTAGAAGTAACAAATGCATGGATTAATTTTTCTGCATCTTTTTTGGACAGAAAATTTCTGATTTTTGCAATGTTACGTAGATGGAAAAAAGCTGTCCTTGAAACAGTCTTGATATGTTCGTCAAAAGAGAGATCAGGGTCAAGAGTAACGCCTAGGTCCTTCACAGTTTTATTTGAGACGACTTTACAACCATCAAGATGAATTGTCAGATTTAACAGAAGATCTCTTTGTTTCTTGGGACCTAGAACAAGCATCTCTGTTTTGTCCGAGTTTAAAAGTAAAAAGTTTTCAGCCATCCACTTCCTTATGTCTGAAACACAGGCTTCTAGCGAGGGCAATTTTGGGGCTTCACCATGCTTCATTGAAATGTACAGCTGTGTGTCATCCGCATAGCAGTGAAAGTTAACATAATGTTTTCGAATAACATCCCCAAGAGGTAAAATATATAGTGAAAACAATAGTGGTCCTAAAACGGAACCTTGAGGAACACCGAAATGTACAGTTGATTTGTCGGAGGACAGACCATTCACAGAGACAAACTGATATCTTTCCGACAGGTAGGATCTAAACCAGGCCAGAACTTGTCCGTGTAGACCAATTTGGGTTTCCAGTCTCTCCAAAAGAATGTGGTGATCGATGGTGTCAAAGGCAGCACTAAGGTCTAGTAGCACGAGGACAGATGCAGAGCCTCGGTCTGACGCCATTAAAAGGTCATTTACCACCTTCACAAGTGCAGTCTCAGTGCTATGATGGGGTCTAAAACCAGACTGAAGCATTTCGTATACATTGTTTGTCTTCAGAAAGGCAGTGAGTTGCTGCGCAACAGCTTTTTCTAAAATTTTTGAGAGGAATGGAAGATTCGATATAGGCCGATAGTTTTTTATATTTTCCGGGTCAAGGTTTGGCTTTTTCAAGAGAGGCTTTATCACTGCCACTGTGAAGGCGGCAAATAGATTTCTGGATCTCCAGGACTTTACAGCCGAAATGTTACAGGGAGTACAGAATGAAGAGGTTCCCCACTCCCAGGTTCCTGAGCCTGTGTAGGGATCTGAAAATACATTTCAATCCGACTAAAAGAGTACAGTTTAGATTTTGTTCGAAATTCAGGGTCAGTTATTAAGAGAATATAGTGGTATAGATCGTGATCGGCAGTAGGTGGCGGTGTATGCCTCTGTTAGTTGGTTACGGTCCGCCAATAAAAACTCAAAGAATAACTTTTTTAATTCAACTTTTTCACCGCGGACACTTTATCTGGACATGGATCTGCAGGACACTTTATCTGGACATGGATCTGCAGGACACTTTATCTGGACATGGATCTGCAGGACACTTTATCTGGACATAGATTTGCAGGACCTCCTCCGGCCCAAAAAAGCTAAGTAGCATTATGCCTTCTCATGGTAGCCGCTGTACTCTTAATACACAGGAGAACTATCGCCTTATGGTGAGGATAGCCAGGCCTACCATGTCTGGCCACTCTACCATAAAGGCCTGATTGGTGGAGTGCTGCAGAGATGGTTGTCCTTCTGGAAGGTTCTCCCATCTCCACAGAGGAACTCTGGAGCTCTGTCAGATTGACCATCCCTTTCCCTTTCTAGGGAGTTTTTCCTAGCCACGGTGCTTCTACATCTGCATTGCTGCTGTTTGGGGTTTTAGGCTGGGTTTCTGTATAGCACTTTGTGACAACTGCTGATGTAAAAAGGGCTTAATAAAATACATGTGACTTGATTTGATACTTAGTAGATGTAGACAGGGCTTTATAAATACATTTTATTTGATACATTTACATTTACATCTACGTCATTTAGCAGACGCTCTTATCCAGAGCGACTTACAAATTGGTGCATTCACCCTATAGCCAGTGGGATAACCACCTTACAATATATTTTTCTTTTTCTTTTTATTATTATTTTTTTTTTTTATGGGGGGGGGGGGGGGGGGGGGGTAGAAGGATTACTTTATCCTATCCCAGGTATTCCTTAAAGAGGTGGGGTTTCAAATGTCTCCGGAAGGTGGTGAGTGACTCCGCTGTCCTGGCGTCGTGAGGGAGCTTGTTCCACCATTGGGGTGCCAGAGCAGCGAACAGTTTTGACTGGGCTGAGCGGGAACTATGCTTCCGCAGAGGAAGGGGAGCCAACAGGCCAGAGGTGGATGAACGCAATGCCCTCGTTTGGGTGTAGGGACTGATCAGAGCCTGAAGGTACAGAGGTGCCGATCCCCTCACAGCTCCATAGGCAAGCACCATGGTCTTGTAACAGATGCGAGCTTCAACTGGAAGCCAGTGGAGTGTGCGGAGGAGCGGGGTGACGTGAGAGAACTTGGGAAGGTTGAACACCAGACGGGCTGCGGCATTCTGGATGAGTTGTAGGGGTTTAATGGCACAGGCAGGGAGCCCAGCCAACAGCGAGTTGCAGTAATCCAGACGGGAGATGACAAGTGCCTGGATTAGGACCTGTGCCGCTTCCTGTGTAAGGCAGGGTCGTACTCTCAGAATGTTGTAGAGCATGAACCTGCAGGATCGGGTCACCGCCTTGATGTTAGCGGAGAACGACAGGGTGTTGTCCAGGGTCACGCCAAGGCTCTTCGCACTCTGGGAGGAGGACACAACGGAGTTGTCAACCGTGATGGCGAGATCATGGAATGGGTAGTCCTTCCCCGGGAGGAAGAGCAGCTCCGTCTTGCCAAGGTTCAGCTTGAGGTGGTGATCCGTCATCCATACTGATATGTCTGCCAGACATGCAGAGATGCGATTCGCCACCTGGTTATCAGAAGGGGGAAAGGAGAAGATTAGTTGTGTATCGTCAGCGTAGCAATGATAGGAGAGGCCGTGTGAGGATATGACAGAGCCAAGTGACTTGATGTATAGGGAGGGCCTAGAACTGAGCCCTGGGGGACACCAGTGGTGAGAGCACGTGGTGCGGAGACAGCTTCTCGCCACGCCACTTGGTAGGAGCGACCGGTCAGGTAGGACGCGATCCAGGAGTGAGCCGCGCCGGAGATGCCCAGCTCGGAGAGGGTGGAGAGGAGGATCTGATGGTTCACAGTATCAAAGGCAGCAGACAGGTCTAGAAGGACAAGAGCAGAGGAGAGAGTGTTAGCTTTAGCAGTGCGGAGAGCCTCCGTGACACAGAGAAGAGCAGGCTCAATTGAATGACCAGTCCTGAAACCTGACTGGTTTGGATCAAGAAGGTAATTCTGAGAGAGATAGCAAGAGAGTTGGCTAAAGACGGCACGCTCAATAGTTTTGGAAAGAAAAGAAAGAAGGGATACTGGTCTGTAGTTGTTGACATCAGTGGGATCGAGTGTTGGTTTTTTGAGAAGGGGTGCAACTCTCGCTCTCTTGAAGACGGAAGGGACATAGCCAGCGGTCAAGGATGAGTTGATCAGCGAGGTGAGGTAAGGGAGAAGGTCACCGGAGATGGTCTGGAGAAGAGAGGAGGGGATAGGGTCAAGCTGCAAGATTTTATCTGGAGAGAGAGGGGAGAAATAAGTCAAAGCATAGGGTAGGGCAGTGTGAGCAGGACCAGCAGTGTCATTAGACTTAACAAACGAGGATCGGATGTCGTCAACCTTCTTTTCAAAGTGGTTGACGAAGTCATCCACAGAGAGAGAGGAGGGGGGGGGGGGGGGGGGGGGGGGGGGGGGGGGGGGGGATTCAGCAGGGAGGAGAATGTGGCAAAGAGCTTCCTAGGGTTAGAGGCAGATGCTTGGAATTTAGAGTGGTAGAAAGTGGCCTTAGCAGCAGAAACAGATGAAGAAAATGTAGAGAGGAGGGAGTGAAAAAAGGTACTTGTAGACAGGGCTGACCTATGTTGGCCACTCTGTATGGTGTTTTATGGGCTGAGTCCCCATGTTGTGTTGTCTCTGCCTTCCCTAGCTGCCCAGGTTCCAGACGGCACTAGTTTCAGGGAAGGAGATATCGCTGTGACCACCGGGAGGCGCTCTAAGGCCTGTTTCGCACGCAGCTGTCTGTGGTCCAAGTCAGTGGACGGACACGTCTACATCGCATACAGGCTGTCCTTGGACTACAGTAAGTTACCTGTAGGCTACGCAACAGTGTTTCAGATATGGGCTGTTGGTCCTGTACCTTTCTACTAATATATATATATATATATACACATACATACACACACACACACTACCGTTCAAAAGTTTGGGGTCACTTAGACATTTCCTTGTTTTCCATGAAAACATACATTGAGTTTGAATAGGAAATGTAGCAAAATGAATAGGAAATGTAGTCATTGACAAGGTTAGAAATAATGATTTTTAATTGAACTAATAATTGTGTCCTTCAAACTTTGCTTTCATCAAAAAATCTTCAATTTGCAGCAATTACAGCCTTGCAGACCTTTGGCATTCTAGTTGTGTATTTGTTGAAGTAATCTGAAGAGATTTCAGCCCATGCTCCCTGAAGCACCTCCCACAAGTTGGATTGGCTTAATGGGCACTTCTTACATACCATACGGTCAAGCTGCTCCCACAACAGCTCAATAGGGTTGAGATCCGGTGACTGTGCTGGCCACTCCATTATAGACAGAATACCAGCTGACTGCTTCTTCCCTAAATAGCTATTGCATAGTTTGGAGCTGTGCTTTGGGTCATTGTCCTGTTGTAGGAGGAAATAGGCTCCAATCAAGCTCCGTCCACAGGGTATGGCATGGCGTTGCAAAATGGAGTGATAGCCTTCCTTCTTCAAGATCCCTTTTACCCTGTACAAATCTCCCACTTTACCACCACCAAAGCACCCCCAGACCATCACATTGCCTCCACCATGCTTGACAGATGGCATCAAGCAATCCTCCAGCATCTTTTCATTTGGTCTGCGTCTCACAAATGTTCTTTGTGATCCAAACACCTCAAACTTTGATTTGTCTGTCCATAACACTTTTCCCCAATCTTCCTCTGTCCAGTGTCTGTGTTCTTTTGCCCATCTTAATCTTTTATTTTTATTGGCCAGTCTGAGATATGTCTTTTTCTTTGCAACTCTGCCTAGAAGGTCAGCATCCCTGCGTCGCCTCTTCACTGTTGACGTTGAGACTGGTGTTTTGCGGGTACTATTTAATGAATCTGCCAGTTGAGGATCTGTGAGGCGTCTGTTTCTCAAACTAAACACTCTAATGTATTTGTCCTCTTGCTCAGTTGTGCACCGGGGCCTCCCTCTCCTCTTTCTATTCTGGTTAGAGCCAGTTTGCGCTGTTCTGTGAAGGGAGTAGTACACAGCGTTGTACGAAATCTTCAGTTTCTTGGCAATTTCTTGCATGGAATAGCCTTCATTTCTCAGAACAAGAATAGACTGACAAGTTTCAGAAGAAAGTTATTTGTTTCTGGCCATTTTGAGCCTGTAATTGAACCCACAATTGCTGATGCTCCAGATACTCAACTAGTCTCAAGAAGGCCAGTTTTATTGCTTCTTTAATCAGCAGAACAGTTTTCAGCTGTGCTAACATAATTGCAAAAGGGTTTTCTAATGATTAATTAGCCTTTTAAAATGATAAACTTGGATTAGCAAACACAACGTGCCATTGGAACACAGGACTGATGGTTGCTGATAATGGGCCTCTGTACGCCTATGTAGATATTCCATTACAAATCAGCCGTTTCCAGCTACAATAGCCATTTACAACATGAACAATGTCTACACTATTTCTGATCAATTTGATGTTATTTTAATTGACAAAAAAATTGCTTTTCTTTCGAAAACAAGGACATTTCTAAGTAACCCAAACTTTTGAACGATAGTGTACATACACCTGTTCTGAAAGGCCCCAGAGTCTGCAACACCACTAAGCAAGGGGCACCACCAAGCAAGGGGCACCACCAAGCAAGGGGCACCACCAAGCAAGCGGCACCATGAAGACCAAGGAGCTCTCCAAACAGGTCAGGGACAAAGTTGTGGAGAAGTACAGATCAGGGTTGGGTTATACAAAAATATCAGAAACTTTGAACATCCCACAGAGCCCATTAAATCCATTATTAAAAAATTGAAAAATATGGCACCACAATAAACCTGCCAAGAGAGGGCCGCCCACCAAAACTCATGGACCAGGCAAGGAGGGCATTAATCAGAGGCAACAAAGAGACCAAAGATAACCCTGAAGGAGCTGCAAAGCTCCACAGTGGAGATTGGAGTATCTGTCCATAGGACCACTTTAAGCCGTACACTCCACAGAGCTGGGCTTTACGGAAGAGTGGCCAGAAAAAATCCATTGCTTTAATGAAAGAAATCGGCAAACACGTTTGGTGTTCGCCAAAAGCCATGTGGGAGACTCCCCAAACATATGGAAGAAGGTACTCTGGTCAGATGACACTAAAATTGAGCTTTTTGGCCATCAAGGAAAACGCTATGTCTGGCGCAAACCCAACACCTCTCATCACCCCGAGAACATCATCCCCACAGTGAAGCATGGTGGTGGCAGCATCATGCTGTAGGGATGTTTTTTATCGGCAGGGACTGGGAAACTGGTCAGAATTGAAGGAATGATGGATGGTGCTAAAATACAGGGAAATTCTTGAGGGAAACCTGTTTCAGTCTTCCAGAGATTTGAGACTGGGACGGAGGTTCACCTTCCAGCAGGACAATGACCCTAAGCATACTGCTAAAGCAACACTCGAGTGGTTTAAGGGGAAACATTTAAATGTCTTGGAATGGCCTAGTCAAAGCCCAGACCTCAATCCAATTGAGAATCTGTGGTATGACTTAAAGATTGCTGTACACCAGCGGAACCCATCCAACTTGAAGGAGCTGGAGCAGTTTTGCCTTGAAGAATGGCCAAAAATCCCAGTGGCTAGATGTGCCAAGCTTATAGAGACATACCCCAATTGCTGCCAAAGGTGGCTCTACAAAGTATTGACTTTGGGGGGAGGGGGGGGGGGGGGGGGGGGGGGGTGAATAGTTATGCACGTGTTATGTTTTTTTTGTCTTGTTTGTTTCACAATAAAACATATTTTGCATCTTCAAAGTGGTAGGCATGTTGGGTAAATCAAATGATACAAAATCCATTTTAATGTTGTAAGGCAACAAAATAAGAAAAATGCCAAGGGGGTCAACCAGCTTCACCTGGAATGCTTTTCCAACAGTCTTGAAGGAGTTCCCACATATGCTGAGCACTTGTTGGCTGCTTTTCCTTCACTCTGCCGTCCGACTCATCCCAAACCATCTCAATTGGATTGAGATCAGGGGATTGTGGAGGCCAGGTCATCTGATGCAGCACTCCATCACTCTGCTTCTTGGTAAAATAGCCCTTACACAGCCTGGAGGTGTGTTTGGTCATTGTCCTGTTGAAAAACAAATGATATTCCCACTAAGCCCAAACCAGATGGGATGGTGTTTCGCTGCAGAATTCTGTGGTAGCCATGCTGGTTAAGTGTGCCTTGAATTCTAAATAAATCACGGACAGTGTCACCAGCAAAGCACCCCCACACCATAACACCTCCTCCTTTGGACTCCAGAACAAAGGACACATTTCCACTGGTCTAATGTCCATTGCTCGTGTTTCTTGGCCCAAGCAAGTCTCTTCTTCTTATTGGTGTCCTTTAGTAGTGGTTTCTTTGCAGCAATTCGACCATGAAGGCCTGATTCACAAAGTCCCCTCTGAAAAGTTGATGTTGAGATGTGTCTGTTATTTGAACTCTGTGAAGCATTTATTTGGGCTGCAATTTCTGAGGCTGGTAACCAATGAACTTATCCTCTGCAGCAGAGGTAACTCTGGGTCTTCCATTCCTGTGGCGGTCCTCATGAGAGCCAGTTTCATCATAGCGCTTTTACCAAATAGGGCTATCTTCTGTATACCCCCCCCCCCCTACCTTGTCACAACACAACTGATTGGCTCAAACTTATTAAGAAGTAAATACATTCCATATTAACTTTTAAGAAGCACACCTTTATTGAAATGCATTCCAGGTGCACACCTGTAATTGAAATGCATTCCAGGTGTGAGATCCAGAAGGAAAGTGTCATCAAGGCAAAGGGTTTTGAAGAATCTCAAATATAAAATTGTTTTGATGTTAACACTTTTTGGGTTATACATGATTCCATATGTGTTATTTCATAGTTTGAATGTCTTCACTATTATTCTACAATGAGAGAAAATAGTAAAAATAAAGAAAAACCTTGAATGAGAGTAGAGTGTGAATCAGAGAGAGAGAAGAGGAGAGAGAGAGAGAGAGAGGAGAGAGAAGGAGAGAGGAGGAGAGAGAGAGAGAGAGAGAGAGGATGGAGAGGAGGAGAGAGAGAGAGAGAGAGAAGGAGAGAGAGAGAGAGAGAGAGAGGAGAGAGAGAGGAGAGAGAGAGAGAGAGAGAGAGTATTATAGTTGGTCCTGTACCTTTACACTAATATGTTGTGTGTGTATATATATATATACTATGTGGGCTGGAGGTGAATATTCACACAATAGGGATGTTTTGTTGACTGATTGAACTTCTTCTCCTCCTCAGTCTTCTTCTTCTTCTTGAATGTGTTTCTCCCTTTCCCTCCACAGGTGATTTGGATGAGAGGATAATCAAGTCTGGTATGGAGAAGGTGGAGAGAGGAACCTGTGTGCGTTTTGTTCCATGGACGCATCAGCGGGACTTCCTGGATATCCAGCCTAAGTCAGGGTGAGATAGAACCACTTTGTAATGTGATGATGAGTTTGTCTGAATCTATGAATCGATGGTCCTTATTCCCTATGTAGTGCACTACTTCTGGTCATAGATTTCTGTGAGACATAGTGTGGCATTACAGACGCCCCTTGTCTCCCCTGTGTGTACTGTTGTTGTTTAGGTGTTGGTCGTACCTAGGGCAGCGTGGTGGCAGACAGACGGTATCTCTACAGTCTCCTGACTGTATGTGGTCTGGGGTGGCCTCCCACGAACTCATGCATGCCCTGGGCTTTGTGCACGAACATTCCCGCGCCGACCGGGACAACTATGTCACTGTCCTGTGGGAGAACATCTGGAAGGGTGAGACAGACGTGAGGCTGTTGACACTATGGTTGGGGTCGTTTTTAATGTTCATTCGGTATATTCAATCAACTGAAATGTGTTCTCCGGCAACAGATCGCGTACGGAACTTTGAGAAGTTCAAAACCAACAATCTGGACACTCCTTATGACTACGGCTCGATCATGCACTTTGGAATGTATGTAGCAAGGAAGTTATTTCATTAACTCACTATTATCAGATGGAGTTATATGTGAAGGTAGTCTTACGATGCCGTTTCTGTGTAAATGCAGGTATGCCTATTCAGAAGATGGAGATCCGACCATCATCGCTAAGAGGAACCACGGGAACACTCTGGGGCAGAGGACCGGTCTCAGTGAACTGGACAAGATGAAGATTAACAAACTCTACAACTGTGGTTGGTAGCAAACAATATTTCCTTCACATTTGAGGCAAAGTTATTTTTTTAAATGAGTTATTATTTTGTATTAGTTTTTCAAAGGTTGTCAATATAGAACAAAGGTATGATCACTAGATGTGTCCTCATGACCTTTCTGATTCCTCTCTCTCACTTTTGACAGAAACCCTGGAGGATTATTAATCAAACAGTGAAACATCCCACTGAATACAATCTCTGGTGTCAGATAAATGGAGCATTTAAATAAAGATGGATTGACAACTTTGGTAGCAGCTGTTCTTCTGTATATCACATCACATGTTGTTGTGTCACACAAAGTCTGAGAAATGACTGTTTACCTGTTTTAAATATATCAGTTCTGGGACAACACCTTTAAATGGCTCGTCTCTGAAAGTGCTGAATGTCCTGTGTAAAAGTACGGGGTATAACTGGAGGACGTTGTTAAGTGCCATCAATGGATTTGTGTTAATGTCATAGGACGACACGAGGGGCAGACAAGGGATCAAAGTTCTGGGATATGATTCATCCTGTAACATCAGAACATGTAACCAATCAGTGCAGACCTCAGGAGGTGACGGGGGCGGGGTTAGAGGTCTATATAGGTGTGGTGTTAGGACCTGTATCAGGATTAAAGATCGGTCTGGGACATGGAAGTCATGATCTCTCTAGGAATCATCTTGGGGTTGATGACCCAAACCTGCACTCTACCTATCCAGGTAAGCGCTGAATTAAGTTTAGAATGAATATTACTGTAGAGGTCCTCTCTCACGTGATACTTTCTAAAAGGAACATTTATTACCACAGAATTCATCAGTGATGCAAGAAATGAAAAGGAGGTTGAAAAGAGAATACTCAGGTAAATTCTTGAAATGTTAACATTAACATAATTTTGTTTGTATTAACAGTTACAGTGGGGAAAAAAAGTATTTAGTCAGCCACCAATTGTGCAAGTTCTCCCACTTAAAAAGATGAGAGAGGCCTGTTATTTTCATCATAGGTACACATCAACTATGACAGACAAAATGAGAAAACAAAATCCAGAAAATCACATTGTAGGATTTTTAATGAATTTATTTGCAAATTATGGTGGAAAATAAGTATTTGGTCAATAACAGAAGTTTCTCAATACTTTGTTATATACCCTTTGTTGGCAATGACACAGGTCAAACGTTTTCTGTAAGTCTTCACAAGGTTTTCACACACTGTTGCTGGTATTTTGGCCCATTCCTCCATGCAGATCTCCTCTAGAGCAGTGATGTTTTGGGGCTGTCGCTGGGCAACACAGACTTTCAACTCCCTCCAAAGATTTTCTATGGGGTTGAGATCTGGAGACTGGCTAGGCCACTCCAGGACCTTGAAATGCTTCTTACGAAGCCACTCCTTCGTTGCCCGGGCGGTGTGTTTGGGATCATTGTCATGCTGAAAGACCCAGCCACGTTTCATCTTCAATGCCCTTGCTGATGGAAGGAGGTTTTCACTCAAAATCTCACGATACATGGCCCCATTCATTCTTTCCTTTACATGGATCAGTCGTCCTGGTCCCTTTGCAGAAAAACAGCCCCAAAGCATGATGTTTCCACCCCCATGCTTCACAGTAGGTATGGTGTTCTTTGGATGCAACTCAGCATTCTTTGTCCTCCAAACACGACGAGTTGAGTTTTTACCAAAAAGTTATATTTTGGTTTAATCTGACCATCCTCTTCTGGATCATCCAAATGCACTCTAGCAAACTTCAGACGGGCCTGGACATGTACTGGCTTAAGCAGGGGGACACGTCTGGCACTGCAGGATTTGAGTCCCTGGCGGCGTAGTGGGTTACTGATGGTAGGCTTTGTTACTTTGGTCCCAGCTCTCTGCAGGTCATTCACTAGGTCCCCCCGTGTGGTTCTGGGATTTTTGCTCACCGTTCTTGTGATCATTTTGACCCCACGGGGTGAGATCTTGCGTGGAGCCCCAGATCGAGGGAGATTATCAGTGGTCTTGTATGTCTTCCATTTCCTAATAATTGCTCCCACAGTTGATTTCTTCAAACCAAGCTGCTTACCTATTGCAGATTCAGTCTTCCCAGCCTGGTGCAGGTCTACACTTTTGTTTCTGGTGTCCTTTGACAGCTCTTTGGTCTTGGCCATGGTGGAGTTTGGAGTGTGACTGTTTGAGGTTGTGGACAGGTGTCTTTTATACTGATACCAAGTTCAAACAGGTGCCATTAATACAGGTAACGAGTGGAGGACAGAGGAGCCTCTTAAAGAAGAAGTTACAGGTCTGTGAGAGCCAGAAATCTTGCTTGTTTGTAGGTGACCAAATACTTATTTTCCACCATAATTTGCAAATAAATTCATTAAAAATCCTACAATGTGATTTTCTGGATTTTTTCTCCTCAATTTGTCTGTCATAGTTGACGTGTACCTATGATGAAAATTACAGGCCTCTCTCATCTTTTTAAGTGGGAGAACATGCACAATTGGTGGCTGACTAAATACTTTTTTCCCCCACTGTATTAACACTTATCTATTATCCTTTTAAAATAGAGGTGCTTAGAGATCCAGAAGAAATGAATGCAATGGACAGGATCCTGAGATCCAATGGGAGTAAGTATAGTATTAGTTGCTTAGTTCGGGGTAGGAGTTTATAGGGAAGGAGATATACTGTATTTGGGGTAGGAGTTTACAGGGAAGGAGATATACTGTATTTGGGGTAGGAGTTTACAGGGAAGGAGATATACTGTATTTGGGGTAGAAGTTTACAGGGAAGGAGATATACTGTATTTGGGGTAGAAGTTTACAGGGAAGGAGATATACTGTATTTGGGGTAGGAGTTTACAGGGAAGGAGATATACTGTATTTGGGGTAGGAGTTTACAGGGAAGGAGATATACTGTATTTGGGGGTAGGAGTTTACAGGGAAGGAGATATACTGTATTTGGGGTAGGAGTTTACAGGGAAGGAGATATACTGTATTTGGGGTAGGAGTTTACAGGGAAGGAGATATACTGTATTTGGGGTAGGAGTTTACAGGGAAGGAGATATACTGTATTTGGGGTAGGAGTTTACAGGGAAGGAGATATACTGTATTTGGGGTAGGAGTTTACAGGGAAGGAGATATACTGTATTTGGGGTAGGAGTTTACAGGGAAGGAGATATACTGTATTTGGGGTAGGAGTTTACAGGGAAGGAGATATACTGTATTTGGGGTAGAAGTTTACAGGGAAGGAGATATACTGTATTTGGGGTAGGAGTTTACAGGGAAGGAGATATACTGTATTTGGGGTAGAAGTTTACAGGGAAGGAGATATACTGTATTTGGGGTAGGAGTTTACAGGGAAGGAGATATACTGTGTTCGGGGTAGGAGTTTACAGGGAAGGAGATATACTGTACATGTATAATGTATCAAACCCTCCTCCAGCTCTGGATTCAGCTTGAAGGGCCTGGGCTCTGTCTGAAATGGCACGCTAATCTCTTTGGACCCTGGTCTAAAGTAGTGCACTATATAGGGAATAGGGTGCCATTCTCTGGTCTAAAGTAGTGCACTATATAGGGAATAGGGTGCCATTCTCTGGTCTAAAGTAGTGCACTATATAGGGAATAGGGTGCCATTGGGACTCGTTCCAGGTGTTTGTGAGAGGGACTGTAAGGGGTTTTAGTACCGTACCTGTGTTACGAGAATTTCTATCTCTAATTCAACCTAAGCTTGAATCATTACCAGAGGTTGTAAGGCTCTGGTTTTAATCATAAATGATTCAAGGTCCACAACCAACAAGGATTATCTGAATGTTTATTCATGGAAAGCTCTGGCTCCCAAAACCCATACCCTCCTGTTTTATACTCCTCCCACCCCAAGGCACCCTGCTCCGCCCACCTCTAGGAGGCCCCCTGTAACCCATTTTCTCAGTCCCCTTCACCCTGGAATGTTTAGTCCCGCCCCCCTCTGTTAGTAGGTTGACAATACATTATAATTCTAACACAGTTCACACATTTACAGTGGGGAAAAAAAGTATTTAGTCAGCCACCAATTGTGCAAGTTCTCCCACTTAAAAAGATGAGAGAGGCCTGTAATTTTCATCATAGGTACACGTCAACTATGACAGACAAAATGAGGAAAAAAAATCCAGAAAATCACATTGTATGATTTTTAATGAATTTATTTGCAAATTATGGTGGAAAATAAGTATTTGGTCAATAACAAAAGTTTTCTCAATACTTTGTTATATACCCTTTGTTGGCAATGACACAGGTCAAACGTTTTCTGTAAGTCTTCACAAGGTTTTCACACACTGTTGCTGGTATTTTGGCCCATTCCTCCATGCAGATCTCCTCTAGAGCAGTGATGTTTTGGGGCTGTCGCTGGGCAACACGGACTTTCAACTCCCTCCAAAGATTTTCTATGGGGTTGAGATCTGGAGACTGGCTAGGCCATTCCAGGACCTTGAAATGCTTCTTACGAAGCCACTCCTTCGTTGCCCGGGCGGTGTGTTTGGGATCATTGTCATACTGAAAGACCCAGCCACGTTTCATCTTCAATGCCCTTGCTGATGGAAGGAGGTTTTCACTCAAAATCTCACCATACATGGCCCCATTCATTCTTTCCTTTACACGAATCAGTCGTCCTGGTCCCTTTGCAGAAAAACAGCCCCAAAGCATGATGTTTCCACCCCCATGCTTCACAGTAGGTATGGTGTTCTTTGGATGCAACTCAGCATTCTTTGTCCTCCAAACACGACGAGTTGAGTTTTTACCAAAAAGTTCTATTTTGGTTTCATCTGACCATATGACATTCTCCCAATCCTCTTCTGGATCATCCAAATGCACGCTAGCACGGGCCTGGACATGTACTGGCTTAAGCAGGGGGACACGTCTGGCACTGCAGGATTTAAGTCCCTGGCGGCGTAGTGTGTTACTGATGGTAGGCTTTGTTACTTTGGTCCCAGCTCTCTGCAGGTCATTCACTAGGTCCCCCCGTGTGGTTCTGGGATTTTTGCTCACCGGTCTTGTGATCATTTTGACCCCACGGGGTGAGATCTTTCGTGGAGCCCCAGATCGAGGGAGATTATCAGTGGTCTTGTATGCCTTCCATTTCCTAATAATTGCTCCCACAGTTGATTTCTTCAAACCAAGCTGCTTACCTATTGCAGATTCAGTCTTCCCAGCCTGGTGCAGGTCTACAATTTTGTTTCTGGTGTCCTTTGACAGCTCTTTGGTCTTGGCCATAGTGGAGTTTGGAGTGTGACTGTTTGAGCTTGTGGACAGGTGTCTTTTATACTGATAACAAGTTCAAACAGGTGCCATTAATACAGGTAACGAGTGGAGGACAGAGGAGCCTCTTAAAGAAGAAGTTACAGGTCTGTGAGAGCCAGAAATCTTGCTTGTTTGTAGGTGACCAAATACTTATTTTCCACCATAATTTGCAAATAAATTCATAAAAAATCCTACAATGTGATTTTCTGGAATTTTTTTCCTCAATTTGTCTGTCATAGTTGACGTGTACCTATGATGAAAATTACAGGCCTCTCTCATCTTTTTAAGTGGGAGAACTTGCACAATTGGTGGCTGACTAAATACTTTTTTTCCCCACTGTATACTGTATTTGGGGTGAAATCCTTTAGTCGTTATTCTTAAAATACAAATTAATCTAACAACCTGTCAGCAGTAACATGGTTTTAGTGCAGTACCTGTCAGCAGTAACGTGGTGATCATGTCTCTCTGCCAGGGCGGGGCAGCCCTAGAGCCCGAGGCCTGTCCTTCAGGGAAGGAGACATTGCCAGCTCCTACAGCACACAGAGCCGCAGCGCCATAACCTGCCCTGGTAACTCCTGCCTCTGGCCCAAGGCAGTGGATGGATTTGTCTATGTCCCCTACATTATTTCTCCACAATATGGCAAGTCTCTGTTACATTCCTCTGTTTTGTCTAATTTATCCATGACAAGTATCATCTGTACATTGGTAGTAGGTGAATTAGGTAGCTATACAGTTTAGATTTTAGTCATTTAGCAGACGCTCTTATCCAGAGCGACTTACAGGAGCAATTAGGGTTAAGTGCCTTGCTTAAGGGCACATCGACAGATTTTTCACCTAGTCGGCTCTGGGATTAGAACCAGCGACCTTTCAGTTACTGGCACAACGCTCTTACCCACTAAGCTACCTGCCACCCCATACCTACTTAGCTATCACCAAGTATCTGTACATTGGTAGTAGGTGAATTAGGTAGATATCACCAAGTATCTGTACATTGGTAGTAGGTGAATTAGGTAGCTATCACCAAGTTGTAAAGTTAGAGTCGGGTTATGACTCCCATTGAAAATGACTTCTTTATGACAAATTGTGAACTGATGTACACTAACTTCACACTTTTAATGTCAATCATTAGTTTGTGCTTAGTAGGCAATTAGTAACAGTCGGAGTTTAATTCTGATTGACAGATGACATGGATAGAATCACCATAGAGATGGGAATGCTGGACATCTTGTCTGAAACGTGTGTGAAGTTTGTTCCTCGCAGCCATGAAGCCAACTTCCTGGATATACAGCCCAGGTTTGGGTCAGTGTTGTATCTTATACGTTGGTTCGGAACTCAATGGACATATTCTTAGGATACATTCTGAAACATCTTGCTTCTAGTTCCAGTTGCTTCATGTAAGATATGCAGTGACAGCCTGGTCCCAGATCTGTTTGTGCTGTCTTGATAACTGTGGCAAGACAACACAAACAGACTTGGACCAGGCTAATCCAGTAATATTATGTTTTGCTGAATGTGTCTCTGCCTTTTCGTACCACTAGCTGCTGGTCATTCCTGGGTATGACTGAAGGAGCCCAGCCCCTCTCCCTGCAGTCCCCTGGGTGCATGTGGTCTGGCATCGCCTCCCATGAACTCATGCACGCTCTGGGCTTTGTGCACGAGCAGTCCCGCTCTGATCGGGATCACTATGTTTCTATTATATGGGAAAACATCATGCAGGGTCAGTGTCCTATCAATACTTCATCTGTGACATTTACATTTTAGTCATTTAGCAGACGCTCTTATCCAGAGCGACTTACACTAGTGAGTGCATATATTGTTCATACTTTTTCATACTGGTCCCCAGTGGGAATCGAACCCACAACCCTGGCATTGCCAGCGCCATGCTCTACCAGCTGAGCCACACGGGATCCTCTCTCTCTCTCTCTCTCTCTCTCTCTCTCTCTCTCTCTCTCTCTCTCTCTCTCTCTCTCTCTCTCTCTCTCTCTCTCTCTCTCTCTCTCTCTCTCTCTCTCTCTCTCTCTCTCTCTCTCTCTCTCTCTCTCTCTCTCTCTCTCTCTCTCTCTCTCTCTGTCTCTCTGTCTCTCTGTCTCTCTGTCTCTCTCTCCTCTCTGTCTCTCTCTCTCTTCATGTAATTACTGTACGTAGGATGACATATAGACTGAAATTATGTATGTCCCTATAAACAGGTCAGGTGCATAACTTTAAGAAGTACCAGACCAACAACCTCAATACTGTCTATGACTACAGCTCCATCATGCACTATGGCAGGTGAGTTGGTTTAGGGGGTGATAGACTATTCATTGGTCACTCACTTCTTGGGGCCAGCCTACAGGAAGTAGCTAAGATTGTGTTCTGAGGTTCCATTCTTTAAAATTGTTTAAAAAAATAATCCAATCAATTTTTTTTGTCACATGCGCCGAATACAACAGGTTTAGACTTTACCGTGAAATGCTTACTTACGATCCCTTTCCCAACAATGCAGAGTTAAAAAGTATGAAAATTGTAACACAAATATCAATAATGAGGCTATATACAAGGAGTAATGGTACCGAGTCAATGTGCAAGGAGGGGTACGAGGTAGTATGTAAATGTAGGTAGGAAACAGAGGGGCGAGCAATCCCCGACCCACATCGACGGGGCTGTAGTGGAGCGGGTCGAGAGCTTCAAGTTCCTCGTTGTCCGCATCAACAAGGACTTAACATGGTCGTCTCACACCAGCTCAGTCATGAAGAGGGCAAGACAGCGCCTCTTCCCCCTCAGGAGGTTAAAACAATTTAGCATGGCCCCTCAGATCCTCAAAAAGGCACTACAGAGGGTGCTGCGGACGGCCCAGTACATCACTGGGGCTGAGCTCCCTGCCATCCAGGACCTCTATACCAGGCGGTGTCAGAGGAACGGCCAGACATTTTTCAAAGACCCCAGCCACCCAAGCCATAGACTGTTCTCTCTGCTACCACACGGCAAACGGTACCGGAGCGCCATGTCTACCGTTACACTGACTCCATGCACACTCACTGGACTCTACCCAAAACACTCACACAGGGAGTACAGCGGACACCCCTGTGGGGCCCCGTGTTCAGGGTCAGCGTGGTGGAGGTGATGTTACCTACCCTCACCACCTGGGGCGGCCCGTCAGAAAGTCCAGGATCCAGTTGTAGGGGGAGGTGTTCAGTCCCAGGGTCCCGAGCTTGGTGATGACCTAGGAGGGCACTATGACGTTTAACACTAAGCTGTAGTCCATGAACAGCATTCTCACATAGGTATTCCTCTTATCTAGGTGGGTGAGGGCAGTGTGGAGTGCAATAGAGATTGCGTCGTCTGTGGATCTATTGTGGGTCCAGGGTGTCTGGGATGATGGCGTTGATGTGCGCCATGACCAGCCTTTCAAAGCATTTCATGGTTACAGATGTGAGTGCTACGGGACGATGGTCATTTAGGGAGGTTACCTTTGTGTTCTTAGGAACAGGGACAATGGTGGTCTGCTTGAAACATGTTGGGATTACAGACTGGGACAAGGAGATGTTGAAAATGTCTGTGAACACACTTGCCAGCTGGTCTGTGCATGCTCTGAGAACGTGCCCTGATGTTTCCGCCTTGCTAGTGTTCACCTGTTTAAAATTCTTACTCACGTCGGCCACGGAGAGCGTGATCACAGCCATCCGGGACAGCAGGAGCTCTCATGCCTGGCTCAGTGTTGTTTGCTTCGAAGCAAGCATAGGAGGCATTCAGCTCGTCTAGGACGTTTTGCGTCACTGGGCAACTCATTGCTGGGTTTCCCTTTGCAATCCGTAATATTCCGCAAACCCTGCCACATCTGACGAGCGTCGGAGCTGGTGTAGTAGGATTCTTAGTCCTATATTGACCTTTTCCACGTTTGATGGCTCGTTGAAGGTCATAGTGGGCTTTCTTGTAAGCGTCCATGACCGTGCCCCGTTCCTTGAAAGCGGTAGCTCTAGCCCGGTGCGGTTACTGCCTGTTATCCATGGTTTTTGGTTATAGTACGTACTGGTCACTGTGGAGATGACGTCGTCGATGCACTTATTGATGAAGCCTGTGACTGATGTGGTAAACGCTTCAATGTTATTGGATGAATCCCGGAACATATTCCAGTCTGTGCTAGAGATGCAGTCTTGTAGCTCAGCATCTGCTTCTTCGGACCACTTCCGTACTGAGCGTGTCACTATTACTTCCTGTTTGAGTTTTTCCTTGTAAACAGGAAGCAGGAGGATGGAGTCATGGTCTGATTTGCCGAAGGGAGGGCGAGGGTCTTGTATGCATTTCTGTGGGTAGAGTAAAAGTGGTCCAGAGTGTTAGCACCTCTTGTGGTGTAGGAGATGTTTTGGTAAAAGTGGGGTAAAAAACATTTCACTCTCCCTGCGTTAAAGTTTCTGTCTACTAGAAACGCTGCCTCTGGGAGTGTGTTTTCTTGTTTGTTTATGGCCCTGTACAGCTCGTTGAGTGCCTGCTTAGTGCCATTCTTGTTTTGTGGTGGGATGTAGACAGCAGTGATGATTACAGATGAAAACTCTCTTGGTAGATAAAAAAAGGTCTGCAGCTTACCATGAGGTATTCTAGTTCAGGTGAGCAAATGCTGGAGACTTCCTTCACACCTGAAGCAGCACACCAGTTGTTGTTTACAAAGAGGGACACCCCTCCCCCTTTGGTTTTACCTGAGTCCGCTGTCCGGTCGTGACGAAGCATGGAGAAACCCTAGAGTTTTATGTCCATATCAGCCAAGTTTCTGAAGATAATATTACAGCTTTTCACGTCCCGTTGGTAGGAAACTCTCGAATGGCGCTTATCCATCTTGTTCTCAAGTGACTGGACATTTGCCAATAAAACGGAGGGGAGTGACGGCCGATTTTCTCTGTATCTGAGTCTAAGAAGGACTCAAGTCCTCCTCCTGGATACCAGCCCTCCTCCCTCCAGCAGGGAAGTCTTATTTCTGTTCCATGGTTCGGTTCTAAGGTTGTGTTCTAATGTTCAGTTCTAAGGTTGTGTTCTAATGTTCAGTTCTGAGGTTGTGTTCTAATGTTCAGTTCTAAGGTTGTGTTCTAATCTTCGGTTCTAAGGTTGTGTTCTAATGTTCGGTTCTAAGGCTGTGTTCTAATGTTCAGTTCTGAGGTTGTGTTCTAATGTTCAGTTCTAAGGTTGTGTTCTAATCTTCGGTTCTAAGGCTGTGTTCTTCTAAGGTTGCGATCTCTGATGCAGGTATGCCTTCTCAGAGGACGGTGGACCAACCATCATCCCCAAACCAGATCCCTACACTCCAATTGGTCAGCGAGATGGACCCAGTCGTCTGGACATACACAAGATAAACCTACTGTATGAATGTGGTACGTAGTTAACACCTTCACGATCTCAGTGTATATGACATCTTTAAATCTTTCTGAACAGTATGTTTTCATGGCATCACTAGTACAGTTCAGTGTTTGATTTTGTCCGCTAGGTGGCCTGGTGTAACTGGATGAAGAACTGTCAGAACAGAAGTCATATCCCATTTTTACTGACATATAAAAAAGGACAATATATTTTAATAATGTTTATGAAACTTGAGATTGAGACACTGTCACGGTTTCGGCCGAGGCTGCTCCTTCTCCTTGTTCGGGCAGGCTTCGGCGGTCGTCGTCTCCGGAGTACTAGCTGCCACCATTCGTTGTTTCTGTGTTTGTTTGGTTTGGTCTGTTTTGGTACACCTGTTTCTCATTTTGTCTTGATGATGTGTCCTTTAAGTTCTCGTTGTTTCTGTCTTGTGGTTGTGTGTAGTTGTTCCTTGTCAGCTGGTGCTTCCAGTCAGTTAGTGATCTATTCTGTATTGGATAGAGAGTCCTTGTTGTGCGTGTTCGCTGTGTTTTGCTTTTATACGCTGTGTGGGTTATTTTTCTCGTGCCTCCGGCTCTGTTTGTAGCCGTTCTTTTTGTGGACTTTACTAAAGTATTTTTGGACTAGCATCTGTGTCCTGCATCTGATTCCTACACCACACCTATGGCCGCTCTGACAGACACATCAATAAAGTCTGTTACTAGTGTTGTACAATGTGATTTAACGTGTGAGATCTTGTATGGTCGTCATCACAACTGATGCACGTACTCTGTATGACCATATAGGGATTCATGGGCAACCTCATTCAAGGGTTTTTCTTTATTTTTTACTGTTTTCTACATTGTAGAATAATAGTGAAGACATCAAAACTGTGAAATAACACATATGGAATCATGTAGTAACCAAAAAAGTGTTAAATCAAAATATATTTGAGATTTGAGATTCTTCAAATAGCCACCCTTCGCCTTGATGACAGCTTTGCACACTCTTGGCATTCTCTCAACCAGCTTCACCTGGAATGCTTTTCAATGAACAGGTGTGCCTTCTTAAAAGTTAATGTGTTATTTCATAGTTTTGATGTCTTCACTATTATTCTACAATGTAGAAAATAGTTTTAAAAAATCAAGAAAAACCCTTGAATGAGTAGGTGTGTCCAAACGTTTGACCGGTAGTGTATTTAAAAGGCACACAGTTAATGTTTGCCACATACTTGCCTTCTAAGACTGTCAATGATTGTCCCCCCATAACAATATCCAAATCTTAAATATGTCCAATTGATCCCATCTCTTGTTCTTGCATTTGATTTTATCACCTTTTTTTTTTTCTTCCTTTTTTTGGGGGGTGTATTCTTTCTTAAAACTGCGTTGTTGGTTAAGGTCTTGTAAGTAAGCATTTCACGGTAAGGTATTCGGCGCATGTGACAAATAAAATTTGATTTGATTTTTTATTTGAAATACATTAGAGTACCACCAAGCAACTCCCCCAGATCTCTGTTGCTGCTTTGATTTGAATCCATTGATTCTCTTTTGGATTTGAACCATAGAGCTTTTCCGGTAGAGTTCCGCCAAAAGAAGCAGACATGATCTTTCTTGATCATTCTGATCCCAGGGAGCCCAGGTCAGTTCAGCTGCTAGTGTCTGCGTTGGAAGGCTCTTCGTGTCTTCTTCAGCCCGTCCCCTTCTTCTCTTCCAACGCATCCTTGAGGTCACTTTCTGCTTTTTTTTTTTTTTTCCACTGTCCTGTCGTAAGCTGCGCAGGAAATCGAAGGACAGGTAAGTGAGGAACAGGTAGCAGGCCCACAGAATGACCATTTTCGTAAGAATTGTCTGAAAGAAAACCTTTGAGGCAATATGAGCTGTCATACTCAGTAGAGCGAAAATATCATCTCCAGAGAAGTCTGTAAAAAATCTTCTTCCTCTCAGTAAAGTTTTGGAGAGTAGCATCATCCAAATAATTCATTACATTATAAATAGGCCTTAACAAAAACCTGTTCTACAACTGCTATGGTTATATAAAAAAATTGTATGCACTCTCTAAACTAATAGCAGCATTACAATCCATCACCTTATCTAGACTAATAGCAGCTTTACAATCCATCACCTTATCTAAACTAATAGCAGCATTACAATCCATCACCTTATCTACATTTACATTTTAGCAGACTCTCTTATCCAGAGCGACTTACAGTTAGTGCATACATTTTTTTTTTTCATACTGGCCCCCCGTGGGAATCGAACCCACAACCCTGGTTTTTATGAGCAGAGTCAATACATTGTATAATGTTTTTACGGGCAGATTCAATACATTGTTTAATGTTTTTATGAGCAGAGTCAATACATTGTATAATGTTTTTACGATCAGTGTCAATACATTGTATAATGTTTTTACGATCAGAGTCAATACATTGTATAATTTTTTTACGAGCAGCGTCAATACATTGTATAGTTTTGTTCGCTCAGTAGCTACAATGTTCATTCAGAAAAAACGATCCTCGTATTTTGACTGGCTGAGCAGTGACAAGGCCGCGCATAAACACCAATGATGTATATACATCATCATTAAAACACCCGTCCACATTTTCAGAAATGGCAGGCTAGCTACTAGACTCGCACTAAATTTACACATTTGCAGCTAGATACAGTGAGGGAAAAAAAGTATTTGATCCCCTGCTGATTTTGTACGTTTGCCCACTGACAAAGAAATGATCAGTCTATAATTTTAATGGTAGGTTTATTTGAACAGTGAGAGACAGAATAACAACAAAATAATCCAGAAAAACGCATGTCAAAAATGTTATAAATTGATTTGCATTTTAATGAGGGAAATAAGTATTTGACCCCCTCTCAATCAGAAAGATTTCTGGCTCCCAGGTGTCTTTTATACAGGTAACGAGCTGAGATTAGGAGCACACTCTTAAAGGGAGTGTTCCTAATCTCAGCTTGTTACCTGTATAAAAGACACCTGTCCACAGCAGCAATCAATCAATCAGATTCCAAACTCTCCACCATGGCCAAGACCAAAGAGCTCTCCAAGGATGTCAGGGACAAGATTGTAGACCTACACAAGGCTAGAATGGGCTACAAGACCATCGCCAAGCAGCTTGGACTGAAATCCTGCAGCGCCCGCAAGGTCCCCCTGCTCAAAAAAGCACATATACATGCCCGTCTGAAGTTTGCCAATGAACATATGAATGATTCAGAGGAGAACTGGGTGAAGGTGTTGTGGTCAGATAAGACCAAAATCGAGCTCTTTGGCATCAACTCAACTCGCCGTGTTTGGAGGAGGAGGAATGCTGTCTATGACCCCAAGAACACCATCCCCACCGTCAAACATGGAGGTGGAAACATTATGCTTTGGGGGTGTTTTTCTGCTAAGGGGACAGGACAACTTTACCGCATTAAAGGGCCGATGGACGGGGCCATGTACCGTCAAATCTTGGGTGAGAACCTCCTTCCCTCAGCCAGGGCATTGAAAATGGGTAGTGGATGGGTATTCCAGCATGACAATGACCCAAAACACACGGCCAAGGCAACAAAGGAGTGGCTCAAGATGAAGCACATTAAGGTCCTGGAGTGGCCTAGCCAGTCTCCAGACCTTAATCCCATAGAAAATCTGTGGAGGGAGCTGAAGATTCGAGTTGCCAAACGTCAGCCTCGAAACATTAATGACTTGGAGAAGATCTGCAAAGTGGAGTGGGACAAAATCCCTCCTGAGATGTGTGCAAACCTGGTAGCCAACTACAAGAAACGTCTGACCTCTGTGATTGCCAAAAAGGGTTTTGCCACCAAGTACTAAGTCATGTTTTGCAGAGGGGTCAAATACTTATTTCCCTCATTAAAATGCAAATCATCATCTCAGGAGGGATTTTGTTCCACTCCTCTTTGCAGATCTTCTCCAAGTCATTAAGGTTTCGAGGCTGACGTTTGGCAACTCGAACCTTCAGCTCCCTCCACAGATTCTCTATGGGATTAAGGTCTGGAGACTGGCTAGGCCACTCCAGGACCTTAATGTGCTTCTTCTTGAGCCACTCCTTTGTTGCCTTGGCCGTGTGTTTTGGGTCATTGTCATGCTGGAATACCCATCCACGACCCATTTTCAATGCCCTGGCTGAGGGAAGGAGGTTCTCACCCTAGATTTGATGGTACATGGCGAAGTTGTCCTGTCCCCTTAGCAGAAAAACACCCCCAAAGCATAATGTTTCCACCTCCATGTTTGACGGTGGGGATGGTGTTCTTGGGGTCATAGGCAGCATTCCTCCTCCTCCAAACACGGCGAGTTGAGTTGATGCCAAAGAGCTCGATTTTGGTCTCATCTGACCAAAACACTTTCACCCAGTTCTCCTCTGAATCATTCATATGTTCATTGGCAAACTTCAGACGGCACTGTATATGTGCTTTCTTGAGCAGGGGGACCTTGCGGGTGCTGCAGGATTTCAGTCCTTCACGGCGTAGTGTGTTACCAATTGTTTTCTTGGTGACTATAGTCCCAGCTGCCTTGAGATCATTGACAAGATCCTCCCGTGTAGTTCTGGGCAGATTCCTCACCGTTCTCATGATCATTGCAACTCCACGAGGTGAGATCTTGCATGGAGCCCCAGGCAATCTCCACGAGGGAGATTGACAGTTATTTTGTGTTTCTTCCATTTGCGAATAATCGCACCAACTGTTGTCACCTTCTCACCAAGCTGCTTGGCGATGGTCTTGTAGCCCATTCTAGCCTTGTGTAGGTCTACAATCTTGTCCCTGACATCCTTGGAGAGCTCTTTGGTCTTGGCCATGGTGGAGAGTTTGGAATCTGATTGATTGATTGCTGCTGTGGACAGGTGTCTTTTATACAGGTAACAAGCTGAGATTAGGAACACTCCCTTTAAGAGTGTGCTCCTAATCTCAGCTCGTTACCTGTATAAAAGACACCTGGGAGCCAGAAATCTTTCTGATTGAGAGGGGGTCAAATACTTATTTCCCTCATTAAAATGCAAATCAATTTATAACATTTTTGACATGCGTTTTTCTGGATTTTTGTTGTTGTTATTCTGTCTCTCACTGTTCAAATAAACCTACCATTAAAATTATAGACTGATCATTTCTTTGTCAGTGGGCAAACGTACAAAATCTGCAGGGGATCAAATACTTATTCCCTCACTGTATATATTTTCAAAACAATATATGGGGGATTGGAAATGATGCAAGCCACAAACCTATTCCCCCTCAGGAGACTGAAAAGATTTGGCATGGGTCCTCAGATCCTCAAAAATCTCTACAGATGCACCATCGAGAGCATCCTGACTGGTTGCATCACTGCCTGGTATGGCAACTGCTCGGCCTCCGACCGCAAGGTACTACAGAGGGTAGTACGTACGGCCTAGTACATCACTGGGGCCAAGCTTCCTGCCATCTAGGACCTCTATACCAGGTGGTATAGAGGAAGGCCCTAAAAATTGTCAATGACTCCAGCCACCCTAGTCATAGACTGTTCTCTCTGCTACCGCATGGCAAGCGGTACCAGAGCGCCAAGTCTAGGTCCAAAAGTCTTCTGAACAGCTTTTACCCCCAAGCCATAAAACTCCTGAACAGCTAATCAAATGGCTACCCAGACTATTTGCACTGCCCCCCCCCACCCACCCCCCTCTTTTACACTGCTGCTACTCTCTGTTTATTATCTATGCATAGTCACTTTAACTCTACCTACATGTACATATTACCTAAATTACCTCGACTAACCGGTGCCCCCGCACATTGACTCTGTCCCGGTACCCCCTGTATATAGCTGTATATAAGTAAGCATTTCACTGTAATGTCTGCACCCGTTGTATTCGGCGCATGTGGCCAATAAAATTTTATTTTATTTTATTTATATAGCCTGTATATTGACTCGGGACCGGCACCCCCTGTATATAGCCTGTATATTGACTCTGTACCGGTACCCCCCTGTATATAGCTGTATATAGCCTGTATATTGACTCTGTACCGGTACCCCCTGTATATAGCTGTATATAGCCTGTATATTGACTCTGTACCGGTACCCCCTGTATATAGCTGTATATTGACTCTGTACCGGTACCCCCTGTATATAGCCTGTATATTGACTCTGTACCGGTACCCCCTGTATATAGCCTGTATATTGACTCTGTACCGGTACCCCCTGTATATAGCCTGTATATTGACTCTGTACCGGTACCCCCTGTATATAGCTGTATATAGCCTGTATATTGACTCTGTACTGGTACCCCCTGTATATAGCCTGTATATTGACTCTGTACCGGTACCCCCTGTATATAGCCTGTATATTGACTCTGTACCGGTACCCCCTGTATATAGCCTGTATATTGACTCTGTACCGGTACCCCCCTGTATATAGCTGTATATAGCCTGTATATTGACTCTGTACCGGTACCCCCTGTATATACAGTGGGGAGAACAAGTATTTGATACACTGCCGATTTTGCAGGTTTCCCTACTTACAAAGCATGTAGAGGTCTGTAATTTTTATCATAGGTACACTTCAACTGTGAGAGACGGAATCTAAAACAAAAATCCAGAACATCACATTGTATGATTTTTAAGTAATTAATTTGCATTTTATTGCATGACATAAGTATTTGATCACCTACCAACCAGTAAGAATTCCGGCTCTCACAGACCTGTTAGTTTTTCTTTAAGAAGCCCTCCTGTTCTCCACTCATTACCTGTATTAACTGCACCTGTTTGAACTCATTACCTGTATAAAAGACACCTGTCCACACACTCAATCAAACAGACTCCAACCTCTCCACAATGGCCAAGACCAGATAGCTGAGTAAGGACATCAGGGATAAAATTGTAGACCTGCACAAGACTGGGATGGGCTACAGGACAATAGGCAAGCAGCTTGGTGAGAAGGCAACAACTGTTGGCGCAATTATTAGAAAATGGAAGAAGTTCAAGATGACGGTCAATCACCCTCGGTCTGGGGCTCCATGCAAGATCTCACCTCGTGGGGTATCAATGATCATGAGGAAGGTGAGGGATCAGCCCAGAACTACACGGCAGGACCTGGGCAATGAACTGAAGAGAGCTGGGACCACAGTCTCAAAGAAAACCATTAGTAACACACTACGCCGTCATGGATTAAAATCCTGCAGCGCACGCAAGGTCCCCCTGCTCAAGCCAGCGCATGTCCAGGCCCGTCTGAAGTTTGCCAATGACCATCTGGATGATCCAGAGGAGGAATGGGAGAAGGTCATGTGGTCTGAGACAAAAATAGAGCTTTTTGGTCTAAACTCCACTCGCCGTTTTGGAGGAAGAAGAAGGATGAGTACAACCCCAAGAACACCATCCCAACAGTGAAGCATGGAGGTGGAAACATCATTCCTTGGGGATGCTTTTCTGCAAAGGGGACAGGACGACTGCACCGTATAGCGGGGAGGATGGATGGGGCCATGTATCGCGAGATCTTGGCCAACAACCTCCTTCCCTCAGTAAGAGCATTGAAGATGGGTCGTGGCTGGGTCTTCCAGCATGACAATGACCCGAAACACACAGCCAGGGCAACTAAGGAGTGGCTCCGTAAGAAGCATCTCAAGGTCCTGGAGTGGCCTAGCCAGTCTCCAGACCTGAACCCAATAGAAAATCTTTGGAGGGAGCTGAAAGTCCGTATTGCCCAGCGACAGCCCCGAAACCTGAAGGATCTGGAGAAGGTCTGTATGGAGGAGTAGGCCAAAATCCCTGCTGCAGTGTGTGCAAACCTGGTCAAGACCTACAGGAAAAGTATGATCTCTGTAATTGCAAACAAAGGTTTCTGTACCAAATATTAAGTTCTGCTTTTCTGATGTATCAAATACTTATGTCATGCAATAAAATGCAAATGAATTACTTAAAAATCATACAATGTGATTTTCTGGATTTTTGTTTTAGATTCCGTCTCTCACAGTTGAAGTGTACCTATGATAAAAATTACAGACCTCTACATGCTTTGTAAGTAGGAAAACCTGCAAAATCGGCAGTGTATCAAATACTTGTTCTCCCCACTGTAGCTGTATATAGCCTGTATATTGACTCTGTACGATAGCCTGTATATTGACTCTGTACCGGTACCCCTGTATATAGCTGTATATTGACTCTGTACCGGTACCCCCCTGTATATAGCCTGTATATTGACTCTGTACCGGTACCCCCCTGTATATAGCCTGTATATTGACTCTGTACCGGTACCCCCTGTATATAGCCTGTATACTGACTCTGTACCGGTACCCCCATGTATATAGCCTGTATATTGACTCTGTACCGGTACCCCCTTGTATATAGCCTGTTATATTGACTCTGTACCGGTACCCCCTGTATATTAGCCTGTATATTGACTCTGGTACCAGTACCCCCTGTATATAGCCTGTATATTGACTCGGTACCGGTACCCCTGTATATAGCTGTATATAGCCTGTATATTGACTCGGTACCAGTTACCACCTGTATATAGCCTGTATATTGACTCTGTACCGGTACCCCCTGTATATAGCTGTATATAGCCTGTATATTGACTCTGTACCGGTTACCCCCCATGTATATAGCTGTATATAGCCTGTATATTGACTCTGTACCGGTACCCCTGTATATAGCTGTATATAGCCTGTATATTGATCGGTACCCGGTCCCCCCTGTATATAGCCTGTATATTGACTCGGTACCGGTACCCCCTGTATATAGCCTGTATATTGAACTCTGTCCAGGTTACCCCCTGTATATAGCCTGTTATTGACTCTGTAACCGGTACCCCCTGTATATAGCTGTATATTGACTCTTGTACCGGTACCCCCTGTATATAGCTGTATATAGCCTGTATATTGACTCGGGTACCGGTACCCCCTGTATATAGCCTGTTATTGACTCTGACCGGTACCCCCTGTATATAGCTGTATATAGCCTGTATATTGACTCGGGTACCGGTACCCCCTGTATATAGCCTGTATATTGACTCTGTACCGGTACCCCCCTGTATATAGCTGTATATTGACTCTGTACCGGTACCCCACTGTATATAGCTGTATATAGCCTGTATATTGACTCTTGTACCGTACCCCCTGTATATAGCTGTATTATAGCGTATATTGACTCTGGTACCGGTCCCCCCTGATATAGCCTGTAATTGACTCGGTACCGGTACCCCCTGTATATAGCCTGTATATTGACTCTGTACCGGTACCCCCTGTATAGCCTGTATATTGACTCTGTACCGGTACCCCCTGTATATAGCCCGTATATGACTCGTACCGGTACCCCCTGTATATAGCTGTATATAGCCCTGTATATTGACTCGGTTAACGGTAACCCATGTATATAGCCTGTATATTGACTCGGTACGGTACCCCCCCTGTATAAGCTGTATATAGCCTGTATATTGACTCGGTACCAGTACCCCCTGTATATAGCCTGTATATTGACTCGGTACCGAGACCCCCTGTATATAGCTGTATATAACCTGTATATTGACTCTGTACCGGTACCCCCCCTGTATATAGCTGTATATAGCCTGTATATTGACTCGATGGTACCGGTACCCCCCTGTATATAGCTGTATATAGCCTGTATATTGGACTCGGTACCGGTTACCCCTGTATATAGCCTGTATATGACTCTGTACCGGTACCCCCCCCCCCCCCTGTTATAGCTGTCTATAGCCTGTATATTGGGACTCGCGTACCCTGTTCCCCCCTGTATATAGCCCTGTATTATTGACTCGGTACCATCAGTACCCCCTGTATTTTATATAGCCTGTATATTGACTCTTTGGTGAACCGGTCACCCCCTGTATCTAGCTGTATATAGCCTGTATCTTGACTCGGTACACAGTCCCCCTGTATATAGCCTGTATATTGACTCTGTACCGGTACCCCCTGTATATAGCTGTATATAGCCTGTATATTGACTCTGTACCGGTACCCCCTGTATATAGCCTGTATATTGACTCTGTACCGGTACCCCCTGTATATAGCCTGTATATTGACTCTGTACCGGTACCCCCTGTATATAGCCTGTATATTGACTCTGTACCGGTACCCCCTGTATATAGCCTGTATATTGACTCTGTATCGGTACCCCCTGTATATAGCCTGTATATTGACTCTGTACCGGTACCCCCCTGTATATAGCTGTATATAGCCTCATTACTGTTATTTTACTGCTTTTATTTTTTAATGATCTATTGTTTACTTAACATTTATTTTTCTTAAAACTGCATTGTTGGTTAATGGCTTGTAAGTAAGCATTTCACTGTATCTACACCTGTTGTATGTGGCAAATACTATTTGATTTGATATTAAAGCTGATCTACCCCCTCCAGTTGTTTACATGTTATTTTTATTGACAAATAAGATGTCCAGACAGCAAACAACATTTACATTTTGAAAGTGACAATAGATTAAAAAAAATACACATTCCTCACAATTGATAACTTGTTGACAATTAGAAAAGGAAACCCTTATATTTACACAAACATTCAACCAAAGGTGACTGGATTTCATTGTGACTTAGGACTCTATTCAATCTGTATCACTGAAGCGTTACAGATTGCGCGGTCTAAATTTAATGGTCATTTCCAACTGAGCCGACATATGCAGCGTTTACCGCGAATGTAGCCTGCTAAAACGGGAACATTGCCTTTAAATTTCAATCACGCTGTACCGCTGACCTTCAGCGATTGAAACCAGCCCTTAGTGATAGGCAGCAGTAAAACGATACAGGTGGAACAATTCAGAAAAATATGTTGAAAAAAAATATATATTCAATTCCCTTTGTAATAACACACACGACAAAACCTACATACCTCTAACCCTTCCCTCTCTACAACGGTCTTCACAGGACATCCTTTTCCGCTTTGAGGTAGCTAGCTGTTTAAAACAGAGACACAGGGCACTTCTAAAGGCACGTGTGTACCAACAACAACAACAACAACAACAACAACAGAATGTAGTCTATCCAAAAATACATGTCTCTCAATTAAAGTATCTTCATCAAACAAGAACAACACCAACACTATTATTTTAATTAATATGTCTACTCCCTTCACCCATAAAAACACAAAATGGCTTAAAATACCTTTACACAGACACAGACTCGGTCCATACATTCTCTAACATGGAGACGTACTCACAGACGTACTCATCTCCCTTCTGATGTGAGGTCATCTACTGTGGGAAACCTCAGTTCCCATCTCTCTCACACTGAATCAATGTTTCCTCCTGCATCCAGCCCACTGACAGGAATATGGACAGGCTGACCCAGGCTGACCCAGGTTGACCCAGGATGCTCACTGAGCCTTAACAAAAAAATGGAAGCTGAACTTATAGGATACAGACTATCCAAAAATACCAAGGCACTCCTATATCCTACAACTTCATCCTCTATTTGTTGTTATTTCCACAGGACTGGGAAACCCTTGCTCGCTCACAGAGTCTTCTTGTTGACTCCATTATCCAGTTTGAGGTATGTCTGGCTGTGGTGTCTGATGAGGGTCCCGGGGAGCAGGGCCATGCAAGCTATACCCAGCAGCTGTAGCACTTTGCCCCAGGAGAACAGGTCATCCAGAGAGGACACCTCAGACAGCATGGAGCCCGCCTGGACACAGATGAAGTTGTATGGGATCAGGCCTGGAGGGATTAGAAGCCAGAAAGACATGAGACACACAGAGGGACAGAGGGAAAAGAAGCCAGAAAGACATGAGACACACAGAGGACAGAAAGACATGAGACACACAGAGGACAGAAAGACATGAGACACACAGAGGACAGAAACACACGAGACACACAGAGGACAGAAAGACATGAGACACACAGAGGGACAGAAAGACATGAGACACACAGAGGACAGAAAGACATGAGACACACAGAGGACAGAAACACATGAGACACACAGAGGACAGAAAGACATGAGACACACAGAGGGACAGAAAGACATGAGACACACAGAGGACAGAAAGACATGAGACACACAGAGGACAGAAAGACATGAGACACACAGAGGACAGAAACACACGAGACACACAGAGGACAGAAAGACATGAGACACACAGAGGACAGAAACACATGAGACACACAGAGGACAGAAAGACATGAGACACACAGAGGACAGAAAGACATGAGACACACAGAGGACAGAAACATAATGAGACACACAGAGGACAGAAAGACATGAGACACACAGAGGGACAGAAACACATGAGACACACAGAGGACAGAAAGACATGAGACACAAAGAGGACAGAAAGACATGAGACACACAGAGGACAGAAACATAATGAGACACACAGAGGGACAGAAACATAATGAGACACACAGAGGGACAGAAAGACATGAGACACACAGAGGACAGAAAGACATGATACACACAGAAGCCAGAAAGACATGAGACACACAGAGGACAGAAAGACATGAGACACACAGAGGACAGAAACATAACATCAATCATTGCTAAATTTGTTATGATCTTTTAAATAAAATCCTAATTTCTAAAGACACGGATCATAGAGAGATTGTCTCTGAATATTAATAAGACAAGGACTATAAAGGACCAATGAAGGAAAAGACTGAATCAGTTTCTGCTCCTGCTTACCGATGAAGACTGAGAAGAAGAAGAACGTGACAGGGATGTTGACGATGGGGGCGGACATGTTGAGGAACCAGTTAGGAGTCATGGGGAAGAACCTGAGGAAGAGGAGGAAGAAGAACAGACAGGACTGGTTCTCCTCCACCTGGGAACCAGGGCAGGAAAAGAGAGCTGGTTAATATCTGTATCTACCACCCAGTGGTCATATAGCCAAATGTCAGTGTTGGCATCCTACAGATCACTCTACCAAAGCCACGAGCCTCGCTGAGCGAGCTACTTCTAGGTCTCAGAGCAGGTGAAGTCACAGATTGAACACTGCCACCAGAACGCTAACTAGCTAACCATTTCACATCGGCAACGCTAACTAGCTAACCATTTCACATCAGCAACGCTAACTAGCTAACCATTTCACATCGGCTACATATACTTGTAATAACTTGGGATGACGGGCGTTCACCTGTTAAACGTGGGGATAGTGCAGACTACGTACCTTCTTCTGCAGCATGGAGACCTGGCCAGGGAAGAGTTTTGTGATGTAGCGTTTCCCGAAGGCCTGGGAGAGGAGGTAACACATGGTGGAGCCCACAGTGGTCAGAACACAGGCTAGCACCAAGCCCTGCCATGGGCCGAACAGGGCACCCGCTAGGATGTTCTTTAGAGGACAGAGAGGAATCAACAGCAATCAGAGCTGATTATATGATTACAAACATGTTTTATAATGTACACTACCAGTCAAAAGTTTGGACACACCTACTCATTCCAGGTTTTTTCTTTATTTTTAAAAAACAATTTTCTACATTGTAGAATAATAGTGAAGACATCAAAACTATGAAATAACACATATGGAATCATGTAGTAACCAAAAAAGTGTTAAACAAATCAAAATATGTTTGAGATTTGAGATTCTTCAAAGTAGTCACCCTTTGCCTTGATGACAGCTTTGCACACTCTTGGCATTCTCTCAACCAGCTTCATGAGGTAGTCACCTGGAATGCATTCCAATTAACAGGTGTGCCTTCTTAAAAGTTAATTTGTGGAATTTATTTCGTTCTTAATGCGTTTGAGCCAATCAGCTGTGTTCTGACAAGGTAGGGGGGGTATACAGAAGATAGCCCTATTTGGTAAAATACCAAGTCCATATTATGGCAAGAACAGCTCAAATAAGCAAATTGAAACAACAGTCCATCAATACTTAAGATGAAGGTCAGTCAACATGGAACATTTCAAGAACTTTGAAAGTTTCTTCAAGTGCAGTCGCAAAAACCATCAAGCGCTATGATGAAACTGGCTCTCATGAGGACCGCCACATGAATGGAAGACCCAGAGTTACCTCTGCTGCAGAGGATAATTCATTAGAGTTACCACCCTCAGAAATTGCAGCCCAAACAAATGCTTCACAGAGTTCAAGTAACAGACACATGTCAACATCAACTGTTCAGAGGGGACTGTGTGAATCAGGCCTTCATGGTCGAATTGCTGCAAAGAAACCACTACTAAAAGGCAACCAATAAGAAGAAGAGACCTGCTTGGGCCAAGAAACACGAGCAATGGACATTAGACTGGTGGAAATGTGTCCTTTGGTCTGGAGTCCAAATTTGAGATTTTTGGTTCCAAACGCTGTGTCTTTGTGAGACGCGGTGTGGGTGAACGGATGATCTCTGCATGTGTAGTTCCCACCGTGAAGCATGGAGGAGGTGGTGTTATGGTGTGGGGGTGTGGGGGTGCTTTGCTGGTGACACTGTCTGTGATTTATTTAGAAGGAAAATCAGCTAACAAGTGCTCAGCATATGTGGGAACTCCTTCAAGACTGTTGGAAAAGCATTCCAGGTGAAGCTGGTTGAGAGAATGCCAAGAGTGTGCAAAGCTGTCATCAATGCAAAGGGTGGCTATTTGAACAATCTGAAATATATTTGGATTATTTGTTTAACACTTTTTTGGTTACTACATGATTCCATATGTGATATTTCATAGTGTTGATGTCTTCACTATTATTCTACAATGTAGAAAATAGTAAAAATAAAGAAAAACCCTTAATGAGTAGATGTGTCCACACTTTTCACTGGTACTGTATATTGAGATGTTTGTCTACAATTTCTGCTTCTGAGTGAGTGAGTGAGTGAGTGAATGAGTGAGTGTGTACCAGGAAGGAGGAGCCAGGGATGGCGAAGGACTGCTTGTAGAGATATGCGCTACAGAAGAGAAGCAGGACGTATCCAGTGTGTTCTGTCTTGTAGAACTGTAACAGCTCTGACAATTCTCTTAGCTCTACCAGGTCTGAGGGGAACTTCAGCCTGAAAGGAGGGATCACAACACAGATGGTCTCATGAGGGCTGTGGCGGGTGGCTGGCGGCAAGGGCCTGTCTGATCTGGGGTTGATGAGGGCGGTGGGGGACAAGGGCCTGTCTGATCTGGGGTTGATGAGGGCGGTGGGGGACAAGGGCCGGTCTGATCTGGGGTTGATGAGGGCGGTGGGGGACAAGGGCCTGTCTGATCTGGGGTTGATGAGGGCGGTGGGGGACAAGGGCCGGTCTGATCTGGGGTTGATGAGGGCGGTGGGGGACAAGGGCCTGTCTGATCTGGGGTTGATGAGGGCAATGGTGGCTTGGAGGGCGGAGGCAGTGGTGGGCTTGGGGATGAGGTTGCACTCTCAACATTCTCAACTTTACAGGCATTCCAATAATCACATTACAGTATGAGTAATAGTGGGAGGCTGAACTTGAACATGAAACGACAATCAATCAACTACAGTATATGAGTCATGGTACCCATCGGTGCATGGGTCGTTCCACCTCAAAAAGCCCAAGAAAGAGGACTGACACCCACCATCTCAGATTGACACCCACCATCTCAGATTGACACCCACCATCTCAGATTGACACCCACCATCTCAGATTGACACCCACCATCTCAGATTGACACCCACCATCTCAGATTGTTCTGAAATCGTTTCTGTTGTTAGAAACAGAGAAGATTAGCATTCCTGCAACATTATTTTGTTGAAATATAATTTGATCTCTGAGAAAGGAAGTTAATTGATTGCATCCAAATTGGCCATTTTAATTTACAGGATTCATGTTCCCAGTGAATTTGGTGATGTTTTTCTTTCTGCTGTTGAGAGAAATGAGTCGTTGAAGTTGTTACGTCCCATCCTACATCCTGACCCTGTAAGCAGTCTATTGACAAGGTATGACAGCAACCCAGGCTTTGGTACCTATATTAGTATTTTCCCGCTTCATGTTCAAATCATCCTAAGGTATCTAAAAATGTATTGTGTAACTAAATGATGTTACTTATACATGATTGGGATATGAAGCACGAAAATGCTAATATAGGTACCATTGACTTGCATTGGGGGGGGGGGTTAATGAACTAATTGTAGGAACAGCACCATCTAGTGGTCAGAACCTGATAATATCAGGATGTAGGATGGGACATAAACCTAACATTTTTACATTTTAGTCATTTAGCAGACGCTCTTATCCAGAGCGACTTACAGTTAGTGAGTACATACATTTTCATACTGGCCCCCTGTGGGAAACGAACCCACAACCCTGGCGTTGAAAGCACCATGCTCTACCAACTGAGCTACAGGGGACTACAACTTAAATTACTAATTTCTTTGAACAGGGGGGAAAAAAACATCACCAAATTCACTAAGAATACATTACATATGATGCAGGAAACAAGCCACAGCTCCATATTCTACTTGTCAGACATAGAAAACGGATATTCTATACTTGTTGTTGGGTTGGGATTGGGTTGGGATTGGCGTGGAAAATGTATACAAAATGTATGCACTCACTAACTGTAAGTCGCTCTGGATAAGAGCGTCTGCTAAATGACTAAAATGTAAAATGTAAAAATGCGTGGGGATCTGTGGGTGGCTTTTGACCATTTATTTGGATTCCTCATGTCATACTCATTGTTAGAATAAAGTTTGGTCCAAATCAGATGTTAGGTACTATATTTATTGATCATATGAATCCTATCAATTCAAATGGCCAAGATGGGTGCAATCAATTAGCTTAATTACTCAGATCAAATTATATTTCAACAAAATAATGTTGCAGGAATGCTTATCTTATCTGTTTCTAACTACAGAAACGACTTCAGAACAATCTGAAATGGTGGGTGTCATGGCTTGCTGAAATGACATGGAACGACCCTGAATATAAATGATGTACCTGGACCAAAATAATGATGATAAGATGCATGGAAAGAAATCATTGACTCATTTGAAGTCGCTAGCAAGCACGAGTCAGAGCCACACACTGTAGCCTACATAACTACCTGTGTTCTTTGACTTCGCCTCTGAAGTCCTTGTTAATGTCGATATCTGACGTTTCTTCATTTTCCGTCGCTTTGGGTGGGAGTTGTCGCGGTCCGGTCGGAAGGTAAGAAGACAGAATGTACAGATAGAAAGTAGCGGCGCCAATTACAGCTATTAAACCCACAATTGACCGCATAGTTAAAGAAGAAGCTAGCTGGTCTACACGTATTTCACAATACAGGAACCGAGTATCGGGTGAGACAGAAGGGGGACAATAACAAGCGCTGGACCAAAGAGGAAAAGGGGGAGCCTAGACGGACAGCTGTGACGTAACATCCGTTTTTTTGTATCAACGCAACGTTTGTTTCAAGTTTGTATCGTTGAACAACATGGGGTCATATTGTTATTACCATTCTAAACACGTTTAGCACTTTCAGTGAGTCTATTGCAGTCATCCAGATGTATTTTATCGGAAATGGCAAAGGGAATACACACACAGGGTTAAAACTATGTGAATAGTTATTATTTAAGTAATTTATGTTTTCACTAATTGGGGAAAAATCTCAGTGTCCTATTGAATAAATAAAAACTTATCCAAAGACTTCCTTCTCAACCAAGTCAACAAACTCACTTCTGAAGTCTATGTGTGGTAAAGGTGATGGCGACATGCCATATCACTAGTACTAAAGTTCAACATCAGCTGCACGCACCACGGAATATGAGGAGTTGGAGTGAGTTTTCTCCAGAACAATAATGGCCACATACTCTCGGCTCCCGGGATCCGTTGCTTTGATAACTCTTCAGAATCCACCTGTCAATGCGCTCAGGTGAGTTAAAAATAACTTGGTACGGTCAGGATAATATTGCGCGCAGTAGGAAGTTGGACAAACGTGTATGTTCCTGTCGATTAGTAGGTTTAAGTGTTACGAAGGTGACAACAAAGGAAGTTGTTTATCTTTTGCACCTGTCATGTCCTTGTTAAAAATACTTGTCTTTAGGCTTTAAGATTATAATATTATTATTAAAGTGTGCCTAATATGAAATGCTTAATCATGTAAATTGAACTCCTGGTAGTCTTGTAACATATACTGTAACTTCACATGATTCTGCACCTGTCTGTCTGTGAGAGTTTTGGAACGGCATATTGCCATATTGATGTGATTCTGTGTGTCCCCAGTGCAGCGGTGCGACAGGGCATAGTAGACACGGTGCAGAGGGCCCTGAAGGACCCAAAGGTGACATCTGTAGTGATCTGTGGACAGAATGGGAGGTTCTGTGGAGGTAAGAATGGTCTTATAGATTGTACAGGATACTGCAGTGTTTGAAATGGGACCCTATTCCCTATATAGTGCACTGCTTATTCCCTATATAGTGCACTGCTTTTGACCAGAGCCCGTATCAAAAGTAGTGCACTATATGAGGAAATAGGGTGCCATTTTTGACGCACCGTAGGTCTGTCTAGACTAGAGGTCTGGATCTGTTTGTCTGCGTCCCAATTGTATTCCCTATATACAGTAGTGCACTACCCTTCTTGTCAAAAGTAGTGCACTATATGAGGAAATAGAGTGCCATTTGAGACGCAAACTTTGTCTCCCAGCAGCACTGATACAGAGATTTGTCTATTTCTCAGTTTCAAATATGTTTTATTATGAAGCATATTCATTCAGGTATACAACTGTACAATGCGATCAGAGGTTTGTCTGTTTCTACCAGGGGCGGACATCAGGGAGTTTGCGGGGCCGATGTTGGGGCCCCCCCTTGTGCCCATGATCCATGCTATAGAGGCTGTGGACAAGCCTGTGGTGGCAGCTATCGAGGGGGTAGCACTGGGAGGAGGACTGGAGTTAGCACTGGGCTGCCACTATCGCATTGCACACTCCAAGGTTAGTTACATGAGTCTCTCTCTCAGGGGTCAACGTTCAAATGACTGGCTGACTTGACAGAGTAATCATACGTCCAGCTGACTGACTGACTGATCATACGACTGACTGACTGACTGATCATACAGTACCAGTCAAAGTTTTTGATACACCTACTCATTCAAGGGTTTTTCTTTATTTTTTACTATTTTCTACACTGTAGAATAATAGTGAAGACATCAACACATAACACATATGGAATGATGTAGTAACCAAAAAAGTGTTAAACAAATCAAAATATATTTTATATTTGAGATTCTTCAAAGTAGCCACCCTTTGCCTCGATGACAGCTTTGGCTGTGTGCTCGATTTTATACACGTGTCAGCAACGGTTGCGGCTGAAATAGCCGAATCCACTAATTTGAAGGGGTGTCCACATACCTTTGGCCATGTAGTTTATGTAGGTTTTATTTCTATTTTAATTATATTGTTTGATTTTATATCTTTGCCGTACAATGTCCTTGGGTTTTTTTGAAAGGTGTTTTTAAATCCTATGTATTATTATTAAATGTGATGACTGATGACTGTTTTCAGGCTCTTCTAGGACTTCCAGAGGTGACCCTGGGTCTGCTGCCAGCTGCAGGAGGGACACAACGTCTACCCAGACTCATAGGGTTAACAGCTGCCCTCGACCTCATCACTACAGGTAAGACCCAGACTCATAGGGTTAACAGCTGCCCTCGACCTCATCACTACAGGTAAGACCCAGACTCATAGGGTTAACAGCTGCCCTCGACCTCATCACTACAGGTAAGACCCAGACTCATAGGGTTAACAGCTGCCCTCGACCTCATCACTACAGGTAAGACCCAGACTCATAGGGTTAACAGCTGCCCTCGACCTCATCACTACAGGTAAGACCCAGACTCATAGGGTTAACAGCTGCCCTCGACCTCATCACTACAGGTAAGACCCAGACTCATAGGGTTAACAGCTGCCCTCGACCTCATCACTACAGGTAAGACCCAGACTCATAGGGTTAACAGCTGCCCTCGACCTCATCACTACAGGTAAGACCCAGACTCATAGGGTTAACAGCTGCCCTCGACCTCATCACTACAGGTAAGATGATAGAACACCGCAGACTCACACAGGAAATGTATTTTAATCTCATGTCTTTGCACATTCAATGTACAGATGCATAATGGGTGCAGTTTGTATTCGTAATATATAATTAGCATTGTTTTACATAAAATGCTTACAGGATTTATTACTTAAAAGGGTGCTGCCAGATACTTTCTTTGTCCTTATCTCCAGCAGGGGTCAGCATTGTACCAATTGAGCAGTCACCTTTCTAGTCCGTGCTGTTAGGCCTGCTTGGCAATGAAAACGTAGTCACTAGAAGTTTTCTTACACTTACCCTAAAGCCAGATTAATTCCTTAAAAGACTGAATTAGGGTCTGGGCTGTAAAATAAGACCCTGCGTTTACAACCCAATTCTGATCATTTGTTCGTACACTACATTACCAAAAGTATGTGGACACCTGCTCATCAAACATCTCATTCCAAAATCATTGGCGCAGTGCATTGGGGCAGGTAGCGTTCTCCAAAGCCAGATTTGTTCGTCGGACTGTCAGATGGTGAAGCCTGCGTGATTCATCACTCCAGAGAATGTGTTTCCACTGCTCCAGAGTTCAATGGTGGCGAGCTTTACACCACTCCAGCTGATGCTTGGCATTGCACATGGTGATCTTAGGCTTGTGTGCGGCTGCTCGGCCATGGAAACCCATTTCATGAAACTCCCGGCGAACAGTTCTTGTGCTGACATTGCTTCCAGAGGCAGTTTGGAACTTGGTAGTGAGTGTTGCAACCGAGGACAGATGATTTTTATGCGCTTTAGCACTTGGCAGTCCCGTTCTATGAGCTTGTGTGGCCTACCACTTCGTGGCTGAGCCGTTGTTGCTCCTAGACGTTTCCACTTCACAATAACATCACTTACAGTTGACCGGGGCAGCTCTAGCAGGGCAGACATTTGATGAACTGACTTGTTGTAAAGGTGGCATCCTATGACGCTTCCACATTGAAAGTCACTGAGCTCTTCAGTAAGGCCATTCTACTGCCAATGTTTGTCAAATGTGAAGGGGTGTCCACATACTTTTGTATATACAGTGCATTCCGAAAGTATTCAGACCCCTTGACTTTTTCCACATTTTGTTATGTTTCAGCCTTATTCTAAAATGGATTAAATACATTTTTTCCCTCATCAATCTACACACAATACCCCATAATGCCAAAGCAAAAACTGGTTTTTAGAAATGTTTGCAAATGTATTAAAAATAAAAAATACCTTATTTACATAAGAAATTGAGCTCAGGTGCATCCTGTTTCCATTGATCATCCTTGATATGTTTCTCCAACTTGATTGGAGTCCACCTGTGGTAAATTCAATTGATTGGACATGATTTGGAAAGGCACACACCTGTCTATATAAGGTCCCACAGTTGACAGTGCATGTCAGAGCAAAAACCAAGCCATGCGGTGGAAGGAATTCTCCGTAGAGCTCCGAGACAGGATTGTGTCGAGACACAGATCTGGGGAAGGGTACCAAAACATTTATGCAGCATTGAAGGTCCCCAAGAACACAGTAGCCTCCATCATTCTTAAATGGAAGAAGTTTGGAACCACCAAGACTCTTCCTAGAGCTGGCCGCCCGGCCAAACTGAGTAATCGGAGGAGAAGGGCCTTGGTCAGGGAGGTGACCAAGAACCCGATGGTCACTCTGACAGAGCTCCAGAGTTCCTCTGTGGAGATGGGAGAACCTTCCAGAAGGACAACCATCTCTGCAGCACTCCACCATTCAGGCCTTTATGCTAGAGTGGCCAGACGGAAGCCACTCCTCAGTTAAAGGCACATGACAGCCCGCTTGGAGTTTGCCAAAAGGCACCTAAAGGACTCTCAGACCATGAGAAACAAGATTCTCTGGTCTGATGAAACCAAGATTGAATTCTTTGGACTGAATGCCAAGCATCACATCTGGAGGAAACCTGGCACCATCCCTACTGTGAAGCATGGTGGTGACAGCGTCATGCGGTGGGGATGTTTTTCAGTGGCAGGGACTGGGAGACTAGTCAGGATCGAGGCAAAGATGAATGGAGCAAAGTACAGAGAGATCCTTGATGAAAACCTTCTCCAGAGCGCTCAGGACCTCAGACTGGGGTGAAGGTTCACCTTCCAGCAGGACAACTACCCTAAGCACACAGCCAAGACAACACAGCAGTGGCTTCGGGGCAAGTCTCTGAATGTCCTTGAGTGGCTCAGCCAGAGCCTGGACTTGAACCTGATCTAACATCTCTGGAGAGACCTGAAAATAGCTGTGCAGCGACGCTCCCCATCCAACCTGACAGAGCTTGAGAGGATCTGCAGAGAAGAATGGGAGAAACTCCCCAAATACAGGTGTGCCAAGCTTGTAGCGTCATACCCAAGAAGACTCAAGGCTGTAATCGCTGCCAAAGGTGCTTCAACAAGGTACTGAGTAAAGGGTCTGAATACTTATGTAAATATGATGTTTCAGTTTTTAATTCTTAATAAATTAGCAAAAATATCAAAAAAACATTTTTTTGCTTAGTCATTATGGGGTATTGTGTGTAGGTTGAAAAAAATAATTGAAATCCATTTTAGATTAAGGCTGTAACGTAACAAAATGTGGAAAAAGTCAAGTGGTCTGAATACTTTCTGAATAGTGTATCCGAAAAATATGTAATGTGAAAATATCTAATGTGATTGGACCAAAAATATGAGAATTGGGCTGTCGTAACCCGTCGTATCCTTCCCAGGGCTGCCTGTGTAACCCGTGGTAACCCGTCGTATCCTTCCCAGGGCTGCCTGTGTAACCCGTGGTAACCCGTCGTATCCTTCCCAGGGCTGCCTGTGTAACCCGTGGTAACCCGTCGTATCCTTCCCAGGGCTGCCTGTGTAACCCGTGGTAACCCGTCGTATCCTTCCCAGGGCTGCCTGTGTAACCCGTGGTAACCCGTCGTATCCTTCCCAGGTCGCCATATCTCTGCTGCTGAGGCCCTGAAGCTGGGGATCCTAGATCAGGTTACCGATAGCAACGCTGTGGACCTGGCCGTGGACTTCGTCAGGAGCGTTGCAGGTAAGAGTTGATGACATCATGATGGGTGATGGGTTGGGGAATACAAAAAAACTGTAACTGTAGTCTGTTACGTTTCAAGCAAAGATATTGTGATCGGATTACAGATACTTTTGAAAAACTAGATGATTACTTTTAAATTCAGAAAGGATGTGTGTGAAAAAAAATACATTCATGACACCTTTCCGTTTTCTATTAGTGACCTTTCACAGCTAAAACCATGAAGGAAAATAGATCAATGTTTTGGTGTGTTATTTAGAAGGTTGAAAAGGGAAGACACAGTTAGAATATGAATCACCATGGCCCTACAGTACACTCTGACATTAGGACTGGGGTTCCGTCCCAAACGGTACCCTATTCCCTATATAGTGCACTACTTTAGACCAGAGAATGGCACCCTATTCCCTATATAGTGCACTACTTTAGACCAGAGAATGGTACCCTATTCCCTATATAGTGCACTACTTTAGACCAGAGAATGGCACCCTATTCCCTATATAGTGCACTACTTTAGACCAGAGAATGGTACCCTATTCCCTATATAGTGCACTACTTTAGACCAGAGAATGGTACCCTATTCCCTATATAGTGCACTACTTTAGACCAGAGAATGGTACCCTATTCCCTATATAGTGCGCTACTTTAGACACGAGAATGGCACCCTATTCCCTATATAGTGCACTACTTTAGACCAGAGAATGGCACCCTATTCCCTATATAGTGCACTACTTTAGACCAGAGCCCTATCAACAGTAGTGCACTACTTTAGACCAGAGCCCTATCAACAGTAGTGCACTACTTTAGACCAGAGAATGGTACCCTATTCCCTATATAGTGCACTACTTTAGACCAGAGAATGGCACCCTATTCCCTATATAGTGCACTACTTTAGACCAGAGCCCTATCAACAGTAGTGCACTACTTTAGACCAGAGAATGGTACCCTATTCCCTATATAGTGCACTACTTTAGACCAGAGAATGGCACCCTATTTCCTATATAGTGCACTACTTTAGACCAGAGCCCTATCATCAGTAGTGCACTACTTTAGACCAGAACCCTATGTGCCCAGTACTGAGTTTCTTGTTGCAGGTCATTCTGAGGAGGGGAAATATGTACGTATTATCAAAGGTTACAACTCAGCCCTGCATTCATAATACACACACACACACACACACACACAACTCAGGTCTATATACAGTTGAAGTCTGAAGTTTACATACACATTAGCCAAATAGATTTAAACTCAGTTTTTCAGTTTTCCTGACATTTAATCCTAGTAAAAATTCCCTGTCTTAGGTCAGTTAGGATCACCATTTTATTTTAAGAATGTGAAATGTCAGAATAATAGTAGAGAGAATGATTTATTTCAGCTTTTATTTATTTCATCACATTCCCAGTGGGTCAGAGGTTTACATACACTCAATTAGTATTTGGTAGCATTGCCTTTAAATTGTTTAACTTGGGTCAAACTTTTCGGGTAGCCTTCCACAAGCTTTCCACAATAATTTGGGTGAATTTTGGCCCATTCCTCCTGACAGAGCTGGTGTAACTGAGTCAGGTTTGTAGGCCTCCTTGCTCACACACGCTTTTTCAGTTCTGCCCACAAATTGTCTATAGGATTGAGGTCAGGGCTTTGTGATGGCCACTCCAATACCTTGACTTTGTTGTCCTTAAGCCATTTTGCCACAACTTTGGAAGTATGCTTGGGGTCATTGTCCATTTGGAAGACCCATTTGCGACCAAGCTTTAACTTCCTGACTGATGTCTTGAGATGTTGCTTCAATATATCCACATAATTTTCCTTCCTCATGATACCATCTATTTTGTGAAGTGCACCAGTCCCTCCTGCAGCAAAGCACCCCCACAGCATGATGCTGCCACCCCCGTTCTTCACGGTTGGGATGGTGTTCTTCGGCTTGCAAGCCACCCTCTTTTTCCTTCAAACATAACGATGGTAATTATGGCCAAACAGTTCTATTTTTGTTTAATCAGACCAGAGGACATTTCTCCAAAAAGTAAGATTGTTGTCCCCATGTGCAGTTGCAAACCGTAGTCTGGCTTTTCTATGGTGGTTTGGAGCAGTGGCTTCTTCCTTGCTGAGCGGCCTTTCAGGTTATGTCGATATAGGACTTGTTTTACTGTGGATATAGATACTTTTGTACCTGTTTCAGATCCTCAAAAAGTTCTACAGCTGCACCATCGAGAGCATCCTGACCGGTTTCATCACCGCCTGGTATGGCAACTGCTCGACGACCATAAGGCGCTAGAAAGGGTAGTGCGTACGGCCCAGGGGCCAAGCTTCCTGCCATCCAGGACCTCTATACCAGGCGGTGGGGGTGCAACTCCTAATGTTTTGTGATTAGAATAGTGTCAAATGATAATAAACTGATGATGCCCTTTCACAGTAAATTGATTATCACTTAGCTGAATGCCATTTCCCCCTTCCTCAAGTCTTCTCATAGGTAACAGAGCTTTAACACCTGTGACTAGACTGAATGATACTTTAACACCTGTGACCTGACTGAATGATACATTAACACCTGTGACTAGACTGAATGATACTTTAACACCTGTGACTAGACTGAATTATGCTTTTAAACACAAACCACCCGCTAGTTAGTGTGGTTTCCATGGCCACAGTGCAGGAGTGTCCTGTGGGACAATGTGTCATCAGTGTTATTGCCTTCTGGGAGCACCGAACAAAGTGCTTTCTGTCAAAGTGGCTTTAATTTCCTGCCAGTGAACAGGATGGAAGAGGCTGATGGGGGAAATACAGTGGGGGGAAAAAGTATTTAGTGAGCCACCAATGGTTCAAGTTCTCCCACTTAAAAAGATGAGAGAGGCCTGTAATTTTCATCATAGGTACACGTCAACTATGACAGACAAAATGAGGGAAGAAAAATCCAGAAAATCACATTGTAGGATTTTTTATGAATTTATTTGCAAATTATGGTGGAAAATAAGTATTTGGTCACCTACAAACAAGCAAGATTTCTGGCTCTCACAGACCTGTAACTTCTTCTTTAAGAGGCTCCTCTGTCCTCCACTCGTTACCTGTATTAATGGCACCTGTTTGAACTTGTTATCAGTATAAAAGACACCTGTCCACAACCTCAAACAGTCACACTCCAAACTCCACTATGGTCAAGACCAAAGAGCTGTCAAAGGAAACCAGAAACAAAATTGTAGACCTGCACCAGGCTGGGAAGACTGAATCTGCAATAGGTAAGCAGCTTGGTTTGAAGAAATCAACTGTGGGAGCAATTATTAGGAAATGGAAGACATACAAGACCACTGATAATCTCCCTCGATCTGGGGCTCCACGCAAGATCTCACCCCGTGGGGTCAAAATGATCACAAGAACGGTGAGCAAAAATCCCAGAACCACACGGGGGGACCTAGTGAATGACCTGCAGAGAGCTGGGACAAAAGTACCAAAGTAACAAAGCCTACCATCAGTAACACACTACGCCGCCAGGGACTCAAATCCTGCAGTGCCAGACGTGTCCCCCTGCTTAAGCCAGTACATGTCCAGGCCTGTCTGAAGTTTGCTAGAGTGCATTTGGATGATCCAGAAGAGGATTGGGAGAATGTCATATGGTCAGATGAAACCAAAATATAACTTTTTGTTAAAAACTCAACTCGTCGTGTTTGAAGGACAAAGAATGCTGAGTTGCATCCAAAGAACACCATACCTACTGTGAAGCATGGGGGTGGAAACATCATGCTTTGGGGCTGTTTTTCTGCAAAGGGACCAGGACGACTGATCCGTGTAAAGGAAAGAATGAATGGGGCCATGTATCATGACATTTTGAGTGAAAACCTCCTTCCATCAGCAAGGGCATTGAAGATGAAACGTGGCTGGGTCTTTCAGCATGACAATGATCCCAAACACACCGCCCGGGCAACGAAGGAGTGGCTTCGTAAGAAGCATTTCAAGGTCCTGGAGTGGCCTAGCCAGTCTCCAGATCTCAACCCCATAGAAAATCTTTGGAGGGAGTTGAAAGTCCGTGTTGCCCAGCGTCAGCCCCAAAACATCACTGCTCTAGAGGAGATCTGCATGGAGGAATGGGCCAAAATACCAGCAACAGTGTGTGAAAACCTTGTGAAGACTTACAGAAAACGTTTCACCTGTGTCATTGCCAACAAAGGGTATATAACAAACTATTGAGAAACTTTTGTTATTGACCAAATACTTATTTTCCACCATAATTTGCAAATAAATTCATTAAAAATCCTACAATGTGATTTTCTGGATTTTTTTTTCTCATTTTGTCTGTCATAGTTGACGTGTACCTATGATGAAAATTACAGGCCTCTCATCTTTTTAAGTGGGAGAACTTGCACAATTGGTGCGTGACTAAATACTTTTTTTCCCCACTGTATGTAGGGAGGGCTGGGAGGGGGTCAGTGGGTGTAGGGAGGGCTGGAGGGGGTCAGTGTGTATGTAGGGAGGGGGTCAGTGTGTATGTAGGGATGGGCTGGGAGGGGGTCAGTGGTGTATTGTAGGGCTGGGCTGGGAGGGGGTTCAGTGGTATGTAGGATGGGCTGGGAGGTGGTCATGTGTATGTAGGGAGGGCTGGGAGGGGGTCAGTGTGTATGTAGGGATGGGCTGGGAGGGGGTCAGTGTGTTAATGTAGGGAGGGCTGGGAGGGGTCAGTGTGTATGTAGGATGGGCTGGGAGGGGGTCAGTGTTTGTAGGCTGGGCTGGAGGGGGTCAGTTGTGCATATAGGGAGGGCTTGGAGGGGGTCAGGTGTATGTAGGGATGGCTGGGAGGGGTCAGTGTGTATATCGGGGAGGGGCTGGAGGGGGTCATGGTGTATATAGGGAGGGGCGGGGAGGGGTCAGTGTGTAGTAGGGATGGGCTGGGAGGGGGGTCAGTGTGTATATAGGGAGGGCTGTGGAGGGGGTCAGTGTGTATGTAGGGAGGGGGTCAGTGTGTATGTAGGGATGGGCTGGGAGGGGGCCAGTGTGTATGTAGGGAATGGGCTGGGAGGGGGTCAGTGTGTATATAGGGATGGGCTGGAGGGGGTCAGTGTGTATGTAGGGATGGGCTGGGAGGGGGTCAGTGTGTATGTAGGGAGGGCTGGGAGGGGGTCAGTGTGGTATTTAGGGATGGGCTGGGAGGGGGTCAGTGTGTATGTAGGATGGGCTGGGAGGGGGTCAGTGTGTATGTAGGGATGGGCTGGGAGGGGGTCAGTGTGTATTTAGGGATGGGCTGGGAGGGGGTCAGTGTGTATGTAGGGAGGGCTGGGAGGGGGTCAGTGGTGTATGTAGGGATGGGCTGGGAGGGGGTCAGTGTGTATGTAGGGAGGGGATGGCTGGGAGGGGGTCAGTTGTGTATGTAGGGATGGGCTGGGAGGGGGTCAGTGTGTATATAGGGATGGGCTGGGAGGGGGTCAGTGTGTATGTAGGGAGGGGATGGGCTGGGAGGGGGTCAGTGTGTATGTAGGGATGGGCTGGGAGGGGGTCAGTGTGTATGTAGGGAGGGCTGGGAGGGGGTCAGTGTGTATGTAGGGAGGGCTGGGAGGGGGTCAGTGTGTATATAGGGATGGGCTGGGAGGGGGTCAGTGTATATATAGGGATGGGCTGGGAGGGGGTCAGTGTGTATGTAGGGAGGGCTGGGAGGGGGTCAGTGTGTATTTAGGGATGGGCTGGGAGGGGGTCAGTGTGTATGTAGGGAGGGCTGGGAGGGGGTCAGTCCTCTGGTGTCTAGTTGGAGCAGCTCTCTATCTGATGAAGCAATAACCTTTTAGACGAACAAAGGTTGGCAGACGAAAGATGATTGTCCAGCTTTTGACAGGAAGTCATCAATGAGAGAGGCAGAGGCTCAAAGTAACCTGATGTTATCAGGTGGCAATTTCTCTGTCTCTCTTTTCCTCTCCTACGCTCTCTCTCTCTCTCTCTCTCTCTGTCTCTCTTTTCCTCTCCTACGCTCTCTCTCTCTCTCTCTCTCTCTCTCTCTCTCTCTCTCTCTCTCTCTCTCTCTCTCTCTCTCTCTCTCTCTCTCTCTCTCTCTCTGCCTCACACACACACACAGCTGATTTATTTTTCTCCATTGAGCTGTGTGATTCCTCCCTGTCTGAGAGGAAAGATTAACAGAAGCTAGTCGTGACATCTGTCAGCACAACCAGCCTTTACCCTCTGTACAACCCAATCACACGTCACGTCGCAGACCAACCATTTACAGATTAAGTGCATGAGTAATACCACCTAAAAGTACATTGGAATCAGAGTGGCCTTCAGATGGGAGGGGGTCAGTGTGTATGTAGGGATGGGCTTGGAGGGGGTCAGTCTGATATTTGATGGTGCGGTGTTGGAATCAGTGGCCTTCGGATAATATTTGATGGTGCAGTGTTGGAATCAGTGGCCTTCGGATAATATTTGATGGTGCGGTGTTGGAATCAGTGGCCTTCGGATAATATTTGATGGTGCGGTGTTGGAATCAGTGGCCTTCGGATAATATTTGATGGTGCAGTGTTGGAATCAGTGGCCTTCGGATGATATTTGATGGTGCGGTGTTGGAATCAGTGGCCTTCGGATAATATTTGATGGTGCGGTGTTGGAATCAGTGGCCTTCGGATAATATTTGATGGTGCAGTGTTGGAATCAGTGGCCTTCGGATGATATTTGATGGTGCAGTGTTGGAATCAGTGGCCTTCGGATAATATTTGATGGTGCAGTGTTGGAATCAGTGGCCTTCGGATAATATTTGATGGTGCAGTGTTGGAATCAGTGGCCTTCGGATGATATTTGATGGTGCAGTGTTGGAATCAGTGGCCTTCGGATAATATTTGATGGTGCGGTGTTGGAATCAGTGGCCTTCGGATAATATTTGATGGTGCGGTGTTGGAATCAGTGGCCTTCGGATAATATTTGATGGTGCAGTGTTGGAATCAGTGGCCTTCGGATGATATTTGATGGTTGCAGTGTTGGAATCAGTGGCCTTCGGATAATATTTGATGGTGCAGTGTTGGAATCAGTGGCCTTCGGATAATATTTGATGGTGCAGTGTTGGAATCAGTGGCCTTCGGATAATATTTGATGGTGCAGTGTTGGAATCAGTGGCCTTCGGATGATATTTGATGGTGCAGTGTTGGAATCAGTGGCCTTCGGATGATATTTGACCAACCTTCTTTAGTTAAGCAGTTGTGCTCTGAGTAATACTCTCTGCATGTTCAGAGAACCAGTCTGTTATAGGACCTGAGATGAGTCCCAAATGGCGCCCTATTTCCTATATAGTGCACTACTTTTGACACGCCACGCTTCAACGATCAAACTCCTCTGTAGCTAATACAACAAACCCAGTCCTGGGCCTCAAAAGTAGCGCACTATATAGGGAATAGGGTGCCATTCTCTGGTCTAAAGTAGCGCGCTATATAGTGAATAGGGTGCCATTCTCTGGTCTAAAGTAGCGCACTATATAGTGAATAGGGTGCCATTCTCTGGTCTAAAGTAGCGCACTATATAGTGAATAGGGTGCCATTCTCTGGTCTAAAGTAGCGCACTATATAGGGAATAATGTGCCATTTGGGATGCATCCATAGTCACCCAGAGATGAGGCTTGGTGGCCATGATGACCCACTAACTGGCCCAGAGCCAGAGATGAGGCTGTCCCTTTATGGCTTGGTGGCCATGATGACCCACTAACTGGCCCAGAGCCAGAGATGAGGCTGTCCCTTTAAGGCTTGGTGGCCATGATGACCCACTAACTGGCCCAGAGCCAGAGATGAGGCTGTCCCTTTAAGGCTTGGTGGCCATGATGACCCACTAACTGGCCCAGAGCCAGAGATGAGGCTGTCCCTTTAAGGCTTGGTGGCCATGATGACCCACTAACTGGCCCAGAGCCAGAGATGAGGCTGTCCCTTTATGGCTTGGTGGCCATGATGACCCACTAACTGGCCCAGAGCCAGAGATGAAGCTGTCCCTTTATGGCTTGGTGGCCATGATGACCCACTAACTGGCCCAGAGCCAGAGATGAGGCTGTCCCTTTAAGGCTTGGTGGCCATGATGACCCACTAACTGGCCCAGAGCCAGAGATGAGGCTGTCCCTTTAAGGCTTGGTGGCCATGATGACCCACTAACTGGCCCAGAGCCAGAGATGAGGCTGTCCCTTTAAGGCTTGGTGGCCATGATGACCCACTAACTGGCCCAGAGCCAGAGATGAGGCTGTCCCTTTAAGGCTTGGTGGCCATGATGACCCACTAACTGGCCCAGAGCCAGAGATGAGGCTGTCCCTTTAAGGCTTGGTGGCCATGATGACCCACTAACTGGCCCAGAGCCAGAGATGAGGCTGTCCCTTTAAGGCTTGGTGGCCATGATGACCCACTAACTGGCCCAGAGCCAGAGATGAGTCTGTCCCTTTAAGGCTTGGTGGCCATGATGACCCACTAACTGGCCCAGAGCCAGAGATGAGGCTGTCCCTTTAAGGCTTGGTGGCCATGATGACCCACTAACTGGCCCAGAGCCAGAGATGAAGCTGTCCCTTTAAGGCTTGGTGGCCATGATGACCCACTAACTGGCCCAGAGCCAGAGATGAGGCTGTCCCTTTAAGGCTTGGTGGCCATGATGACCCACTAACTGGCCCAGAGCCAGAGATGAGTCGTCCCTTTAAGGCTTGGTGGCCATGATGACCCACTAACTGGCCCAGAGCCAGAGATGAGGCAGTCCCTTTAAGGCTTGGTGGCCATGATGACCCACTAACTGGCCCAGAGCCAGAGATGAGGCTGTCCCTTTAAGGCTTGGTGGCCATGATGACCCACTAACTGGCCCAGAGCCAGAGATGAGGCTGTCCCTTTAAGGCTTGGTGGCCATGATGACCCACTAACTGTAAGTCGCTCTGGATAAGAGCGTCTGCTAAATGACTAAAATGTAAATGTAACTGGCCCAGAGCCAGAGATGCATCTAACTCAACAGAGCTGCACTGGATCTCATCCCATTACTGTCTCACCATGTCACTGGAGACAGGAAGAAGAATGTAAGAGGCTTTTAACCAGGTTTAGAACTGTCCATCCTCTTCTCTCGTATTCACTGTTATTGTTCTCTGTTGGAGTGCTACAGAGTGGGAATCAGTAGAGTTTAGGGTGGAAGCTCCTCAGTGCCGTAGCTGAGTGAGCTCCAAGAAAGCAGGAATTGATTTTAAATGTAAAAATGGACCAACATGATTGTAGAAACCCCTTCGAGTTTCGGGACAGTGAGCTCCAACAGTATTGGGACGGTGACATTTTTTGTTTGTTTTGGTTGTATACTTGGCTCATCGCGCTCTAGCGACTCCTTGTGGTGGGCCGGGCGCCTGCAGGCTGACTGGTCGTCAGGTGAACGGCGTTTCCTCCGACACATTGGTGCGGCTGGCTTCCGGGTTAAGCGGGCAGGTGATAAGAAGCGCGGTTTGCCGGGTCATGTTTCGGAGGACGCATGACTCGACCTTCGCCTCTCCCGAGCCCGTTGGGGAGTTGCAGCGATGAGACAAGATCAACATTTGGGAGAAAAAGGGGGTAAAAAAATAAAAAGTTAAATAATGTATTGTGTCATTTTGGAGTCACTTTTATTTTATTTATTCGCACCAAAGAAAATAAGTGACAGTAATAAAAAACTAATTATAAATAAGAATAGAATGGTAACATGATTACAGAGAATCCTGAATAATGATGAGTAAGAAAGTTAGATGCACAAATACACTATAAATACACTATATATACACTAAATACACTATATATACACTAAATACACTATAAATACACTATATATACACTAAATACACTATATATACACTAAATACACTATAAATACACTATATATACACTAAATACACTATATATACACTAAATACACTATACATACACTATATATACACTATATATAGACTGCCTCTGGAACCAACGTCAGCACAATAACTGTTCGTCAGAAGCTCCATGAAATGGGTTTCCATGGCCGAACATCCGCACACAAGCCTAAGATCACCATGTGCAATGCCAAGCGTCAGCTGGAGTGGTGTAAAGCTCGCCGCCATTGGACTCTGGAGCAGTGGAAACGCGTTCTCTGGAATGATGAATCACGCTTCACCATCTGGCAGTCCAACGGAAGAATCTGGGTTTGGTGGATGCCAGGTGAACGCTACCTGCCCGAATGCATGATTTTGGAATGAGATGTTCAACGAGCAAGTGTCCACATACTTTTGGTCATGTAGTGATATATCATACCCCCAAGACATGCTAACACTCACCATTACAATAACAGGGGAGGTTAGTCTGGCTACTGGCAGCACCCCAACGCCTGGCTACTGGCAGCACCCCAACGCCTGGCTACTGGCAGCACCCCAACGCCTGGCTACTGGCAGCACCCCAACGCCTGGCGACTGGCAGCACCCCAACGCCTGGCGACTGGCAGCACCCCAACGCCTGACCAGCACCCCAAAGCCCCTGAGCATGATGGATTGACCAACCGCATACTGATCCCAGGGCAATGCAGCAGCCTCAAATGCCTTGGGTGCCATGGCTGCCGGGGTCAGCTGCCTCTCACTCATGTTGTAGCCACCGGCCCGCTAGCCAGTTCTGCCGCCACCTAGACTCCGGGGGGTCCGGTGGTCACCTAGACTCCGGGGGTTCCGGTGGTCACCTGGACTCCAGGGGTTCCGGTGGTCACCTGGACTCCAGGGGTTCCGGTGGTCACCTGGACTCCAGGGGTTCCGGTGGTCACCTGGACTCCAGGGGTTCCGGTGGTCACCTAGACTCCAGGGGTTCCGGTGGTCACCTAGACTCCAGGGGTTCCGGTGGTCACCTGGACTCCAGGGGTTCCGGTGGTCACCTAGACTCCAGTGGTCTCCAGTGCCACAGCAGGTTCTCCAACCAGTGCTCCCTGACCGGTGTTGAGTGTGTCTTTTGACCACATGAACAATCCTGGCTCTGGACTCCCTGACCGGTGTTGAGAGTGTCTTTTGACCACACGAACAATCCTGCCTCTGGACTCCCTGACCGGTGTTGAGTGTGTCTTTGACCACATGAACAATCCTGCCTCTGGACTCCCTGACCGGTGTTCAGTGTGTCTTTGACCATGTAAGTGGACATGGTTGTGTCTGTTTGGTGTGTGGTAATAAAGTGTGGATTGTATCTCTGTCTCCTGCTGGTCATTGTCAATCCTCTTACCGGGACTCTGGGACAGTTGTACCTATATATTTAAACCGGCATCTCTACCACATGGTGGCGCTCTTTTTCAATGAAAATATTAGGAGGGCAAAGCATGCCTCCATATCTGAAGCATATAACTTTGTCTTTGTTAATGCCTAAAGCTTGAACAGTATGGTTAACCTTGTCAGGGTTTTAAATCTCATCTCTGAGTTTCAGTCCGTCTCATCTCTGTGTTTCAGTCTGTCTCATCTCTGTGTTTCAGTCCGTCTCATCTCTGTGTTTCAGTCTGTCTCATCTCTGTGTTTCAGTCTGTCTCATCTCTGTGTTTCAGTCTGTCTCATCTCTGTGTTTCAGTCCGTCTCATCTCTGTGTTTCAGTCCGTTTCATCTGTATTGAGTGTGTTTCAACAGCTGGTGCACAAAATCTAATACTAAGGAAGTCTCGAGGTTTTGCTCGCCTGAGGTAGAGTATCTCATGATAAGCTGTAGACCACACTATTTACCAAGAGAGTTTTCATCTATATTTTTCATAGCTGTCTATTTACCACCACAAACCAATGCTGGCATTAAGATTGCACTGAATGAGTTGTACAAGGCCATAAATCAACAGGAAAACGCTCATCCAGATGCAGCGCTCCTAGTGGCCGGGGACTTTAATGCAGGGAAACTTAAATCAGTTCTACCTAATTTCTACCAGCATGTTAAATGTGTAACCAGAGGAAAAAAAACTCTAGACCACCTTTACTCCACACACAGAGACGCATACAAAGCTCTCCCTCGCCCTCCATTTGGCAAATCTGACCATAACTCTATCCTCCTGATTCCTGCTTATAAGCAAAAACTAAAGCAGGAAGCACCAGTGACTCGGTTAATAAAAAAGTGGTCAGATGACACAGATTCTAAACCACAGGACTGTTTTGCTAGCACAGACTGGAACATGTTCCGGGATACTTCAGACAGCATTGAGGAGTACACCACATCAGTCACTGGCTTCATCAATAAGTGCATCGATGATGTCGTCCCCACAGTGACCGTACGTACATACCCCAACCAGAAGCCATGGATTACAGGAAACATCCGCACTGGGCTAAAGGGTAGAACTGCCGCTTTCAAGGAACGGGACTCTAACCCGGACGCTTATAAGAAATCCCGCTATGCCCTCCGACGAACCATCAAACAGGCAAAGAGTCAATACAGGACTAAGATTGAATCATACTACACCGGCTCTGACGCTCGTCGGATGTGGCAGGGCTTGAAAACTATTAGACTACAAAGGGAAGCACAGCCGCGAGCTGCCCAGTGACACAAGCCTACCAGACGAGCTAAACCACTTCTATGCTCGCTTCGAGGCAAGCAACACTGAAGCATGCATGAGAGCACCAGCTGTTCCGGATGACTATGTGATCACGCTCTCCGTAGCCGATGTGAGTAAGACTTTTAAGCAGGTCAACATTCACAAGGCCGCAGGGCCAGACGGATTACCAGGATGTGTACTCCGAGCATGTGCTGACCAACTGGCAAGTGTCTTCACTGACATTTTCAACATGTCCCTGACTGAGTCTGTAATACCAACATGTTTCAAGCAGACCACCATAGTCCCTGTGCCCAAGGACTCTAAGATAACCTGCCTAAATGACTACCGACCCGTAGCACTGACGTCTGTAGCCATGAAGTGCTTTGAAAGGCTGGTCATGGCTCACATCAACAGCATTATCCCAGAAACCCTAGACCCACTCCAATTTGCATACCGCCCCAACAGATCCACAGATGATGCAATCTCTATTGCACTCCACACTGCCCTTTCCCACCTGGACAAGAGGAACACCTACGTGAGAATGCTATTCATTGACTACAGCTCAGCATTCAACACCATAGTGCCCTCTAAGCTCATCACTAAGCTAAGGATCCTGGGACTAAACACCTCCCTCTGCAACTGGATCCTGGACTTCCTGACGGGCCGCCCCCAGGTGGTAAGGGTAGGTAACAACACATCTGCCACACTGATCCTCAACACGGGGGCCCCTCAGGGGTGCGTGCTCAGTCCCCTCCTGTACTCTCTGTTCACCCATGACTGCATGGCCAGGCACGACTCCAACACCATCATTAAGTTTGCCGACGACACAACAGTGGTAGGCCTGATCACCGACAACGATGAGACAGCCTATAGGGAGGAGGTCAGAGACCTGGCCGTGTGGTGCCAGGACAACAACCTCTCCCTCAACGTGACCAAGACAAAGGAGATGATTGTGGACTACAGGAAAAAAAAGAGGACTGAGCACGCCCCCATTCTCATCGACGGGCTGTAGTGGAACAGGTTGAGAGCTTCAAGTTCCTTGGTGTCCACATCACCAACGAACTATCATGGTCCAAACACACCAAGACAGTCGTGAAGAGGGCACGACAAAGCCTATTCCCCCTCAGGAGACTGAAAAGATTTGGCATGGGTCCTCAGATCCTCAAAAAATTCTACAGCTGCACCATCGAGAGCATCCTGACTGGTTGCATCACCGCCTGGTATGGCAACTGCTTGGCCTCCGACCGCAAGGCACTACAGAGGGTACTGCGTACGGCCCAGTACATCACTGGGGCCAAGCTTCCTGCCATCCAGGACTTCTATACCAGGCGGTGTCAGAGGAAGGCCCTCAAAATTGTCAAAGACTCCAGCCAACCCTAGTCATAGACTGTTCTCTCTGCTACCGCATGGCAAGCGGTACCGGAGTGCCAAGTCTAGGTCCAAAAGACTTCTCAATAGCTTCTACCCCCAAGCCATAAGATTCCTGAACAGCTAATCATGGCTACCTGGACTATTTGCACTGCCCCCCCACCCCATCCTTTTTACGCTGCTGCTACTCTGTTAATTATTTATGCATAGTCACTTTAACTCTACCCACATGTACATATTACTTCAACTACCTCAACTAGCCGGTGCCCCCGCACATTGACTCTGCACCGGTACCCCCCTGTATATATTTTATTTTACTTCTGCTCTTTTTTTTCTCAACACTTTATTTGTTGTTGTTTTATTTTTACTTTTTTTGTTAAAAATAAATGCACTGTTGGTTAAGGGCTGTAAGTAAGCATTTCACTGTAATGTCTGCACCTGTTGTATTCGGCGCATGTGACCAATAAAATTTGATTTGATTTGTTTCAGGTCAGCCCCTGGACTCCCGTCGTCTGAGCACCCTGGCCTGTCCCTGCCCCCCAGACGTTGACTCCCTCCTGGACAAAGTCATGGCCCAGGTCCGGCAGCGCTCCCGGGGTGCCCTGGCTCCGGTGGCCTGTGTTCAGGCACTGAGGGCGGCTGCCACCCTACCTTACACCCAGGGTATGGAGAAGGAGAGAGATCTGATGGCCACCCTGTTCAACAGCGGCCAGGCCCGAGCTCTGCAGTATGCCTTCTTCTCCCAGAGGGTGGTGGGGAAGTGGAGCCTGCCTAGTGGGGCGAACTGGAACAACAGCACCGGCAGGACCATCAGCAAAGCTGCTGTCATTGGTGAGAGGTGTAACCTCTATTTCACTGAAGTCTACTCTTAAATCCAGGTTTTCAAGACTAAAGGCTGGTTTATACTACGTCTATGGACATGTCTGTAGACCGTTGTCGCAGTGTACATCATGAACATTCTATTGTCGTCCGACATCAAACTTGTCGTTGTCGTTATGAAAAAAAGTATAACACAAAAAACGACAGGCTGCATGACATCAGCAACCTGGTGGTCCAAAATAGCATAACTGGTGTATTTTCAATTTAGTAAATGTCAATCTAGCAAACCAGGCAACTAAAAGCAACTTTTGAAACAATCTTTTGGTTTGTTTCTAGCTTATTTCTAGCTTGTTGGCTAGCTAGCTTACGTTAAGTTAGCTGGCTAGCCAGTTCAAATAATGGCCATATCATTTACATTTACATTACATTTTAGTCATTTAGCAGACGCTCTTATCCAGAGCGACTTACAGTTAGTGAGTGCATACATAATTTTTTCATACTGGCCCCCCATGGGAATCGAACCCACAACCCTGGCGTTGCAAACACCATGCTCTGTCAACTGAGCTACATCCCTGCTGGCCATTCCCTCCCCTACCCTGGATGACGCTGGGCCAATTGTGCGCCGCCCCATGGGTCTCCCGGTCGCGGCCGGCTACGACAGAGACTGGATTCGAACCAGGATCTCTAGTACCGGTGGCATCATATAGCTGACAACATCTTAACTTTAGCTAATTTGTATTCGTTAGTACAGGAAAATAAACTCACAACAAGATCATTTTACGAGTTAACGGTGAGCTAATTACAGAAAATATCTTACGGTTGTGAGTGTGACGAAATAAAAGCAGGGCATTCTACCGGAGAATTATAGATCTTGGACACTGTCTCGTTGGCCTAACGTTAAATCTTAACGTTAAATCTTAACGTTATATCCTAACGTTATATCTTAACATTATATCTTAACGTTATAACTTAACGTTATATCTTAACGTTATATCCTAACGTTATATCTTAACATTATATCCTAACGTTATATCTTAACGTTATATCTTAACATTATATCCTAACGTTATATCTTAACGTTATATCTTAACGTTATATCTTAACGTTATATCTTAACGTTATATCCTAGCGTTATATCTTAACGTTATATCTTAACGTTATATCCTAACGTTATATCCTAACGTTATATCCCAGTACCGTTTCTGGTAAACACACACTATATCAAATAAAATGACATTGGTGCCTTGTTTTGGAATATTTGTATTCTGTACAGGCGTTCTTCTTTTCACTGTCATTTAGGTTAGTATTGTGGAGTAACTACAATGTTGTTGATCCATCCTCAGTTTTCTCCTCTCACAGCCATTCAACTGTAACTGTTTTAAAATCACCATTGGACTCATGGTGAAATCCCTGAGCAGTTTCCTTCCTCTCTGTCAACTGAGTTAGGAAGGACGCCTGTATCTTTGTAGTGACTAGGTGTATTGATACAACATCCAAAGAATAATTAATAACATCACCATGCTCAAAGGGATATTCAATGTCTGCTTTTTTTATTTTTACCCATCTACCAATAGGTGTCATTATTTGCGAGTCATTGGAAAACCTCCCTGGTCTTTTGTGGTTGAATCTTTGTTTGAAATTCACTGCTCGACTGAGGGACCTTCCAGATAATTGTATGTGTGGGGAACAGAGATGAGGTAGTCATTCAAAAATCATGTGAAACACTATTATTGCATAGAGTGAGTCCATGCAACTTATTATGTGACTTGTTAAGCAAATTTGTACTCCTGAACATATTTAGGCTTGCCATAACAAAGGGGTTGAATACTTATTGACTCAAGACATTTCAGCTTATTTTTTTTAATTAATTTGTAAACATTTCTAAAAACATAATTCCACTTTGACATTATGGGGTATTGTGTGTTGGCCAGTGACGACAAATCTCAATTTAATCAATTTTAAATTCAGGCTGGGGTGTGAATCCTTTCTGAAGACTCTGTATGTCCTTGGTGTTGTCTGTCTGTTTGTCTCCAGGGCTGGGTACCATGGGGCGGGGCATCGTTGTGGCGCTGGCTCTGACGGGCATGTCTGTGGTTGCCGTGGAGACCCAAGAGAAGCAGCTAGCAGAGGCCAGTCAGGCTGTTCCGGCGATGCTGCAGAGAGAGGCGGGGCGACGAAGCCTGGCCACACCCCCAGGGGTTATCACCTTCAGCTCCAACCTGCAGGACGTTAGTGAGGTAGAACTCGTTTTATTTCTGTATTATATCATGTATTGTAATTATATAATGTATTTTAAGGTACCACAATAGTATATTGTGTTATCCTAGACACGTATTAAAATGTATGTACTGTCTGTATATGTTCAAATTAACTCAATCAATCATTCAGGTGGAGTTGGTGATCGAGGCGGTGTTTGAGAACATGGCCCTGAAGCTACAGGTGTTTAGGCATCTGGCCTCAGTGTGTGGACCTGGGACCCTGCTCTGCTCCAACACCTCTGGCCTGGACATGGACCAGCTAGCTGCGGTCACCAAGAGCCCTGCCCTGGTGGTGGGGATGCACTTCTTTGCTCCGGCCCACGTCATGAAGCTGCTGGAGGTGGTGTGTGGTCCACGCTCGTCCCCGGAGGCGGTTGCCACGGCAATGCAGCTGGGCAAGAGGATGGGGAAAGTCAGTGTCGCCGTGGGCAACTGTCCGGGGTTTGTGGGTAACCGGATGTTGAAGCCGTACCTGGAACAGGCCAACTTCCTGTTGGAGGAAGGTGCCACGCCCCAGCAGGTGGACGAGGCTCTGGAGGAGTTTGGATTCCCCATGGGCGTGTTCCGGATGTCCGACCTATCAGGGCTGGACGTGGGCTGGAGGATCAGGAAGGAGGCGGGGCTTACAGGGCCAGGGGTGGAGCCATCCAGGACACGCCAGGGCCGACGGTACAGCCCGCTACCTGACCAGGTGTGTGAGGCAGGCCGGCTGGGCCAGAAGACAGGGAGGGGATGGTACCAGTATGATGGGCCTGGAGGCAGGGTGGCGAGGTCCGACCCCTGGGTACACATCTTCTTGGAGGCCTACAGGTAAATCTGTAATGATTTAAATCTGTATATCTGGAAAGTGCTGATGTAAAAAGGGCTTTATAAAATAAATGTAATTGACGAATGGATGGATGGCTTTACATTTACATTAACATTTTAGTCATTTAGCAGACTTTTTTTTCGGGGGGAAGTCCACTAATATTGCAGAAGATTCCATGTAATGCCCCCCCCATATTTTTTTTTATTTTTTATATATATATATTCCCCTTTATTACTTTTCAACCCACCATCCTTTCCCTACTGGAGTAAATTAGTGAACAACAACGCCCAGGCTCTACTTCCGGTCCATACTCACTTCTACACCTTATGGACAGAGTTAATTTACAATAATTCTATATGCTATTATTATATATATTAGTATATACTGACATACACTACACACATATACATATATATATATATATACATTTAGCAGACTCTTATCCAGAGCGACTTACAGGAAGTATTAGGTTTAAGTGCCTTGCTCAAGGGTACATCAACACCTAGTCAGCTCAGGGATTCGAACCAGCGACCTTTCGGTTACTGACCCAACGATCTTAATTGCTAGGCTACCTGCCGCTACCTGCCAGGTTGGTCGGTATGGGTGGATGGGTTGTTGGGAGGGTGGTTGGTCGGTATGGGTGGATGGGTTGTTGGGAGGGTGGTTGGGTGGACTGATTGATTAATTGACCGATCTATCAATCGATTGATACAGGGCGCAGCACGGCCTGGTGGCCCGGAGCATCGCCCCAGAGGAGATCCTAGAACGCTGTCTCTACGCTCTGATCAATGAAGGCTTCAACATCCTGCAGGAAGCCATGGCCGCCGGGCCGGAACACATCGACGCTATCTATGTGTTTGGGTACGGCTGGCCCCGGCACCGCGGGGGACCGATGTTCCATGCAGGTCAGGTGGGATTGGGCAGGGTCCTGGAGAGGCTAGAGCACCACCACCACAACCACCCTGACGTGCCCCATCTGGAGCCCAGCACGCTGCTACGGAGGCTGGTCGCAGGGGGGAGTCCTCCGGTCCAGAAGTGGAGAGAGTTCATCAACAAAGATAGAGTACACAGTCAGCTCTGAGATGCCCAAGTCACACCTGTCAATGCATCCCTGTCAAGTCACACCTGTCAATGCATCCCTGTCAAGTCACACCTGTCAATGCATCCCTGTCAAGTCACACCTGTCAATGCATCCCTGTCAAGTCACACCTGTCAATGCATCCCTGTCAAGTCACACCTGTCAATGCATCCCTGTCAAGTCACACCTGTCAATGCAAACCTGTGATAAAATAATAAAGAAAGTCACCCTAGAGACGCCCAATGATTTATTGGGTATCATCAATATTTCGGCCCGCAGTGCCTTCCCTACCATCAGCATGTGTGCAAAGTGTCTTAAGAAATGTAATAAATACATTTTCTATAATAAATTTTCTCATGCTTTCAAAATAATACCCACTGACACTTTTATGCAGGGTTGGTTTTGTGTTCTGTTTAAATGAGGTAAGTTGGCTTAATATTTGAATAGATTTAGCTGAACAGAGAATTGGGTATTCAAATAACATTTCACTCTGTAGGTCTGGCAAGTCTTTCTCACTCATAACTTAATAGTGTTTTCCACACGTCAGTAGGGATAGCCTTTGACTGTTGGCATTTCATTCACCCTCCTGTCAAAATTAATTAACCAGACATTATTCTCTCTTTACCGGGGTGGAGAGAGGTCCAGACGGAATCAGCAACCAGGCCTGTGTCTGTTACCAGGGTATCACCAGCCTGATCGCTGCGCTCTCCGTTCTATTAACCAGCCTGATCGCTGCGCTCTCCATCATCCAGTGAGGACTTCTATAACCAGCTGATCGCTGCGCTCACATTCTATTAACCAGCTGATCGCTGCTCATTCATCACAACCAGCCTGATCGCTGCGTCCCATTCTATAACCAGCCTGATCGCTGCATCACCATGTCTATTAATCAGCCTGATCGCTGCATTCACCATCTATTAACAGCCTGATCGCTGCGTTCACCATTCTATTAATCAGCCTGATCGCTGCGTTCACCATTCTATTAACTCAGCCTGATCGCTGCATTCACCATTCTATTAATCAGCCTGATCGCTGGTTCACCATTCTATTAATCAGCCTGATCGCTGGCTTCACCATTCTATTAATCAGCCTGATCGCTGCGTTCACCATTCTATTAACAGCTTGATCGCTGCGTTCATCATTCTATTAACCAGCTTGATGCTGCTTCACATTCTATTAACCAGCTGATGCTGCGTCACCATTCTATTAACCAGCCTGATCGCTGCGTTCACCATTCTATTAACCAGCCTGATCGCTGCGTCACCATCTATAACCAGCCTGATCGCTGCTTCACCAGTCTATTAACAGCCTGATCGCTGCGTTCACCATTCTATTAACCAGCCTGATCGCTGCGTTCACCATTCTATTAACAGCCTGATCGCTGCGTTCACCATTCTATTAACAGCCTGATCGCTGCGCTCACCATTCTATAACCAGCCTGATCGCTGCGTCACCATTCTATTAACCAGCCTGATCGCTGCGTTCACCATCTATTAACCAGCCTGATCGCTGCGTTCACCATTCTATTAACCAGCCTGATCGCTGCGTTCACCATTCTATTAATCAGCCTGATCGCTGCGTTCACCATTCTATTAACCAGCCTGATCGCTGCATTCACCATTCTATTAATCAGCCTGATCGCTGCGTTCACCATTCTATTAATCAGCCTGATCGCTGCGTTCACCAGTCTATTAATCAGCCTGATCGCTGCGTTCACCATTCTATTAACCAGCCTGATCGCTGCGTTCATCATTCTATTAACCAGCCTGATTGCTGCGCTCACCATTCTATTAACCAGCCTGATCGCTGCGTTCACCATTCTATTAACCAGCCTGATCGCTGCATTCATCATTCTATTAACCAGCCTGATTGCTGCCTTCATTCTACACTATATATACAGCAGTATGTGGACACCCCTTCAAATCAGTGGATTTTGCTATTTCAGCCACACCAGTTGCTGACAGGTGTATAAAATTGAGCACACAGCCATGCAATCTCCATAGACAAACATTGGCTGTAGAATGGCCTGTACTGAAGAGCTCAGTGACTTTCAACATGGCACCGTCATAGGATGCCACTTTTCCAACAAGTCAGTTCGTCAACTTTCTGCCCTGCTAGAGCTGCCCCGGTCAACTGTAAGTGCTGTTATTGTGAAGTGGAAACGTCTAGGAGCAACAACGGCTCAGCCACGCAGTGGTAGGCCACACAAGCTCACAGAACAGGACCGCTGAAGCGCGTAGCGCATAAAAATCGTCTGTCCTGGTTGCAACACTCACTACCGAGTTCCAAACTACCTCTGGAAGCAACGTCAGCACAATAACTGTTAGTCGGGAGCTTCATGAAATGGGTTTCCATGGCCGAACATCCGCACACAAGCCTAAGATCACAATGCGCAATGCCAAGCGTCAGCTCGAGTGGTGTAAAGATCGCCTCCATTGGACTCTGGAGCAGTGGAAACTTGTTCTCTGAATCACGCTTCACTATCTGGCAGTCCGACGGACAAATCTAGGTTTGGCGAATGCCAGGAGAATGCTATCTGCCCCAATGCATAGTGCCAACTGTAAAGTTTGGTGGAGGAGGAATAATGGTCTGGGGCTGTTTTTCATGGTTCGGGCTAGGCCCCTTAGTTCCAGTGAAAGGACATCTTAATGCTACAGCATACAATGACATTCTAGACAATTCTGTGCTTCCAACTTTGTGGCAACAGTTTGGGGAAGGCCGTTTCCTGTTTCAGCATGATAAAGCCACCATGCACAAAGCGAGGTCCATACAGAAATGGTTTGTCGAGATCGGTGTGGAAGAACTTGACTGACCTGCACAGAGCCCTGACCTCAACCCCATCAAACACCTTTGGGATGAATTGGAAAGCCGACTGGGAGCCAGGCCTAATCGCCCAACATCAGTGCCCCGACCTCACTAATGCTCTTGTGGCTGAATGGAAGCAAGTCCCCACAGCAATGTTCCAACATCTAGTGGAAAGCCTTCCCAGAAGAGTGGAGGCTGTTATAGCAGCAAAGGGGGGACCAACTCCATATTAATGCCCATGATTTTGGAATGAGATGTTCGACGAGCAGGTGTCCACATACTTTTGGTCATGTAGTGTATTTAGCAGCCTGGTCGCTGCCTTCACCATTCTATTCCAGTAAAACTGATGATACTGATTGAAGTCCTGAGTGAAATTAATAAAAGCTGAGTTTATCATATTGAGTCAATATTTTTCATGATGCTCAATTCAATCAAAAGCTGTGTTGCAGTATTTGCAAAGTTGCTCTTTTTCCAATGGTCAAATGACTGGTCTTGGGTCCTGTATAAAAACCTACAACTACTACCAGGGCGACCCCCCTACCAGGGCGACCCCCCTACCAGGGTGACCCCCCCCCTACCAGGGCGACCCCCCTACCAGGGTGACCCCCCCCTACCAGGGCGACCCCCCTACCAGGGTGACCCCCCCCTACCAGGGCGACCCCCCCCCTACCAGGGCGACCCCCCTACCAGGGCGACCCCCCCCTCACAGGTATGCTTTCACTTTTCAGAATTAGAAGTGTGTGGGCACGGGATGAATATCGTAAATAAAGACATTGCTATGGCAACTGTTGGCAGGTTTCTCAACCATCATTTCTACTTATGATTTGCTGCTATTAGGTGGTTTTAGGTCGATCGTTTCCATGGGTTATGAAGTGTTAAGGAAGTGAACGTTATTTATAATAAGGGTTACAAAACATTTGCCATTACAAATGTAGACATACAGTGCATTCGGAAAGTATTCAGACCCCTTTACTTTTTCCACATTTTGTTACGTTACAGCCTTATTCTAAAATGGATTTAAAAAATAATAATCCTCATCAATCTACACACAATAACCCATAATGACACAGCGGAAACAGGTTTTTAGAAATTTTTACAATTAAAAAAATAATAAAACACAGAAATACCTTATTTAGATAAGTATTCAGACCCTTTGCTATGAGACTCGAAATTGAGCTCAGGTGCATCCTGTTTCCATTGATCATCCTTGAGATGTTTCTACAACTTGATTGGAGTCCACCTGTGGTAAATTCAATTGATTGGACATGATTTGGAAAGGCACACACCTGTCTATATAAGGTCCCACAGTTGACAGTGCATGTCAGAGCAAAAACCAAGCCATGAGGTCGAAGGAATTGTTCGTAGAGCTCCGAGACAGGATTGTGTCAAGGCACAGATCTGGGGAAGGGTACCAAAACATTTCAGCAGCATTGAAGGTCCCCAAGAACACAGTGGCCTCCATCATTCTTAAATGGAAGAAGTTTGGAACCACCAAGACTCTTCCTAGAGCTGTCCGCCCGGCCAAACTGAGCAATCGGGGAGAAGGGCCTTGGTCAGGGAGGTGACCAAGAACCCAATGGTCACTCTGACAGTGCTCCAGAGTTCTTCCAGAAGGACAACCATCTCTGCAGCACTCCACCAATTAGGCCTTTATGGTAGAGTGGCCAGACGGAAGCCACTCCTCAGTATAAGGCACATGACAACCCGCTTGGAGTTTGCCAAAAGGCACCTAAAGACTCTCAGACCATGAGAAACAAGATTCTCTGGTCTGATGAAACCAAGATTGAACTCTTTGGCCTGAATGCCAAGCGTCACGTCTGGAGGAAACCTGGCACCATCCCTACGGTGAAGCATTGTGGTGGCAGCATCATGCTGTGGTGATGTTTTTCAGCGGCAGGGACTGGGAGAGTAGTCAGGATCTAGGGAAAGATGAACGGAGCAAAGTACAGAGAGATCCTTGATGAAAACCTGCTCCAGAGCGCTCAGGGCCTCAGACTGGGGCGAAGGTTCACCTTCCAACAGGACAATGACCCTAAGCACACAGCCAAGAAAACTCTTTGGGACAAGTATCTGATGAAAACCTACTCACCTTCCAACAGGACAACAACCCTAAGCACACAGCCAAGACAACGCAGGAGTGGCTTCGGGGCAAGTCTCTGAATGTCCTTGAGTGGCCCAGCCAGAGCCTGGACTTGAACTTGATCTAACATCTCTGGAGAGTCCTGAAAATAGCTGTGCAGCGACGCTCCCCATCCAACCTGACAGAGCTTGAGAGGATCTGCAGAGAAGAATGGGAGAAACTCCCCAAATACAGGTGTGCCAAGCTTTTAACGTCATACCCAAGAAGACTCGAGGCTGTAATCGCTGCCAAAGGTGCTTCAACAAAGTACTGTTTAAAGGGGGTTAGGGTTACAGATGCGTTAATTAGAAACAACAACGCGATTAAATACAATTCTATGAAAAACTATATAAATCAGAATTAAACAAAAGTTATATATCCTTCTTAGACTCAACAACTCTGAAGCAATTATCAGCAGACAAAAGAAACTGCATGTGTGGTTCCCACCGTGAAGCGTGGAGGAGGAGGTGTTATGGTGTGGGGGTGCTTTGCTGGTGACACTGTCTGTGATTTATTTAGAGTTCAAGGCACACTTAACCAGCATGGCTACCACAGCATTCTGCAGCGATACGCCATCCCACTATACGCAAACCACATGGGATATCATTTGTTTTACAACAGTACAATAGCCCAAAACACACCTACAGGGCTATTTGTCCAAGGAGAGTGATGGAGTGCTGCATCAGATTACCTGGCCTCCACAATCACCCGACCTCAACCCAATTGAGATGGTTTGGGATGAGTCGGACCGCAGAGTGAATGAAAAGCAGCCAACAAGTGCTCAGCATATGTGGGAACTTCTTCAAGACAGTTGGAAAAGCATTCCAGGTGACGCTGGTTGAGAGAATGTCAAGAGTGTGAAAAACTGTCATCAAGGCAAAGGGTGGCTATTTGAAGAATCTCAAATGTTGGTTACTACATGATTCCATTTGTGTTATTTCATAGTTTTGATGTCTTCACTATTATTCTACAATGTAGAAAATAGTAAAAATTAAGAAAAACCCTTGAATGAGTAGGTATGTCCTAACTTTTGACTGGTACTGTATGTAAATGAGATATTTCTGTATTATTTTCCCAATACATTTCCAAAAATGTCTAAAAACATGTTTTCACTTGGTCATTTATGGGGTATTGTATGTAGAAGGGTGAGAAAATAAATACATGCAATCCATTTTGAATTCAAGCTGTAACACAAGAACATTTGTAATAAGTTAAGGGGTATGAATACTTTCTGATGGCAATGTAGTTAAATGCACTAAAGATGAACCATAGGTGCATATTGAAGATGCCCAGAATCTTTTCCTGTGCCTATTATCAAAGGATAAAGCTAAGAACATTAACAACTTCATAGTTAAGAACACTATAACAATATGGAAGAAAATGAACTGTATTCTACAAGAACCAATATCACTCCCTAAAAACACAACCCTATGGAACTATTCTTGGATTGCTTTTCAGAATTCAACGATAAATTGGTCCACATGGAAAACTAAAGGCATAAAACCGTAAATTACTTGGTAATAGGAAATACATTTATTTCCATCACAGCCTTAAAAAGCAATTTTGGACTGACCAATGTAGATATTTTCAAATACTTCGAACTTAAAAGTTATATATCACAAAGTTTCGATTTGAAATCTTTTGGACATCAGAGCAATCTTGAGCGAATCCTAATTCAGGCAGAAAATAGTATTAATATGATAGGTAAGCTATGCAAAATCTTGCAAAGAGCCTATCCAACTGACAATCTCTTTGAAAACAATATGTAAACTATTGGAACCAAAACTTACAAATAACTGATATTGACACAAGATGGAGGGAATGATGGAACATAACTAAAGAAATTACAGTTAACGAAAATGTACGCCAGTAAAAAATAATGTATATCATTGATTATACAAGAGACAAAATTCCCAAATTCTTAAAACGGCAGAGTCATGTCTTAAGTGTAAAACTAACAATGCCTTCTGGGAATTTTATAAAGTCCAAAAGTTATGGGCGGAGTTGAACATTGGCTGTCCTGGACAGACCAGAGCCTTAAATATGCAGTTTTAGAAACTGTTCTTCATCTTGTAGGCAGGGCTGTGGGCCAGACGGTTGAGGGTTCACAGACCACCGTGGACAAGAGTAGGGTGGGGGTGGAAAGATCTCCTTTATAGTAAAAACATTGCATTAGTCTATCATTGAATTTGCAGGTCCGAGACAAAAATTCTATGTAATTTTACATATTTGCAGAATCTTTTTTAATACCACACAAAACTGAGGCAGTTTGCCCACAGGAAGTACCTGCCTACCTCTGATACGCCTCCCAGTGGAGCAATAAAAACAATCAAGAATCCAAGAAATAGCTCACATTAACATATGTAACCTAAGAAACAAGGTTCATGAAATTGATAACTTGCTAGTAACAGATAAAATCCATATACTGACAATCTCGGAAACTCACTTAGATAATACCTTTGATGATACAGTGGTAGCAATACATGATTTCAACATCTTCAGAAGAGACAGGAATGCCAATAGTGGAGGTGTGGCGTCATATTCCTGTGAAGCTTAGAGAGGATCTCATGTTAAATAGTGTTGAAGTAATACGGCTACAGGTTCATCTGCCTCACCTAAAGCCCATTCTGGTGGGAATCTGCTATAGACCACCAAGTGCTAACAGTCAGTATCTGGTTAATATGTGTGAAATGCTTGATAATGTATGTGATATCAACAGAGAGGTATATTTTCTGGGTGACCTAAATATTGACTGGCTTTCATGAAGCTGCCGACTCAAGAAAAAGCTTTAAACTGTAACCAGTGCCTGCAACCTGGTTCAGGTTATCAGTCAACCTACCAGGGTAGTTACAAACAGCACAGGAATGAAATCATCAACATGTATTGATCACATCTTTACTAATGCTGCTGACATTTGTTTGAAAGCAGTATCCAAATCCATCGGATTTAGTGATCACAATATAGTAGCCATATCTAGGAAAACCAAAGTTCCAAAGGCTGGGCCTAATATAGTTTATAAGAGGTCATACAATACGTTTTATAGTGATTCCTATGTTGTTGATGTAAAGAATATTTGAAGTTTTGTGGTGTGTAATGAGGAGCAACCAGATGCTGCATTTGACACATTTATGAAATTATGTATTCCAGTTACTAATAAGCATGCAACCCATTAAGAAAATGACTGTAAAAACTTAAATCCCTGTGGATTGATGAGGAATTGAAAACTGGCCATCTTAATCTTTTCTTTTTATTGGCCAGTCTGAGATATGGCTTTTTCTTTGTGACTCTGCCTAGAAGGTCAGCATCCCGGAGTCGCCTCTTCACTGTTGACGTTGAGACTGGTGTTTTGCGGGTACTATTTAATGAAGCTGCCAGTTGAGGACCTGTGAGGCATCTGTTTCTCAAACTAGACACTCTAATGTGTTTGTCCTCTTGCTCAGTTGTGCACCGGGGCCTCCCACTCCTCTTTCTATTCTGGTTAGAGCCAGTTTGCGCTGTTCTGTGAAGGGAGTAGTACACAGCGTTGTACGAGATCTTCAGTTTCTTGGCAATTTCTCGCATGGAATAGCCTTCATTTCTCAGAACAAGAAAAGACGGACGAGTTTCAGAAGAAAGTTATTTGTTTCTGGCCATTTTGAGCCTGTAATCGAACCCACAATTGCTGATTCTCCAGATACTCAACTAGTCTCAAGAAGGCCAGTTTTATTGCTTCTTTAATCAGCAGAACAGTTTTCAGCTGTGCTAACATAATTGAAAAAGGGTTTTCTAAAATGATAATCTTGGATTAGCAAACACAACGTGCCATTGGAACACAGGACTGATGGTTGCTGATAATGGGCCTCTGTACGCCTATGTAGATATTCCATTAAAAATCAGCCGTTTCCAGCTACAATAGCCATTTACAACATTAACAATGTCCACACTGTATTTCTGATCAATTTGATGTTATTTTAATAGACAAAAAAATTGCTTTTCTTTCGAAAACAAGGAAATGTCTAAGTGACCCCAAACTTTTGAACGGTAGTGTACATATATGAAAGGTTGAGTTGAGGAGGTTGAGTCAAGTTGAGGAGACTAAACTGCTTGGAGTAACCCTGGATTGTAGACTGTCATGGTCAAAACATATTGATGCAACAGTAGCTAAGATGGGGAGAAGTATGTCCATATTAAAGGACTGCTCTACCTTCTTAACAGCACTATCAACAAGGCAGGTCCTACAGGCCCTAGTTTTGTTGCACCTGGACTACTGTTCAGTCATGTGGTCAGGTGCCACAAAAAAGGACTTAGGAAAATTGTAATTGGCTCAGAACAGGGCAGCATGGCTGGCCCTTGGACGTACACAGAGAGCTAACATTAATAATATGCATGTCGATCTCTCCTGGCTCAAAGTGGAGGAGAGATTGACTTCATCACTACTTGTATTTGTGAGACATGTTGAATGCACCGAGCTGTCTGTTTAAACTACTGGCACACAGCTCGGACACCCATGCATACCCCACAAGACATGCCACCAGAGGTCTCTTCACAGTCCCCAAGTCCAGAACAGACACACACACAGGTACAGACACACACACACACACACACACACACACACACACACACACACACACACAAATGATAACATACACCCTATACACATGTACACATGGATTCTGTAGATATGTGGTAGTAGAGTGGTGGTCTGAGGGAACATACTTAATGTGTTGTGAAATCTGTTATGAATGTATTGTAATGTTTTTAAAATTTAATTTAACTTAATTTTGCTGGTCCCAGGAAGAGTGGGATCCATAATAATGGGGATCCATAATAAAAACAAAAAAATGCAAATTACCGAAATTACAGGCTAAGAATGGACAGAGAGATGGACCTATGAGTTCATCTTATATTTCTCCAATGCCAAATCAGTGTGTCTTGTTTGCAATTAAAATATCCCTGTTTGCAAATAATTACATCTGAGATGTCATTAGGAATCGGAGTATGGTACTTTCAAACGTTCCACCCCTGACAGAGTATGCCTACCAACGCAGAAAAAGTTAATATTCAACTGCTGGCCCAGCGAGAGAAGGTCACAAGTGTTTCCTTGAAAGTTGTCTGGGTTTAAACATCTTATATTGTACAGAAAGGTGAATAGCTAAATCAATTGATAGTGACAGAATTAGATTACATCTCCTTGGCTATAGAAGGTTGTAGCTCAGCCTCTGAATGTCAAATAAATAATATCCTCATATGCATCCGAGTTACGTCTTTCCCGGGGATTTTACAGCTTGTTTCTAGCATAAAGCATCGCGGACCAAAGCGCTGTTATAGATCACTTTATATAGTCGGATCCGTTTTATTTTCTTAAACATCTTAAACTAACAGGCCTGTGCTTTCTGCCATTTTCTTTAATAAAAGGTAGACCTATGGCATACCCTCTCATACCCCCTCAATTCAAGTTTTGGTTTTAACTTAACAGCCCATCACTGACACGGAGGTAGGCTATTTAAAGAGTGCATGGTGTGTGGAGGAATTGACCGACAAAATCTATGGATATAGCAGCCTATAGCCTAATTTCGTCTGTCAAACTGGTAGGCCTACCTCTTATTTCTTAAATAGGTCGAAATAGGCTCCAACACAAAGCCCTCTTGTTGTTAGTAAAGTCTAATTAAAATGAAGACAGTTTAAATTAATTATGCCTACTCGAATTTGCCTCCTTTCAGCACCATGAGCTGTCCATTTCTGGTTGATTGTGCCGCGGCTGCTGCTTCAAGTTTCAGCACCAGTTACTCAAATCTGTTTTATTGTGAGGTCAGTAACTCTAAAAATACATCATGGCCAAGAAACATATTGTTTTTTATCAAAGAAATTACAGTAGTAGGAAGCTGTCAAAGTTGACCTCCAGTCCTCCTCATCTTGGCTCTCCATCTCAAACTGAACAGAACAGGCTATAGGCTAGTCCGGCCTAATGAAAGCAGACTTTCCCTCCTGAACTGGCACCGTAGCCCTACACAGCACAGCATTGGTCAAGCAGCACACAACAATGTTTTGGATCAGCAAGAGCAGAGCAGGCCGGGGTTCAGGGTTGGAATATCCATTGCAGTGTGTAATGCAGGCCGGGGCTCAGGGTTGGAATATCCATTGCAGTGTGTAATGCAGCCGGGGCTCAGGGTTGGAATATCCATTGCAGTGTGTAATGCAGGCCAGGGCTCAGGGTTGGAATATCCATTGCAGTGTGTAATGCAGGCCGGGGCTCAGGGTTGGAATATCCATTGCAGTGTGTAATGCAGGCCGGGGCTCAGGGTTGGAATATCCATTGCAGTGTGTAATGCAGGCCGGGGCTCAGGGTTGGAATATCCATTGCAGTGTGTAATGCAGGCCGGGGCTCAGGGTTGGAATATCCACTGCAGTGTGTAATGCAGCCTAGTTGTATTTACACCATCCCAGCAGCTATCTTCGAAATATAACTTTTCTCTGTGCTTCTCCCAGCATGCACTTCGTAGCATATATGCTCAAATCAAATCACATTTTATTTGTCACATACACTTGTTTAGCAGATGTTATTGCTTGTGGTTCTAGCTCCGACAGTGCAGTAATATCTAACAAGTACATTTACATTTACGTCATTTAGCAGACGCTCTTTTCCAGAGTGACTTACATATTGGTGCATTCAACTTATGATAGCCAGTTTTCTTTTATGGGGGGGTCAGAGAGGGGGGTGTAGAAGGATTACTTTTATACTATTCCAGGTATTCCTTAAAGAGGTGGGGTTTCAAGTGTCTCCGGAAGGTGGTGAGTGACTCCGCTGTCCTGGCGTCGTGGGGGAGCTTGTTCCACCATTGGGGTGCCAGAGCAGCGAATAGCTTTGACTGGGCTGAGCGAGAACTGTGCTTCCATAAAGGTAGGGGGGCTAGCAGGCCAGAGGTGGATGAACGTAGTGCCCTCGTTTGGGTGTAGGGTCTGATCAGAGCCTGAAGGTAAGGAGGTGCCGTTCCCCTCACAGCTCCGTAGGCAAGCACCATGGTATTGTAGCAGATGCAGGCTTCAACTGGAAGCCAGTGGAGTGTGCGGAGGAGCGGGGTGACATGAGAGAACTTGGGAAGGTTGAACACCAGACGGGCTGCAGCGTTCTGGATGAGTTGTAGGGGTTTAATGGCACAGGCAGGGAGCCCAGCCAACAGCGAGTTGCAGTAATCCAGACGGGAGATGACAAGTGCCTGGATTAGGACCTGTGCCGCTTTCTGTGTAAGGTAGGGTCGTACGCTGCGAACGTTGTAGAGCATGAACCTGCAGGATCGGGTCACCGCTTTGATGTTAGCGGAGAACGACAGGGTGTTGTCCAGGGTCACACCAAGGTTCTTTGCACTCTGGGAGGAGGACACAATGGAGTTGTCAACAGTGATGGCTTGATCATGGAGCGGGCAGTCCTTCCCCGGGAGGAAGAGCAGCTCCATCTTGCCGAGGTTCAGCTTGAGGTGGTGATCCAACATCCACACTGATATGTCTGCCAGACATGCAGAGATGCGATTCGCCACCTGGTTATCAGAAGGGGGAAAGGAGAAAATGAATTGTGTGTCGTCTGCGTAGCAATGATAGGAGAGACCATGTGAGGATATGACAGAGCCAAGTGACTTGGTGTATAGAGAGAATAGGAGAGGGCCTAGAACTGAGCCCTGGGGGACACCAGTGGTGAGAGCACGTGGTGCGGAGACAGATTCTCGCCACGCCACCTGGTAGGAGCGACCTGTCAGGTAGGACGCAATCCAAGAGTGAGCCGCGCCGGAGATGCCCAACTCCGAGAGGGTGGAGAGGAGGATCTGATGGTTCACAGTATCAAAGGCAGCAGATAGGTCTAGAAGAACGAGAGCAGAGGAGACAGAGTTAGCTTTAGCAGTGCGGAGAGCCTCCGTGACACAGAGAAGAGCAGTCTCAGTTGAATGACCAGTCTTGAAACCTGACTGGTTTGGATCAAGAAGGTCATTCTGAGAGAGATAGCAGGAGAGTTGGCTAAAGAAGGCATGCTCAAGAGTTTTGGAGAGAAAGGAAAGAAGGGATACTGGTCTGTAGTTGTTGACATCGGAGGGATCGAGTGTAGGTTTTTTGAGGAGGGGTGCAACTCTCGCTCTCTTGAAGACGGAAGGGACATGGCCAGCGGTCAAGGATGAGTTGATGAGCGAGGTGAGGTGAGGGAGAAGGTCTCCGGAAAATGGTCTGGAGAAGAGAGGAGGGGATAGGGTCAAGCGAGCAGGTTGTTGGGCGGCCAGGCCGTCACAAGTCGCAAAATTTAATCTGGAGAGAGAGGGGAGAAAGAAGTCAAAGCATAGGGTAGGGCAGTGTGAGCAGGACCAGCGGTGTCATTTGACTTAATAAATGAGGATCGGATGTCGTCAACCTTCTTTTCAAAATGGTTGACGAAGTCATCCACAGAGAGGGAGGAGGGAGGGGGAGGAGGAGGAGGATTCAGCAGGGAGGAGAAGGTGGCGAAGAGCTTCCTAGGGTTAGAGGCCGAGGCTTGAAATGTAGAGTGGTAGAAAGTGGCTTTAGCAGCGGAAACAGAGGAAGAGAATGTAGAGAGGAGGGAGTGAAAAGATGCCAGGTCTGCAGGGAGTCTAGTTTTCCTCCATTTCCGCTTGGCTGCCCGGAGCCCTGTTCTGTGAGCTCGCAGTGAGTCATCAAGCCACGGAGCAGGAGGGGAGAACCGAGCCGGCCGGGAGGATAGGGGACATAGAGAGTCAAAGGATGCAGAAAGGGAGAAGAGGAGGGTTGAGGAGGCAGAATCAGGAGATTGGAGGGAGAAGGATTGAGCAGAGGGAAGAGATGATAGGATGGAAGAGGAGAGAGTAGCAGGAGAGAGAGAGCGAAGGTTGCGGCAGCGCATTACCATCTGTGTAGGGGCAGAGTGAGTAGTGTTGGAGGAGAGCGAGAGAGAAAAGGATACAAAGTAGTGGTCGGAGACATGGAGGGGAGTTGCAGTGAGATTAGTAGAAGAGCAGCATCTAGTAAAGATGAGGTCAAGCGTATTGCATGCCTTGTGAGTAGGGGGGGATGGTGAAAGAAGGAGGCAGAGAGAAATGAGTCAAAGGCAGACGTAGGGAGGTTAAAGTCACCCAGAACTGTGAGGGATGAGCCATCCTCAGGAAAGGAATGTATCAAGGCGTCAAGCTCATTGATGAACTCTCCAAGGGAACCTGGAGGTCGATAAATGATAAGGATGTTAAGCTTGAATGGGCTAGTGACTGTGACAGCATGGAATTCAAATGAGGATATAGACAGATGGGTCAGGGTAGAAAGAGAGAATGTCCACTTGGGAGAGATGAGGATTCCTGTGCCACCGCCGCGCTAACCAGATGCTCTCGGGGTATGCGAGAACATAATAATAATATCTAACAATTTCACAACATATACCCAATACACACAAACCTAAGTAAGGAATGGAATTTAAGAATATATACATATATGGACAAGCAATTGATCATTTGATTGACACCACACTAAATAGCCTATAGGTGCACTTGATATTGCGCCCAGCTGAGAGTCAGAGATGAGGGGTGGCATCTGACACACATCCATATATAGCCTGATAAGCACCTCATTCTAAAACACTGAGAAATATAGACATTTCATCAATTACAAATTACATGACCCTCCCCTGGACTAGATTTTTTTAAAATACTAACCCTCCCCTTCTGAAATTGAAAAAGCATGACCCTTCCCCATTTTCCTCCAGGTAACCATTCTGTACATTTTGATCCATGCCTAACTAATCAGTCCCTCCAGGATTTCTGCGGGCAAAAATAATTGATTTTGCGGCAGCTTTTCTGAAATTCTGAGATACATCTTCCGATGTTTTTTTCCCATGTTAATTTCATATAAAGCAATAAAAAGTCATATGTGCTCCGTTTTAGGACGATTTTAAGCAGAATACATAATACAAAAACAATTTGGTTTATTTTCCTGAACAAACAGCTCTTTTTCTGTACAAAAACGGGGTGGAAGATAGCTCAGAGATCCAACATTTAAAAAAAATGCATGCCCCCATAATCTGTTGGTACTCAAAATGATTAAACTAGGACAAAAGAAACACCTGGGGTCCAATCTGCAATATTATATCTCAAGTTCATCTTCCATGAAAACAATTAGAGACTAAGTGCTCTTTTTGCAGGGAGTTGGGGAACAATGACTGAAGTGCAGCTTTGTAGGCTTTCTTCATGTACGGCAGCATTGTCTGTGTCAAAGACAATGACGTCATCATTGGAGATATTGTAGTCTTGTAGACGTTTTCACCACCACCATGGAAACTGGTGAATGGTTGCACTGCTCCAGAAACACTGTCTCTGCGAGGTAGGCCAGACATTCTCCCCGAGGATGTTCTCCTTTTCAGAAGGATTCTCCTGTTCAAGTGGTGCGATGAGGATGTTCTCCCCGAGGATGTTCTCCTGTTCAGACGGATTCTCCTGTTCAAGTGGTGCGATGAGGATGTTCTCCCCGAGGATGTTCTCCAAGTGGTGCGATGAGGATGTTCTCCCCGAGGATGTTCTCCAAGTGGTGCGATGAGGATGTTTAGTACACATCTTCCTTCAACATCTGGAGTTTCATCAAAGATGGCCGCCACTGGCTTCCCTGCAAGATGTTGCTTGAGTTCTTCCTTCACCTTCAGGTAGACATCTGCCAAGTTATTTTCCTGTAGCTGGTGGTATCCAGGGATGGCACCTCCCATTGATGATTTTCTCCTTCACAAACTGCCTCATTGAGGGGTGATCACTTTTGGAAAAGGGCATGTTGACTGCTGTGCAAGTGTCTACCCAATCTTCACAAATCTGAAAAATAACAATTGCACCAATTAATTAGATAAAATATATATCTGTGTGTCATAATCCACTCACTCACACACACACACACGTCTCCATCAGGCTTGGGGCTTGCTCTCAACACGAGATGCACCTCCCAATTCCCACTCACACACTCTCTTTCAAAAAAATATACAAAATCGATTGAAAGCTGATCAATCGCTTTCAATTTGAGGATCGATATTTCTTTCGCATAAATTGTCTTCAAAATACTTGAGATTGTGATTTTTTTCTGAAAGGGTTGCAAGGGAGATAGAGAGCAGAAAATGTAAAAATAGAGTATTGTGGTTGATATACTTTTAAAACACTATTACCATTTCTAAAATAAAAAATACAGAAAGATTGTGCTAACATGATCCCTAGGAAGTTTTACAGAGAGTTTAAAAGGCGAAAAGCTGACAAATTGCGCTCAGTGCTTTGAGCAGCGCTCTCCATAGACAGACTGCGGAGAGCAGAGTGCTGACCACCCTACTAAAGCCAAGGTCAGCGGAGTGCTGACCACCCTACTAAAGCCAAGGTCAGCAGAGTGCTGACCACCCTACTAAAGCCAAGGTCAGCGGAGTGCTGACCACCCTACTAAAGCCAAGGTCAGCAGAGTGCTGACCACCCTACTAAAGCCAAGGTCAGCGGAGTGCTGACCACCCTACTAAAGCCAAGGTCAGCAGAGTGCTGACCACCCTACTAAAGACAAGGTCAGCGGAGTGCCGACCACCCTACTAAAGCCAAGGTCAGCGGAGTGCCGACCACCCTACTAAAGCCAAGGTCAGCAGAGTGCTGACCACCCTACTAAAGCCAAGGTCAGCAGAGTGCTGACCACCCTACTAAAGCCAAGGTCAGCAGAGTGCTGACCACCCTACTAAAGCCAAGGTCAGCAGAGTGCTGACCACCCTACTAAAGCCAAGGTCAGCGGAGTGCCGACCACCCTACTAAAGCCAAGGTCAGCAGAGTGCTGACCACCCTACTAAAGCCAAGGTCAGCGGAGTGCCGACCACCCTACTAAAGCCAAGGTCAGCGGAGTGCCGACCACCCTACTAAAGCCAAGGTCAGCGGAGTGCCGACCACCCTACTAAAGCCAAGGTCAGCGGAAGTGCCGACCACCCTACTAAAGCCAAGGTCAGCGGAGTGCCGACCACCCTACTAAAGCCAAGGTCAGCGGAGTGCCGACCACCCTACTAAAGCCAAGGTCAGCGGAGTGCCGACCACCCTACTAAAGCCAAGGTCAGCGGAGTGCCGACCACCCTACTAAAGCCAAGGTCAGCGGAGTGCTGACCACCCTACTAAAGCCAAGGTCAGCGGAGTGCCGACCACCCTACTAAAGCCAAGGTCAGCGGAGTGCCGACCACCCTACTAAAGCCAAGGTCAGCGGAGTGCCGACCACCCTACTAAAGCCAAGGTCAGCAGAGTGCTGACACCCTACTAAAGCCAAGGTCAGCGGGAAGTGCCGACCACCCTACTAAAGCCAAGGTCAGCGAGTGCCACCACCCTACTAAAGCCAAGGTCAGCGGAAGTGCGACCCCCCCTACTAAAGCCAAGGTCAGCAGAGTGCCGACCACCCTACTAAGCCAAGGTCAGCGGAGTGCCGACCACCCTACTAAAGCCAAGTCAGCGGAGTGCCGACCCAACCCTACTAAAGCCAGGTCAGCGGAGGTGCCGACCCCCTACTAAGACCAAGGTCAGCGAGTGCTGACCACCCTACTAAAGCCAAGGTCAGCAGAGTGCCGACCACCTACTAAAGCCAAGGTCGCGAGTGCGACCACCCTTACTAAAGCCAAGGTCAGCGGAGTGCCGACCACCCTACTAAAGCCAAGGTCAGCGATGCCGACCACCCTACTAAGCCAAGGTCAGCGGAGTGCCGACCACCCTACTAAAGCCAAGGTCAGCGGAGTGCCGACCACCCTACTAAAGCCAAGGTCAGCGGAGTGCCGACCACCCTACTAAACGCCAAGGTCAGCGGAGTGCCGACCACCCTACTAAAGCCAAGGTCAGCGGAGTGCCGACCACCCTACTAAAGCCAAGGTCAGCGGAGTGCCGACCACCCTACTAAAGCCAAGGTCAGCGGAGTGCCGACCACCCTACTAAAGCCAAGGTCAGCGGAGTGCCGACCACCCTACTAAAGCCAAGGTCGCGGAGTGCCGACCACCCTACTAAAGCCAAGGTCAGCGGAGTGCCGACCACCCTACTAAAGCCAAGGTCAGCGGAGTGCCGACCACCCTACTAAAGCCAAGGTCAGCGGAGTGCCGACCACCCTACTAAAGCCAAGGTCCAGCGGAGTGCCGACCACCCTACTAAAGCCAAGGTCAGCGGAGTGCCGACCACCCTACTAAAGCCAAGGTCAGCGGAGTGCCGACCACCCTACTAAGCAAGGTCAGCGGAGTGCCACACCCTACTAAAGCCAAGGTCAGCGATGTGCCACACCCTACTAAAGCCAAGGTCAGCGTGAGTGCCGACCACCCTACTAAAGCCAAGGTCAGCGTGAGTGCGACCACCCTGACTAAAGCCAAGGTCAGCGAGTGCTGACCACCCACTAAAGCCAAGTCAGCGGAGATGCCGACCACCCTACTAAAGCCAAGGTCAGCGGAGGTGCCGACCACCCTACTAAAGCCAAGGTCAGCGGAGTGCCGACCACCCTATAAAGCCAAGTCAGCAGTGCCACCACCTACTAAAGCCAAGGTCAGCGGAGTGCCGACCACCCTACTAAAGCAAGTCAGCGGAAGTGCTGACCACCCTACTTAAAGCCAAGGTCAGCGAGCAAGTGCCGCCACCCTACTAAAGCCAAGGTCAGCGCGAGTGCCGACATCCTACCAAAGCAGGTCAGCGGAGTGCCGCCACCTACTAAAGCCAAGGTCAGCGGTAGTGCCCGACCACCACTACAGCCATTCGCGGCTGCCACCACCTACATAGCCAATTTCACGAGAGTCCTCGTCCTACCTACTAAAGCCAAGGTCAGCGAGTTGCTGACCACGTTTCCTACTAAGCACAGGTTCACGGAGTCCGTCCACCCTATAAACAGGTCAGCGGATGCCGACCACCCTACTCCAGTCAGCGGGGTGCACCACCCTACTAAAGCAAGTCAGCGGAAGTGCCGACCACCACTAACAAGTTCAGCGTGTGCCACACCCACTCAGCCAAGGTCAGCGCTTGCGACACCCTACTTAACGCCAAGGTCACGTCAGTGCCGACCACCCCACTAAAGCCAAGTCAGCGAGCTGCCGACCCACCCATATAAAGCCAAGGTTCACTAGAAGAGTGCCACCACCACTAAAGCCAATCAGCGAGTGCCACCACCCACTTAAAGCCAGGTCAGCGGTGCACCCCCACTAAGCAAGGTCACGGAGTCTTCCACCCTTAAAGCCAAATCAGCGGAAGTGCCACCACCCTACTAAAAGTCATCAGCGATTGCTTGACCACCCTACTAAAGCAAGGTCAGCGAGAGAGTGCCGCACCAGTCACTACTGCGCCACAGCTCATTCAGCCAGGCTTGCCACCGTCTTCCCTCAGGTCATTCAGCGTTGCCACAGTCTCCACTCAGCATTCAGCGCTTGCCCACCCACTTAGTCAGTCAGCGGGTTGCCACACCCACTTCAGTCATTCAGCGGCTTGCCACACCCACTTCAGTCATTCAGCGGTTGCCACATCTACTACAGTCAGCGCTTGCCACCACCCACTCAGCATCAGCGTTGCACCACCCACTTCAGTCATCAGCGGAAGTCGTCCACTTCAGTCATTCAGCGCTTGCCGTCCACCACTAGCGCTCCACAGCCAATCAGAAGCGTGCCACCTACCACTTCAGCATCAGCGTGAAGCCACTTAAATCATCGCTGCCCCACCCACTAGTCATCAGCGCTTGCCACACCTTCCACTTCAGTCATCAGCGCTTGCCACAGTCTTCCACTTCAGTCATTCAGCGCTTGCCACAGTCTTCCACTTCAGTCATTCAGCGCTTGCCACAGTCTTCCACTTCAGTCATTCAGCGCTTGCCACAGTCTTCCACTTCAGTCATTCAGCGCTTGCCACAGTCTTCCACTTCAGTCATTCAGCGCTTGCCACAGTCTTCCACTTCAGTCATTCAGCGCTTGCCACAGTCTTCCACTTCAGTCATTCAGCGCTTGCCACAGTCTTCCACTTCAGTCATTCAGCGCTTGCCACAGTCTTCCACTTCAGTCATTCAGCGCTTGCCACAGTCTTCCACTTCAGTCATTCAGCGCTTGCCACAGTCTTCCACTTCAGTCATTCAGCGCTTGCCACAGTCTTCCACTTCAGTCATTCAGCGCTTGCCACAGTCTTCCACTTCAGTCATTCAGCGCTTGCCACAGTCTTCCACTTCAGTCATTCAGCGCTTGCCACAGTCTTCCACTTCAGTCATTCAGCGCTTGCCACAGTCTTCCACTTCAGTCATTCAGCGCTTGCCACAGTCTTCCACTTCAGTCATTCAGCGCTTGCCACAGTCTTCCACTTTCAGTCATTCAGCGCTTGCCCCCAGTCTTACACTTCAGTCATTCAGCCTTGCCACAGTCTTCCCCCACTTCCAGTCATTCAGCGCTTTGCCACAGTTCTTCCATTCAGTCCTGTGATCTGCGCTGCTTGGGAACAGTTCTGACATTCTCATCTGCTCTGCTGATTCGAAGTGACTTGATTGTCGACTTTCTCTTGTGTTCCAGCACAACCTTGAACGTAGTGCAAAACAATTTCCCCCCACTTTCATGTAAAACATTTGGAAATTGTTTCGCACAGTCTTCATCTGTTATTTTTGTTGGCAAATGAGAATGATTTCTGTTCGTTGTACTGCCTGTCAGCCATCAACAATCAGCCATCATCTTCGCACGCGCATACGGTGACAGGCCAGGGGGTCAAAACGTTGTTGACGTGTGGTTGGATTGGGCCATTTTCCACCGTAACAGTGCAGTAATTGGTCAAAATTACGAAAATCCGCTTTTGATTGAACCCTTGTATGCGCTAAAGGGGGGGGGGGGGGGGGGTCTGGATCGGCGTCAGCAGCGCGCAGAAAGATAAGGACCTTTTTCTTCCCAGGGTGGATGGATTGATCTCTGGAACATCGAAAGTGCGGATCGCTTCTTCGAAGAACGATAGATTCCAATGGACAGCCGGATAATTTACAACCTCTGCATTGATTGAACATTGAATCCTTTCTGTATCAACTTTTATAGGGCGTTTCGTTTTGCTTTTGCCTATGCTAAAAGAACGGGCTACATCATATTTTCTGACGTTCGTTATACTGTAGACTTTCAGATTGTATTCCCTGTCCGGACCGACTCGCATCAGATATTTCCGCCCCGTTATGTGATATCTGACCGGACGGATGTTCGCCTCTGTATCGGTGTGATCGGCGATGTGGCCATGGCAGGTTTTGGAGCCCAGAAGTGTCCGAAGAGCGAGAAGTTGGACGAGGCGCAGGCACTGGCCCGGAGCTGCGCGGGGAGACCGGACTTCTTGCCGTGCGCTGGGCTGTCAATATGCGCCACGCACAGCCACGGAAAGTGCTTCAAGTTGCACTGGTGCTGTCACTTGGGCTGGTGCCACTGTAAGTAGCTATTGGCAAACAATAACACAGTCGTAACATGTTAAAAGGGCAATCTGCGATTGCTACATGCATTTTTTTTTTTTACTTTTAAATGAATTATATATACCCATTGATTCTTGAGGAATGTACACTATATATACAAAGGTATGTGGACACCCCTTCAAATTAGTAGATTTGGCTAGTTCAGCCACACCCGTTGCTGACAGGTGTATAAAATTGAGCACACAGCCATGCAATCTCCATAGCTAAAAAACATTGGCAGTGGAATGGCCTTACTGAAGAGCTCAGTGACTTTCAACATGGCACCATCATAGGATGCCACCTTTCCAATAAGTCAGTTAATCAAATTTCTGCCCTGCTAGAGTTTCCCTGGTCAACTGTAAGCCATAAAGTGGTAGGCCACACAAGCTCACAGAACGGGACCGCTGAGTGCTGAAGCGCCTAGCGGATACAAATGATCTGTCCTCGGTTGCAACACTCACTACCGAGTTCCAAACTGCCTCTGGAAGCAATGTGCAATGTCAGCACAATAACTGTTTGTCGGGAGCTTCATAAAATGGTTTCCATGGTCGAGCAGCCTAAGATCACCATGCACAATGCCAAGCGTCGGCTAGAGTGGTGTAAAGCTCGCCGCCATTGGACTCTGGAGCAGTGGAAACGCGTTCTCTGGAGTGATGAATCTCGCTTCACCATTTTGCAGTCCAACTGACAAATCTGGGTTTAGCAGATGCCAGGAGAATGCTACCTGCCTGAATGCATAGTGCCAACTGTAAAGTTTGGTGGAGGAGGAATAATGGTCTGGGGCTGTTTTTCATGGTTCGGGCTCGGCTCCTTAGTTCCAGTGAAGGGAAATCTAAACGCTACAGCATACAATGAGATTTTAGATGATTCTGTGCTTCCAACTTTGTGGCAACAGTTTGGGGAAGGCCCTTTCCTGTTTCAGCATGACAATGCCCCCGTGCACAAAGCAAGGTCCATACAGAAATGGTTTGTTGAGATCGGTGTGGAAGAACTTGACTGGCCTTCACAGAGCCCTGACCTCAACCCCATCAAACACCTTTGGGATGAATTGGAACGCCGACTGTGAGCCAGGCCTAATCGCCCAACATCAGTGCCCGACCTCACT